GTACAGTACTTACATCACTGCCAGGTTATAACAGTATCATGGTGCATTGTACTTACATCACTGCCAGGTTATAACAGTATCATGGTGTATTGTACTTACATCACTGCCAAGTTATAACAGTATCATGGTGCATTGTACTTACATCACTGCCAGGTTATAACAGTATCATAGTGTATTGTACTTACATCACTGCCAGGTTATAACAGTATCATGGTGTACAGTACTTACATCACTGCCAGGTTATAACAGTATCATGGTGCATTGTACTTACATCACTGCCAGGTTATAACAGTATCATGGTGTATTGTACTTACATCACTGCCAGGTTATAACAGTATCATGGTGCATTGTACTTACATCACTGCCAGGTTATAACTGTATCTTGGTGTATTGTACTTACATCACTGCCAGGTTATAAAAGTTTAATGGTGTATTGTACTTACATCACTGCCAGGTTATAACAGTATCATAGTGTATTGTACTTACATCACTGCCAGGTTATAACAGTATCATGGTGCATTGTACTTACATCACTGCCAGGTTATAACAGTATCATGGTGCATTGTACTTACATCACTGCCAGGTTATAACAGTATCATGGTGCATTGTACTTACATCACTGCCAGGTTATAACAGTATCATGGTGCATTGTACTTACATCACTGCCAGGTTATAACAGTATCATGGTGCATTGTACTTACATCGCTGCCAGGTTATAACAGTATCATGGTGCATTGTACTTACATCACTGCCAGGTTATAACTGTATCATGGTGCATTGTACTTACATCACTGCCAGGTTATAACAGTATCATGGTGCATTGTACTTACATCACTGCCAGGTTATAACAGTATCATGGTGCATTGTACTTACATCACTGCCAGGTTATAACAGTATCATGGTGCATTGTACTTACATCACTGCCAGGTTATAACAGTATCATGGTGTACAGTACTTACATCACTGCCAGGTTATAACAGTATCATGGTGTATTGTACTTACATCACTGCCAGGTTATAACAGTATCATGGTGCATTGTACTTACATCACTGCCAGGTTATAACTGTATCTTGGTGTATTGTACTTACATCACTGCCAGGTTATAAAAGTTTAATGGTGTATTGTACTTACATCACTGCCAGGTTATAACAGTATCATAGTGTATTGTACTTACATCACTGCCAGGTTATAACAGTATCATGGTGCATTGTACTTACATCACTGCCAGGTTATAACAGTATCATGGTGCATTGTACTTACATCACTGCCAGGTTATAACAGTATCATGGTGCATTGTACTTACATCACTGCCAGGTTATAACAGTATCATGGTGCATTGTACTTACATCACTGCCAGGTTATAACAGTATCATGGTGCATTGTACTTACATCGCTGCCAGGTTATAACAGTATCATGGTGCATTGTACTTACATCACTGCCAGGTTATAACTGTATCATGGTGCATTGTACTTACATCACTGCCAGGTTATAACAGTATCATGGTGCATTGTACTTACATCACTGCCAGGTTATAACAGTATCATGGTGCATTGTACTTACATCACTGCCAGGTTATAACAGTATCATGGTGCATTGTACTTACATCACTGCCAGGTTATAACAGTATCATGGTGTACAGTACTGACATCACTGCCAGGTTATAACAGTATCATGGTGTATTGTACTTACATCGCTGCCAGGTTATAACAGTATCATGGTGTATTGTACTTACATCGCTGCCAGGTTATAACAGCATCATGGAGTATTGTACTTACATCACTGCCAGGTTATAACAGTATCATGGTGTACAGTACTTACATCACTGCCAGGTTATAACAGTATCATGGTGTATTGTACTTACATCACTGCCAGGTTATAACAGTATCATGGTGTATTGTACTTACATCACTGCGAGGTTATAACAGTATCATGGTGTATTGTACTTACATCACTGCCAGGTTATAACAGTATCATGGTGTACAGTACTTACATCACTGCCAGGTTATAACAGTATCATGGTGTATTGTACTTACATCACTGCCAGGTTATAACAGTATCATGGTGTATTGTACTTACATCACTGCCAGGTTATAACAGTATCATGGTGTTTTGTACTTACATCACTGCCAGGTTATAACTGTATCTTGGTGTATTGTACTTACATCACTGCCAGGTTAAAACAGTATCATGGTGTATTGTACTTACATCACTGCCAGGTTATAACAGTATCATGGTGTACAGTACTTACATCACTGCCAGGTTATAACAGTATCATGGTGTACAGTACTTACATCACTGCCAGGTTATAACAGTATCATGGTGCATTGTACTTACATCACTGCCAGGTTATAACAGTATCATGGTGCATTGTACTTACATCACTGCCAGGTTATAACAGTATCATGGTGCATTGTACTTACATCACTGCCAGGTTATAACAGTATCATGGTGTACAGTACTTACATCACTGCCAGGTTATAACAGTATCATGGTGTATTGTACTTACATCGCTGCCAGGTTATAACAGTATCATGGTGTATTGTACTTACATCGCTGCCAGGTTATAACAGCATCATGGAGTATTGTACTTACATCACTGCCAGGTTATAACAGTATCATGGTGTACAGTACTTACATCACTGCCAGGTTATAACAGTATCATGGTGTATTGTACTTACATCACTGCCAGGTTATAACAGTATCATGGTGTATTGTACTAGATCACTGCCAGGTTATAACAGTATCATGGTGTACAGTACTTACATCACTGCCAGGTTATAACATTATCATGGTGCATTGTACTTACATCACTGCCAGGTTATAACAGTATCACGGTCTATTGTACTTACATCACTGCCCGGTTATAACAGTATCATGGTGTATTGTACTTACATCACTGCCAGGTTATAACAGTATCACGGTCTATTGTACTTACATCACTGCCAGGTTATAACAGTATCATGGTGCATTGTACTTACATCACTGCCAGGTTATAACAGTATCATGGTGTATTGTACTAGATCACTGCCAGGTTATAACAGTATCATGGAGTATTGTACTTACATCACTGCCAGGTTATAACAGTATCATGGTGTATTGTCCTTACATCACTGCCAGGTTATAACAGTATCATGGAGTATTGTACTTACATCGCTGCCAGGTTATAACAGTATCATGGTGTATTGTACTTACATCACTGCCAGGTTATAACAGTATCATGGTGTATTGTACTAGATCACTGCGAGGTTATAACAGTATCATGGTGTATTGTACTTACATCACTGCCAGGTTATAACAGTATCATGGTGTATTGTACTAGATCACTGCCAGGTTATTACAGTATCATGGTGTACAGTACTTACATCACTGCCAGGTTATAACATTATCATGGTGCATTGTACTTACATCACTGCCAGGTTATAACAGTATCACGGTCTATTGTACTTACATCACTGCCAGGTTATAACAGTATCATGGTGTATTGTACTAGATCACTGCCAGGTTATAACTGTATCATGGTGTATTGTACTTACATCACTGCCAGGTTATAACAGTATCATGGTGCATTGTACTTACATCACTGCCAGGTTATAACAGTATCACGGTCTATTGTACTTACATCACTGCCAGGTTATAACAGTATCATGGTGTATTGTACTTACATCACTGCGAGGTTATAACAGTATCATGGAGTATTGTACTTACATCACTGCCAGGTTATAACAGTATCATGGTGTATTGTACTTACATCACTGCCAGGTTATAACAGTATCATGGTGTATTGTACTTACATCACTGCCAGGTTATAACAGTATCACGGTCTATTGTACTTACATCACTGCCAGGTTATAACAGTATCACGGTCTATTGTACTTACATCACTGCCAGGTTATAACAGTATCATGGTGTATTGTACTTACATCACTGCGAGGTTATAACAGTATCATGGAGTATTGTACTTACATCACTGCCAGGTTATAACAGTATCATGGTGTATTGTACTTACATCACTGCGAGGTTATAACAGTATCATGGTGTATTGTACTAGATCACTGCCAGGTTATAACAGTATCATGGTGTATTGTACTAGATCACTGCCAGGTTATAACAGTATCATGGTGTATTGTACTTACATCACTGCCAGGTTATAACAGTATCATGGTGTATTGTCCTTACATCACTGCCAGGTTATAACAGTATCATGGTGTATTGTACTTACATCACTGCCAGGTTATAACAGTATCATGGTGTATTGTCCTTACATCACTGCCAGGTTATAACAGTATCATGGTGTATTGTACTTACATCACTGCCAGGTTAAAACAGTATCATGGTGTATTGTACTTACATCACTGCCAGGTTATAACAGTATAATGGTGTATTGTACTTACATCACTGCCAGGTTATAACAGTATCATGGTGTATTGTACTTACATCACTGCCAGGTTATAACAGTATCATGGTGTATTGTCCTTACATCACTGCCAGGTTATAACAGTATCATGGTGTATTGTACTTACATCACTGCCAGGTTATAACTGTATCTTGGTGTATTGTACTTACATCACTGCCAGGTTATAACAGTATCATGGTGTATTGTACTTACATCACTGCCAGGTTATAACAGTATCATGGTGTATTGTACTTACATCAATGCCAGGTTATAACAGTATCATGGTGTATTGTACTTACATCACTGCCAGGTTATAACAGTATCACGGTCTATTGTACTTACATCACTGCCAGGTTATAACAGTATCATGGTGTATTGTACTTACATCACTGCCAGGTTATAACAGTATCACGGTCTATTGTACTTACATCACTGCCAGGTTATAACAGTATCATGGTGTATTGTACTTACATCACTGCCAGGTTATAACAGTATCACGGTCTATTGTACTTACATCACTGCCAGGTTATAACAGTATAATGGTGTATTCTTATGGTGCAACTGTAGGGATTGTGCACTTTATAGATGGCGATATATGGTACTTACATCACTGCCAGGCTATAACAGCTTCAGTGGTGGCAACTTGATGGAAGCATCTCGCACAGCACTTGATATATCCTCACCGATGGGGCACCTGTTCAGTAGAATATAAACTGGTTAGCAGTTCAACAACTAATTAATAGTAGAATAACATTTCTCGATATTTTCCGGGGTAGAATAGGTCTACAGCAACCCATGCTTGCCGTAAAAGGCGATTATGCTTGTCGAAAGAGGGGACTAAAGGGATCGGGTGGTCAGGCTCGCTGACTTTGTCGATGCATGTCATCGTATCCCAATTGCGTGGGTCGATGCTCAAGAAGTCAATCACTGGATTGTCTGGTCCAGACTCGGTTATTAACTGAACGCTGTCATAGAGCTGGAATATTGCTGAGCGCAGCATTAAACAACAAGCAAACAAATACTATATTTTCATCTGAACAATTGGAACAATCTGTTACAAACTCTTTAGATGATCATAAATTATTTCTTAGATTATCCATTTTTCCTGAAAAATAGCAAGACATTTTGTATTTCTGTCAAATAAAGGTTCAAAGTTATGTTGACATATTTTAAATTTACAATCTGCGAACACTCAATGGGAGGTACGAACCACTGCCTTGGTTACTGACAACATTCGTGGGCTAAGTGAGGTGAGTGAGTGAGTGAGTGAGTTGGGTTTAACGCCGCATAGGGGTGCTATCAGTCCCACCTTTGAGCGAAGAAAAAAACTATCAACCATCAAATCAGTAGATCCTGACAAGGCTAAGGAACGTAACTCTTCACATTATTTTGTTTATTCAGATATCACCTTACTTGGGCTGGAAATCCACTGCTTCAGGGTGAGCTGCTGAAAAATCCTGTCCACTCAGCAGTTTCTCCATGCCATTCCTACAAATACATAGATGATATTTCAGAAGGCTCAGTCTTTTACTCTGAAGGGGCGGTCGGGTAGCCTAGTGGTTAAAAAGCGTTAGCTCGTCACGCCGAAGACCCGGGTTCGATTCCGGACATGGGTACAATGTGTGAAGCCCAATTCTGGTGTCCCCCGCCGTGATATTGCTGGAATATTGCTAAACGCGGCGTAAAACCATACTCACTCACTTTCACTCTGAAGTATATAGGTAATAAATAAATAATTTTTGTTGTTTAACACCGCACAGTAATATTCCAGCAATATGACAGCAGTCAGTAAATAATCCAGTCTGGGCCAGTCAATCCAGTATCCCGTTAGGCACCTCTTACGACAAGCATAGTCGCCTTTTACGGCAAGCATGGGTAGCTGAAGATCTATTCTACCCGGGATCTTCATGGGTCATCTAGTCTCTGAAATGAACATATTTTACATATTAAAACAGTCCACAGACTCTCATGCAGTAATTAGACTTGCTGAATAATGTAGACTTGCATGGGCTGTATTAGATATATTTGTGTCAGGGTCTGCATGGCACGAGGCATCAGTCCACAGACATAGTAGGCATTCTCTTATCAAGTGTTACCATTACCTTGCATTTTCATCAAGTACCCCAATTTCACAAAGTTGGAAAAAACTTAAAGTGCAAGCATCATGTAAAATAGGAAAACATTTTTCCTTCATCATTATGTAGCCAGTATGATGTACAACACGATGCTCGAGAAAAAAAGAGTGAAAACAAAAACTTAGAGCTGTTGCACTTAATTAAACATACATATTGTTAGGTCTACATTTGTAACAACTCAAACGAATCTTAAAAGCACTGAAAAGTAGGTGTGGCTTAATTAGCACATATCGGCAAGTTGGGATCAGGATATCAAGTGTGTCATTTTGGACGTAATTTCCTCCAAAATGACCATATATGGAGCCTCTGTACATATTTACTCTGCCTCCGTTGTTTTTAAATTTAGCCTTTGAAATTGATAGACAGGAAAAAAGTACAAAGAAACCTTATTTACTTGCTGCTTTCGATGTTTTGAATATGATATTTGCAATAACGATGTTACCATCTATCCAAATCTGCAAAGTTGTATATTCCCCTATAAGACTAATGACTATTTTAACTGTCAGATCCTTTTGCTAAGGGAGGTAACTCTTACATGACTAGTTCCCCAAACAACATTGTTTAAGAATCACAATAAAAAATGATTTAATCCCATATTTTGTACATCTCCTTTAGAAAACAATTTTTCAGCCATTTCATTATTATTTTGACTAATAATGCTAGTATTCTTAAAAACTCTAAAAAGCATTTTTAAAATAAAGACATTGATTGTTTACTCTAGATCATAGTTGTTTTACTATCACAAACTCCACATCACACTATGACACCATTGTTTGTACATGTATACAAGGTAGGTGAGCTGTGAGGAGATCCAGCGCCACCTACCAGGCAATCATTACACTATTGTTTGTACATAAACAGGTAGGTGAGCTGTGAGGAGCTCCAGCACCACTTACCAGGCAATCATTACACTATTGTTTGTACATGAACAGGTAGGTGAGCTGTGAGGAGCTCCAGCACCGCTTACCAGGCAATCATTACACCATTGTCGGTACACAGACGAGGCGGTGGACAGACGAGCTGTGTGGAGTACATGTCACACACCTTCTGGAGTCCTGATCTGATGAACTGATTGCTGCCAACCCCGCCAGACACAACCTGCAACATAAGTAGAGGATATTCTATTCATGTTAATGTCATACCATGTTCACGACACGAGTGTCTAAATACCACAATTGAGGCACGAGTTCGTTAACACAGTATGACATGAACAGAAACATAATGTACTATTTATTCCTGAAGAAGACATACATACAGAGACGAATTTTTTTGTGTTTCTACATAGACAGCAAGTTGCCACAGCAGCATAACCACAATTTGTCGAATGACGTCACAAATCTGTGACAAGTCAGAGTAAGATTCGAAGGATGTCAACAATGATGTACAGATGACGGAAACAATACACTTGTGTCTCGTGACGTGACATGACCCAAAGGCACATATGATTTTTATGTTGCCCGCGTAGGTAGTAAAACAGGATAAAGAGCAGGCAATGTCGACTTGAGTCCAGGCCTGCAGGAAATGGCTGATAGCGCAGGCAATTACCTCAATGCTCAATCCTCCAAGAACTTTACATATATATTTACGCTGTTATATCAGTGCAATAACACTCACTCATACGCTTCTCCACTAAACAAAGATCTGAGGACACCGCCATTTGGGGTCATGTCAGAACTACCTTTCACAAACTTTGACCGACCACTGAAATGACTAACAAGAAGTCGACATCAGCCATTTAGAAAGCAGCTTTCTCGAGCTTTACGGCACTCGTTTCAACCTGGCGACTTCCATTTCAGACTAAGCTTGAAAAATATGTTGAAACAGTTCTCGATTAAAATTTTGAAAACTGAACAAACGAACATTACGGAATGTCTAATATATCGTTGCGATTGTATGGCAGTGCTTCCCAAGTGCTGTGAAGCGCCTCCTCCATGCAAATGTTTATCCAACGGAAGCGAGAGATAGACGATAATTCAAAATACCCCGTGTTAACATTTTCGAGGTTGCATGATTAGAAACACATTCCGACTGTCACTTTCATGATCTGGTAAACGACGCTTTGATTGGTTGGATGAAAGGTCGTTCTGACATAACAACCAACCACTCACTCGTGCAACCAACCACTCATCCATGCAGCCAACCACTCACTCATGCAACATACCACTCACCCATACAACCAAACACTCACTCACGTAGCCAACCCCTTACTCATACAACCAACCACGCACTAATGTAGCCAACCATCCACTCATGACACAAAAGACAAATGACAGCTTTTAATGACAAAATCTTTACCAGGGTCTTCTTGTGTTTTGGCAGCAGACCATGCAGCTCACAGAAGAGCAGCGACCTCTGAACCCGCCGTGCCAGGTGCTTCAGGACGCCATATTGGAAGGAAGCGCATATGTCTGCTACATTCGGTAAAATATCCTCTCTGGACACACCTGCACAAACACATCAGACTTTGTCAGTGGACATGACATAGGCATCCCCTTGGTCAGAAAAAAACACAAGTCATGGCCTTCAAACTGATGAGGTGTTGCTGATTAAAAACAGTGTCAGGGATTTATTTAGACATGCTCAGACCTGCTATTTGGCCAAAAATATGCAGCAAATTTCAGTAAAAATTCTCAAATGGGAAATTCCCAATTCATGTCAATATAGTTATAAGTAATGTGATGGCAAAGACTTCAATGAATAATTTTACATTATTGAATGTTAAGATAAAATGATAAAATACCTAATACATTTACAAAATAAAGACAAAGCAAACTCCCAATTTTGAACAAAACAAATTATTCTCAATTTGACTGTCAAGAGCACATTGTTTGGAAAAATCCATGTGTGAATATCCAGATTCACACTACCTGGCAGTGAGATGACAGTTACTGAATGATACTGCAGCAGATGTCTGCAGGCTATTGTCTCATGTTATCCATTTCCATTTAATTAAAGCACTTGCAAATGAACGTGTTTCAACATTTTATAGATTAGGAATAAATTCATGACTGATTAGCTACCAGTTAGTAATCATGTATATTTTTGTCGTCCGAATGCACTCATAAGAACTTGATATCCCATCCCAAAGAATACTTAAAATGACAACAAAAATCATGTTAGTGTATCAATTAGTTTCAGTCTTGCAACATCTGTTTCAAGCAGTAGTACAGGTGTTCATTTCCTCATGGAGATTGTTGCAAAATCCATCATTTAGCCACCATGATCTTTTTGTGTTCACTATAGAAAAGACCTGTGAGGATCCAGGGTAGAATAGGTCTTCAACAACCTACGCTTGCCATAAAAGGTTGACTATGCTTGTTGTAAGAGGCGACTAACGGGATCGAGTGGTCAGACTCGATGACTTGATGGTGCATGTCATCGTATCCCAATTGCGTGATGTCAGTCACTGGATTGTCTGGTCCAGACTTGATTATTTACAGACCGCTGTCATATAGCTTGAATATTGCTGAGTGCGGGGTTAAACAACAAACAAATAAACAAAACACTATACAACAAAGTTTTCCCAAATTATTCATTGAAATTAACAAGCAATCAATATACCTCTCTGAATGAGTGTTCAGCATGGATCTACATAGATCGCTGCTTCGTACGGCGATCCCTTGATATCTTTGATTGAATCATAAGACGTCGTACATGTATATGAACTGTTAGCTTGAAAAGATGTTTTTATGAGTATAAAGAAAACGGGGGATGTCATGACACTACAAGATGGCCCATGCGAGATGACACACAAAAGCCTAGTCGCTGGACCTTGTTTCAAACATGACAAAATAGTGTAATTTGATTGGATGGCTATTTTTAGTGTTGTGTCATTAGAACCTGGTGAATGATATCATATTTGTCACAACAGATTTTTAAATTTTACGCTTGACTGGGTGTCGGTAGTAATCGTCATAACAACAAGGGGGATGCGGCCCTTGGCCAGTACTGTACGCCGATCAGTCGTTGCAGGTCGATGAAACATTGCGTATCATCAGACACACTGGACCAGTCGTCTTTGTAGTTTTGGCGGGAACTTCCTCGTGTAGAAAGGAATCTGAGATGACATCATCTTCTACTGAGAGTACAATGACAGTAGATCTATACAACCTCGGTGTGAATGGATGTTTTAGTAAAGCCCTTCTGCTTTTTCGGTGATGATGTTCCGTCCCTGATTTAGAACGCATGTCAACTGTGCGTTTCTGGCACTAGCATGTGTAATTCTGAAATGCTTCCTCTGATAATTGGAACACTTGAGCAACGAATTGCAGCATAAGTCACACAAATTGCAGGATGAAAAAGTTTGTCTACATTGTTTACAGGCCTGGTGTCTTTCATTGTAAGTTCCCATCTTCAGCCATAGTAGATATGTAGTAGGAGAAAGATCTCACCCAAAAACAAAAATGTATTCTATATGAGGGCAAATTCTCATACAGAAAGGGGGAAGGAAAAAGAATTGAATTAGGGAGAAATATGGTCTAACTGAACGAGGGCAGTTCAGCCCAGCGTTATGTCCGGAGACAAAGTTAGAAGGTCCTGTCGACGCTTCGAAGGAGGAAACTGTTGTTACCCAGTTGGGAATGTGATGTCAAGAAATCTGAGGTGACTATTATCTATATTGCACATTTGCCATATTGCTTTGCCGAAATAGATGTGTATATGAGTGCCTTGCCCTGTAACTGAGAATTGTTTTATACTTATCTTTGTTTTAATTATTTAATCTAGCTTTAAACTTCAGAGATTGTTGTGTGATTCTTGTAATAGTTATTTGTGGTATTAGCGGGAACCCCTGCCGTTCATCCAACACGTAACACTACTGACTTAAACACGTTCTCACACCATGGCAATATGAAAGAGAATGATGTGGCAGGTTATGTCAGGTGATCAGGTCATGTAAGGTCGCTATGCACGGGTCTACAGTGTGTGACCCATATTGTTAGGTGGGACCATGGTGATGTTGGGACGTGTTCGGGTGTAATATTTTTTTAAGCTGGAAACTTTGTTTTAGGGTGTTTGCATATTAAGATCGAAAGAAGGAGAAATGCATAGTGTGAGATAGGATAAGTAAAAAAATTGGAGATTTTATACCCTGGATAATCGATGATGATGCTCACCTTGCCTCTCCTCTTCCCGCGCTATGAATCTCTTAGCCTGAGACTTCAGGCCAGAAAAAGAGAAGTCACACGTACGAATCTGTGTCAGCATCAGAGGGAGGTCAAAGGCCTTGGGGTTGCCTTCACGTGCCAAGGTTTCTATGGCAACACCACCACTTACACTACTGAATTGTGGGAGATTTTTCAGATTCAGTTGACGAGCAATCTGTAAGAAAAAATGTAATAGTTGAACTGCTCTGACAGAAATAAAAGCCTCATTGACCTAAAATAAAAAGATGGAATAAGAGATATGTTACAGCACCTAAGCATTAATCCACTATCAGAATTTGGGTGAGTGAGTGAGTTGGGTTTTAACGCCGCTTTTAACATTATTCCAGTTATATCACGGTGTGTCAGCTTAAAGTAGAAGAAAGCCCGAAGTGATGCAGGTCTCGGACGTTTACCACTTCGGTGAAACCCACAAGCACGGGTATAGTGCTGACAAACCTAGAAACACAATTGGGGCGAACCGGGATTCAAACACACAATTATAGATTTCTGGCGTGACCAAGGGACGCAACTCTGCACAGAAAATCACGGCACCTTAGACAGCTGGGCCACCCGTCCCCCCCATCAGAATTTGGGAATGCTTTACCACCAACATATGTATATTCTTCAGTTCCAGATATTGGAAATCAAAACAAAACAATTCAGCTTAACAACGTTACAAATGGTTGCATCAGCATAACTTTGGAGAAAACCACACGGTGATTGTTGATGTTTACCACTTCTATGAAATATACAAGCACAGGTTCCAGCACCAGCATCTTTAATCAGACAGAAAAGTTGTTTGTTTGTTTGTTGTTTAACACCACATTCAGCAATATTCCAGCTATAAGACGGCGTCCTGTAAATAATCAAGTATGGACCAGACAATCCAGTGATTAATATCATGATTATCAATCCATGCAATAGGGATAGGATGACATGCATCAAGCAAGTTAGCGAGCCTAACCACCGGATCCTGTTAAGTCGTCTCTTACAACAAGCGTAGTCGCCTCATGACAAACATGGGTTGTTGAAGACCTATTCTAACCCATTTCTTCACTGCAGGTCATATAGAAATGTGATTTAGAGGGTGGTGGGGTAGCCTTGTGGTAAACGCATTTACGCGTCATGTCAAGGCCAGGGTTTGATTCCCCTCACAAGTACAATGTGTGAAGCCCATGTCTTGCGTCTCCTGCCGTGAAATTGCTGGATTATTGCTGAAAAAGGCATAAAACCATGTTCACTCACTGAGATTTAGAAATCACGATGTGAGTCTTGTTTTATCCATCTTCGTCCTCTAACATTAGACAAGGAGGTCATAACACTAAGATCACTTTGTAGAAGTGACCAAGGTACTGGTTTGCAAATCAGCACAGATAAAGCTTTGTGCACCAGTAGCAGATGAACTGTCCTTAAATCTATGCGACTGTTGTCGTACAACACATTCAGCATATTCCAGCTATATGACAGTGTCCTGTCAATGATTGGATCAGACAAACCAGTGACTGATGTCATGAGCATCCCCCCACATTGGCAGGACACGCAAGTCACCAAGACGGACCACCCGATCCATTTTGTGATGACAAGTAGTAGGTGGCGTCCTAAAAGCTTGATTTAACAAACTAAACCAGCATCCATTTTGAACTATGAAAACGTGTGCAATCTTGTCATTATTGGCAACTGAAGAAATATAACTGTGGTTCTTCATCTCTGGCGAATTCTGACTGATCATGAATTCTCACTCTGATCATGAATTCTGATTCTGATCATGAATCCTGATCCTCATTATGAATTCTGACTCTGATCATGAATTCCTGATTGATCATGAATTCTGATCCTCATTATGAATTCTGACTCTGATCATGAATTCTGATCCTCATTATGAATTCTGACTCTGATCATGAATTAGAACTGTTCATCCTGACTTATTATGACTTTAACACTCGTCAGAGGTGAATACCTTGTCAAATGCCTCCCCTGGTGCGTCGTCCAGACTCTCTCCCAGCAACACAAAATCCGCAACATCTTTCGCCACCGCGAGTAAACAATGGCCGCCACTGATGAGCAACACCAGGAAGGGAAAGTCTACTCTGAAACGGAGCACTGAAGGTCAACTGAGGTCAACTGAGGTCAAGGTCATGTTTTAAGCTTTTTCGCAAAATTAAAATTTCTTTATGAAACAAATAAACAGGTACTATCATAATTAAGCCAACAAAAGTTGATAGTGAGAATTATTGTCTGATTTTACAGAATTGACTTCAATATTTACTACGCTTATAAAACCAGTGTGCACACATTGCCTAAATCCGCAACACACAATGTGCACACAGGTTTATATATGGCAGCCAATTCTTTAATCATTAGCACAAAAAAATGTACATGATATGAGGTCGGCAATAATGTAACAAAAGCCCCACCCACTCTATTATCAGCCAATCAGGAAACAGTAGTCAGCTAGTGGGCGTAACCTATTTTTTTAAAGGGACATGGAAACAAATGCAACAACAATTTCTTGGTTTCAAATGTCATAGAATCACTTGCAATGTGTTTATGACCTTATGAACACTTCTGTACGGATGTTTCTTCAAGGTATCAACATGAACTGAAAAGTGAATGACAAACAGTATTTTTATTATTTGTTTCATCTATGAATTTGTAAACTTGTACACCCCTAATGTTCATTGCGTTACCTGTCACTCATTCTGGCCATGAGAGCATGTGCCTGCATATGATGAATCGGTATCAACGGTTTCCTGGAACGAAATGTTGGTTGCCTATAAAATACAAAACTTCAAAACAATGGAATGAAAAATAATATTTGAAGAAGTCTTTATTCTTCAAGCAGAAGCTCTTAACGAATTTCAGTCATAAAAAAAGAGTGAGTGAGTGAGTATGGTTTTCACCGCTTTTAGCAATATTCCAACAATATCATGGCATGGGACACCAGAAACTGGCTTCACACATTGTACCCATGTCGGGAATCGAACCCGGGTTTTCGGTGTGACGAGCGAACGCTTTAACCACTAGGCTACCCCACCGCCCTCATAAAAAAAGACATTAAATTAGAAATTATTATATTACATAAATTAGTGCATACAAGCCCATAATGTACTGATGAAGAGGCATAACATAACATAACCCCTCTGGTAGTCATCCCCCAAAACAGTTTGTTCTTTACTTTACTTCATTTACAATTCCCTTTTCAAATCCTGATCAAAACTACAAAAGTGTTTGCATGCAAAAACAGAATGAGACCCATCAAGATATGTATCCACAAGCTTTTTCAGCACCCAACTCACACTGAGTAACCTTGACCTTCAATGTAATCCAATCACAAGGAAGAACATGAAAACCCTACTCAGACACAGTATACTGACTCCGAGCTGACCAGTCCTTGTATTACCCCCTTAATGCGAAGCGCCAGACAGGGTAACAACAAGTACCATCTTTTGACGTCTTTTGGTATGACGAGGCCTGGGATCGAACCCCTGACCTTCCACTCTCCAGGCGGATGCTCTACCACTAGACCATGGAGGTGGTCGTGTTACAAATATTAAGTGTACCTTTCACAGGTTTGTAGTCATAATTTGATGTTCTGATCGAATGAACATCACTGTATTTTCAAAGTAGAGCTATGTTAAGTATAGATTGATGGCATATGGAAGTAGACGTAATGCACATCTTGAGCTGACACAGGGCATACTATGACATCACGTGCATTTCAGCCACTGGTTAGCTCTTGTTTGTTTGTTTGTTGTTTAACGTCGCAGTCAGCAATATTCCAGCTATAAGACGGTGGTCTGTAAATAATCGAGTCTGGACAAGACAATCCAGTGATTGACATCATGAGCATCGATCCGGTTAGCTGTGTTTACTACATGTATCCACCATTAACAATAAAATCAAACATAGATCGAGTTAATACATGTAAACATCATCACCTCATCCAGAGCTCCAGATAAGCTGCATATCTGCATGAAATACGCATCAGAAATGCAGAAATACACAGTAAAATATAATCCAAGCGTATCAAATACGCAACGAACAATACAGATACGCTACAAAAATAAAACTTGTGCGTATCATCAAAATATTGTGAAGTAACCCTGCGTATTCGATTAGCAAATCAGCAACTTATTTTGAAATTATAAACGGGCATTCCGTCAACCTTGCCAAACTCCACGATGACAGTTACATCATGATCATTTGCCATCACAGTTTCTTGTGGAAGTATCGTGGTATTTTTGAGTCCTTTAAAGCTCTCGAACCCACACGACACCAGTTTGCAGGGACTAGATGAATAGTGTTTTTAAATATTTAACTTAAATACCCACATGTGTAAAAACTAGTGGGTAACAGAAATTTGAATACGCAGATAGAATTACTGATACCCAATGATTTTAAAATGCAGTGGTAAAATACCCACAACACCAAAAGCTTATCTGGAGCTCTGATCATCACAAATCAAACTAATTCAAAAATACTCAATGACGGATATAATATCATGCATGTAGATCTACCCGGAGTGCCTGACTACAGATTTGGCATGGTCCAACCCGACCTTCAGGCACAGCGCCAGCCCTGGCTCCACTGTCACAGCAACTGCATCCACATCCTGTCAAAACACAGAAAGAATTACAAATAGTCGTTGTCTGAACATTGTCTGAGTAAACTTGACTGGCCTAAATATTAGTTCCGATTAAATGGCTCTAAAAAATATGACTAGGGATTTTTCTAAAATGTTTATTTCATGTCTAAGGGATTGCAAAAGAAAATAAATATTTATGTGCCATATATTTGCTATGGTCATCCATCAAATTGTTAGGGTCAAAATGAAATCTGTTTTAAAGTTTGGCACGACACCACTTACATGGACTGTCATACTGGCTCGGTCCAAGGCTTCCTGTACAACTCCAGCAATGCTCTCTACATGGAGGTTACGAGCCACTGGGGGAAGTATGCCACCAGCTCTACAAGTATTAAAGTTATTGTAAAACATATATGACAGTGTGCTGCAATACTAATTCACACCCAGAAAAAAACAGGACCAATACTTAAAGCTTATAGTTGCCCTTTAACATGAATATAGATCTAGATTACATTTTGTCTCTGATAATGATTAACATTGTAAAAGAAAATAACACTGTCATTTTGCCTAAAATAACTGGAAACAACAAGAACAACAATAATAATAATGTATAATAATAATAGATATAATAATAATAATAATAATAATAAAAGAAGTCATAAACATAAATGCAATAGAATCCTGATTCGCTGTCATTGTGTCAGTACAAATCAAAATTTGAAACACATTCCGTACTCCACATGAACTTTGACTTGGGAATTTAACGCCTCCCCAAGAACGCGACCTCTGTTATCAACAACGGCTGCACCGGTGTCATCGCAGCTTGTTTCGATGCCAAGGACAGTTTTCTTTGTATCAAAATATGTAGAAAACGCAGAGAGGACGCGTGTCTTTGATTCACTATTCCCTGATACTCTTAGACAACTCGAGATGCGTCGTTGACAACATCGGCTGACATGCCTCATGGGCGCAGACATCTTGGATTTCCCACAATGCACTCTGTCGAGAACCGACAGGATAAAATTCCCCAAATCCTCATGTTTATACTATCGTTCTATGTCCGATATATTCAATAAAAATTTACCGCAACATATATAATTTGTATATAGTATCATTTGTAGGCTTCGGAAATGATTATATCATTTTATTCGTACACTAAAACGAAACATATTCGAAAACTTTGACCCGGAAGTCCTTTAAATCTCAGTGTGGAAGGCTCGAGCGTGGCAATTGTCAATTTCTGATGAAACAGTGTATTTATCTGCTAGGCCAGTGTGTGAGGTATAGTCGCTTAGCTCCCTTGACGGGATTTCATCGGATTAGCGCATGCATATCGTCCACTAGTCGACAGTATATAAAGGCCAGAGATCCTGAGTGGGGATCAAAGAGAGAAAAGGAGAAGAGAAGCTCGATATTGCGAAACCTTACGAAAATGGATCCACAGATAGAAGCCGTGTTAGCCCCATTCCGAGCATCGGTCAAGGAACAGGTAATAACTAGCATATTGCATGTTAACGTGTACTTGATTCACACTGATAATTTGCTAGAAAACATACCAAGAAAGTTGGTTGTTCTTCAATACTCATTTTACATGTTTTAGGATAAAATAACAAGATGAATAGATGAACATGATGAATAGACGAGTTATATTTGTTTTCTGTTTTATGGTGAATACAGCCAGAGAAGAATTGCCAAAATATTGCAAAATTAAATTCTCTTTCTATGTTGCTATTGCATGAGGTTATAACTTGCTATATGATCACAATAGGTAGAGTATTTTGGGACTGGGACGAGTCCAAATTTACTACCTGGGTACCCATGCACCCACCTTATTACCCCACCCTAACCGGATACCCGCTGTAGGTCTCAAGAGATAGGTCCATATGTCTGATTGGGAATGGTTTGACTGTAGCCCTGGCAAAATGTATTTGGATACTTGTATAAAACGATCTTCTCATGCATACACCATATACACTGAAGTTGACTGAAGGTTTGACTGTTTTTTTATTCAAACATATAAAGTTAGAAGGAATGGGTGCATAGTCAGAAGGAAATGCAAACATTAGTCACTTATAGTGTAACCATAGAGTTCTAGATACTTTTTGCCATTAAACAATATATCACGTGACAACGACAGGTCCATGTAGTCCTGTGGGTACCCGGGTCCTACTCAGTACCCACCCGACCCGAATAACCCGTCCCAGCCCTAGAGTATTTATATATGGTTGGAATTATTGACAAAAATCCAAGCCTTATGATAATGCTCATATGTTAAGGTATCATTAGATCTACTCACAGTTACGAGACTGATTATAGAATATTCATATGAGAGAGAAAGGGCTTCCACTAGGTATCATACACAAAGTAGGCATGTTTACTGTGTTTGAGAATTCATTTAAGTCAGTAAACATTAAATATAGAAAGATAGAATATCGTCTAAACTGACTGATCTAACAAACCAGTCGTATTTATCATGTACATCTGCTTAACCATATTAACAGCGATAGAAACTTACAGTTTTAGCCCACTAGCCCTTAGTTATAAAGCAAAAAACCCAAAACAGCAAATTTCTACTAGTCCTTAGGATACCTTAGCTATTGGGCAGTTTAACAAGGACTATAGGACTAGTGCCAATTTCTAATGCTGATTAACCATGTACCATGTGTTAAGATAACAAAGATTGATAAAAGCATAAATGGTAAAGTTTACAAGATGCTCATGATGCTGGGGAAATTATCTGACTCTACGGACTGGAAGACAAGTAAGAATAGAAGCATCGAAATGCATTGTTTTTTATTTCTAACTTATTGTTGGTTTATTGATTAGAAATTAAAATAAAGAAGGATAAGTGCTCTCTTAAAATCACTTCCTCGTGAAGATATCAGAGATTTTGAGATGAGGAGGACATGGAGGAAGTATGATGTGACATGCTTAGGAACATGTGTTGAAGATTAGGAATGTGCTTAAGTAAATGAGTGATGTATGAAGTTTTAGAGTCAATTTACTCATCTAAATAAGGAACCCTCCAAAAAGTTAATGTCCTTCATAATATGGACTATGTATGCTTCGAAACTTAGCAGCTTGTGGGCCTCTGTCATGGGGTCTGTGTGTATATATTTTACAAATGAACGGTGATGAAGTATTCACCCTGTTTAAACTATAGATATATGTTGATGAAGATGATGAATGCTTTATTGTTTTGAGTTTGCATTTACCAACATTTTGTATTATTTTGATTTATTATGATTAATGAGACACTATGAATGTGCCTGGGGGGCGAGTCTTAATGACTTCCTGCGTTATGATTGCTGTGTGGTTATCGTTATCTCAGGCAGGGGACAACATTTTCACATCAGGCATGTTGTATTTCTTTATTTTGTTTCGTCTGCTTATCCCAAAGATTGCAATCAAACTTTAGAATCAGTTGGTTGTTTTGTCACTTCTATGTCTGTTAAATAATTTCATGATAATAAAAAATTACAAAGAAGTTCATTGTGTGAAGGCAAGTTACTCTTGGACATTTAAAGAAAAACTTTGTGTAGTGTTTGTTTTTTCATTCTAAGACGTGTATGTCTTGTTTCATTTCATCCTATAATTCACTTCAATATTTTTATGCACATTAAGTGGTGGCTTAGACTAACATTTAGTCTCTGAAATGAACATATCGTACAGAAAAAAACAGTTGTTCAGTTATCTTAATAAAAATATAATAAAAAGGAGCCCAGTGACTCTCTTCATTTTCAGACTGCAGTGATCTAGACTTGCCAAACATTATAGACTTGCATGGGCTGTATTTGATATATATTTGTTCAGGGTCTGTAAGACAGACTAGTGGTGGCTATAAGCATGTTTTGAGATGTGATATAAAGATAGGTATCCTCATTGTTCATGATACTTTGAAGTCATTGAATCCATTTTCCCCATCTTCCCTATATAAATGTCAGATATCCTTTGCCGTAGCTGAGTTTGTTATTTATGCAAATAGGGCTAGGATAGACTCCGCTCATCAGCTGATTGTAATCTTCCCATAAACCAATCCCCTAAAATCACATCCTTCACTCCCTGGGACTTAATTACCTGATAATTACTAAGCCTGTCAAGGCCACTCCCTCAATTGATTTGGGCTAGTCCTCATTAACAATGTGTCAGTGAGGTAATGATTGCTGGCAAGGTTAGATTATTAAAGTTTATAACACCAATAAACATGATAAATATCTGCCAAAATTATTTTCTTACGTTTCTTGTTTTACAGATGCAGGTTAGCATGTCCTAAATTTTACGAAACTGAAAACAAAACTAAAAACATTAGTTTTCAAGTTTAGCCTTTTTGTATGTTTGTTAAAATTTTGTATTTGTTCAACTATGAGCAGGTAAGCATGCTACTTTTCATACATGTCATATGTGATGGCTGTTTGAGAATGGACCGCCTCCGTGGTCAAGTGGTAGAGCGTCCTCCCGGAGAGCGGAAGGTCCGGGGTCGATCCCCGGCCGCGTCATACCAAAAGACGTTAAAAGATGGTACTTGTTGTTACCCTATCTGGCGCTCAGCATTAAGGGGCTAAAACAAGGACTGGTCGGCTCGGAGTCAGTATACTGTGTCTGAGTGGGGTATTCATGTTAAACTGCGGCATGGTATCTCAGTGAGCTAGCACTATAAATCGGCATCAGTCCAGACTAGTACGCATGGTACAAGCAGCCACACAAACACACAGACACGTACATGCACGTCGCTATATAAGTGCAATAATCTTTGACGCGACGTTAAACCCCATTTCACCTCACCTGTTTGAGAATGACTTCCAATTCACAAGAATGTTTTAGACCATGTGTGTAGACAGTAACCTGACACCTCACAATCACTATGTAACTGTGGTTACAGTTCCCATGGTTCCTCTTAGTTATGTGTCTCTTTAGACCTTGAGTCCACTTCCTACTTGTACAGAATAATAAACAGACCCACATACTCCGTTAGTTAAAATACTAGTAGCTTCTGATGCCCAGCTGTGTCCAGTGCCTCATACTCCATGTAAATAACATCTTCCTGCCTTAACCTTCATCAGTGTTGCGGGGCGGTCAGGTAGCCTAGTGGTTAAAGTGTTCGCTCTCCACGCCCAAGACCAGGGTTCGATTCCCGACATGGGTACAATGTGTGAAGCCCATTTCTGGTGTCCCTTCCAGCATGTCCAGTGATATTGCTGGAATTTTGCTAAAAGTGGCGCAAAATCATTCACTCATCAGTGTTGCTTTATGGGTGTTTTGCTCAATTAATGTGAATGTTATGAAACACAATTTCATATTTTTGTTTCTGCGGTCAACTGCCAGTGTTAACTATGCCGACCTATGACAAATGTATGACTGGTAGTGAGTTATTAACATAAAGTGGATATGAATGTTGTAGTAAGATTGTCAACTTCACCTAACAATGCATGATTATTAACACAAATCTTGGAAAGACAAACAAACATTAGCAATCAGTTTTGACATAGTCATTAAATAACATGTTATTTGTTTTCCAGGGTGATATAGTTCGGAAACTGAAGTCTGAAAAAGCTACTGACATCGATGTGCAGAGAGCTGTGGCAGAGCTTAAACACCGCAAAAGGGCTTTGGAAGAGAAGGTAGGGAGGCTCTCGATTGACTGGTCTGATTGACATGTCTTACACTGCAGTCAGTGTTATGGCAGATATTTATCCCGGCCTAGAAATAATCCAATCTTTTCCATGCAGACCAGCGGTTGATAACATGAGCAATCCTAGCGTCACAACACCCATAACTCCTCTGCTTACGACAGTCATAACGCTACGATTGCTTTGTGGATTAGGCCCAGAGTCCACTTGCACAGTAAGAGTGATCTTAACTCTATGATGATCGTAATGCCCATACTTTAACATAGATTTACGACAGTCCCAACGCTACGATTGCTTTGTGGATTAGGCCCAGAGTCCACTGGCGCAGTAAGAGTGATCTTAACTCTATGATGATCGTAATGCCCATACTTTAACATAGATTTACGACAGTCCCAACGCTACGATTGCTTTGTGGATTAGGCCCAGAGTCCACTTGCGCAGTAAGAGTGATCTTAACTCTATAATGATCGTAATGCCCATACTTTAACATAGATTTACGACAGTCCCAACGCTACGATTGCTTTGTGGATTAGGCCCAGAGTCCACTTGCGCAGTAAAAGTGATCTTAACTCTATGATGATCGTTATGCCCATACTTTAACATAGACTTACGACAGTGGTAGTGCTACGATTGCGTGTGAAACGAAGCACAGCACCCACTTGCACAAAGCAATCTAACGCTACAATGATCATAACTCCCAATCCTTGGTTTGTGAGCGCTATACACCTCCCAGATTTAACAATTCTACTGTGCAAAGTATGACTGGAATACAGTCACAACTAAACAGTGCCCTTAGATCCTCACTGGGGCCTTGGGTAGCCCAGTGGTTAAAGCGTTGGTTCGTCACACCGAAGACCCGGGTTCGATTCCTGACATGGGTACAATGTGTGAAGCCCATTTCCTGGTGTCCCCCACCATGATATTGCTGGAATATTGCTAAAAGCGGCTTGAATTCATAACCACTCACTCACACACTCACTCGACCCACCCACACACTCACTCGACCCACCTCACTCTCTAACCTCTGTAGGGGCGGTCGAGTAGCCTAGTGGTTAAAGCGTTCGCTCGTCATGCAGAAGACCCGGGTTGATTCCCGACATGGGTACAATGTGTAAGGCCCATTTCTGGTGTCCCCTGCCGTGATATTGCAGGAATATTGCTAAAAACGGTGTAAAACCCATCTTCTCGAGGCAAGTGAGTTAACCGACTAAACACATGATACAAGTCCACTTTCCACCCTTGCCGAATTAGGCTGGTATTATGGAGTTACATATTGGCTGGACTAACGAGTCTATGCATAGTCCAATCAAAATCGCGCAACGAAATCAAAATCCGGTTCGTAAACTGTCGTGCAGATTTCGGTCGACTGCAGGATTTGCAAAGCATGTGCACAGCTAAGTCGTTGTCAACAGTTATTTTCTAAATCTTTTCATGTTTTTAATCCAGGTGCTCACATGATTTGATGCACTTCGTGATGTAAGACCCGTTTTATCACAATATAGGACTTGATATTACCGATCACATCGTTTTGCCACCATTTTGTTTGAAGCAAATGCAAGTGATACGAGAGGTGGAATCTGATTGGTCCATAGGAGAGGTATAGAAGGGACATAACTCGTAATAGCAACTGGTGGCGCTACGATCGAGCCCAGGAATTCCAGGTGAGTTCGGCAAGGGTGGAAACTGGACTTTTAAAGTCAGTTAACTCTCTTGCCTTGGGAAGATGCGTAAAACCACACTCACTCACTCTAACATAACCTAATGTTTGTATTCTCCAGGAGTTGGCACTGGCACCGAAGGATGACTTTGACCGAGGGAAAATGGAGGATTTGTTAAAACAAAGGTTCTTCTACGACCAGTCATTTGCCATATATGGAGGTTAGTAATGACCACAACCAAACGTTCATGAGATTGACGATAGAGCTTTAGTATTTGTGTATGATACTTGAGAAACCCTGAGACTGGTTGTACATTAAATGATGGTAATGAGATTGAAGTTGAAACAATTCCCTGATGGTCATGCGGACAAAGCATCCTAACTTGAATCATGTCTGCGGGTCGAGACCCGTAAAGATCCGGATTAGAATAGGTCTTCAGCAACCCATGCTTGCCGTAAAAGGCGACTATGCTTGTCATAAGAGACGACTAACGGGATCGGGTGGTCAAAGTCGCTGACTTGGTTGATGCATGTCATTGACCCCAATTGCGTGGATCGATGCTCGTGATATCAATCACTGGATTTTCTGGTCCAGACTCGATTATTTACAGACCGCCATCATAGAGCTGAAATATTGCTGAGTGCGGCGTTAAACAACTAACCAACGAACCAACTGTGGGTCGAATTCCATCACAGGACTCAGGAATGTGATGGCCCCTCCGTGTGATACACATCGTTGTTGATAACATGTCACAAAGTGTGTTTACTGTCTGCTAATGAGATGGTCAACAAACTGTGTGACATTTGTGCTTCATATGAAGTCCCAATCATTTGTGTCCTCTGTGGGGAGGGGGAGGTCGGGTAGCCAAGTGGTTAAAGCGTTAATTCGTCAAGCCGAAGACCCGGGTTCGACTCCTGACATGGTTAAAATGTGTCCCCCGCCTTGATATTGGTGGAATATTGCTAAAAGCGGTGTAAAACCAAACTCGCATGGTTAAAGCGTTAGTTCGTCAAGTCGAAGATCCTGGTTCGATTCGGGGCATGGGTACAATGTGTCCCCCGCCATGATATTGCTGGAATATTGCTAAAAGCGGCGTAAAACCAAACTAACTAACTCACTTGTATTTTGGTATCATGTTTGTTACCTAAATCGACTGTGCATTTGTGCAGTTTTACTATATTAATGTCTTCTTATGATTGAAGTCTCACAATTAGGGATGTCATTGTATATCACGATATGGATGTATCATTGCATTTTTAATATCACTGATGTATCAATACAACTACATTCATATATCTCAAATGTCCACAAAGTAATCCATGCATGGATGTGTCACTGCTCACCAGTTGCATGGCATCTATCGATTTCTTTCGGGACTTTCTTGTGTATTTTCTTAAAGTTCCTTCTCCGATATGTATCGATAATTGATCGATATTTATTGTCGTGTGCTGCAGGCGTGAATGGCCTGTACGACTTCGGCCCCATGGGTTGTGCCGTGAAGGCCAACCTGCTGCAAACTTGGAGGAAGTTCTTCATTCTAGAGGAGCAGATGCTGGAAGTGGACACTGCCATGTTGACCCCGGAGGTTGTGCTCAAGTGAGTTGTCGCCCAAAGGTTGTCTTCAACTGAATTGTCTCCCTTTGATCACGGTGGTGTGTTGTCCCAAAATGGTGTTCTCAAGGGAGTTGTCTCCCTTGGTCCTCATTGATGTGTTTTCTGCCACATTTTGACAAGTGAGTTGTCTCCCTTAGTTCATAATGCAATGTTGTTTAAAAGTGGGTTGTCTCCCTTTCTTCACAACAGAGCGTATCACCCAGATGATGTCATCAAGTTAGTTGTCTCCCTTTGTTCTTAATGATGTGTTGTCTCAAATGTTGTCTTCAACAGAGTCGACTCCATCAGTTCGCAATATCATGTTGACTTTTAAGGTCATGAGAGTCAGACTTTTTACTGGATGAAAATATTGCATCCTGGAGGTATAAATAATCGTGAAGCTTTATTGTATGCCTCTGTGTTTCAGAGCATCAGGTCACGTTGACCGTTTCCAGGACTACATGGTAAAGGATTTAAAGAACGGAGAATGTTTCAGAGCTGATCATCTCATTGAAGGTGAAAAATAGTATTTTCCTTACCTTGACAGCGAATTATTTTACATGTACATGTGGTTATTTTGGATACAATTGTCATCATTCTGAGAAAAAGATTTTGTGGTTTTATGTGAATTCATCAGAATAACCTAGACCTTGGTTAGAACTGGTCTTCAGCAATTCGTGCTTGTCGTAAGAGGTGACTAACAGGATCGGGTGGTCAGGTTCGCTGACTTGGTTGATGCAAGGAATATAGCTGAATGCGGCGTAAAACAACAAACATACAAAACATAAGAATAACCATTTATTGTTTACTTTTAAACTTAGTATTGAGGATTGGGATATATTCTTAATTAGAATATTTGTCATACATACATATGACAAGAAATTCAGATTCAACAGCATCGTCATTGGAGATTTCCCTCCTGTTCCCTCTCAGTCAGAATTACCCAAGATGGATATTTACTCAAATGATTGCTATATCCAGAATAACTATTAATCAGGATCTTGTTGTGATGGACTCCGTATTCATGGTAACAGTATACATATGTTCTTGATTTACTCATAGCTCACCTGGAAAAACTGTTGTCTGACAAGAAAGCATCCGATGAAGTGAAGGAAGAAATCAGGAAGATCCTGCCAACAGTGAGTATTTGTAGTTATGTTTCGTTTGGTAAAAACCCAACTATTATACACCTATAGTCAAAGTCTTTGATAAATAAACAACCTTGGTTATCATAGAATGACACATTAGATCAGCTTTGAAAGGAAGACTCTGATTGGCTGAAAATCAGGAATGCCGTGCCACTTCCTGAATTTTAACATTGTTCTATATTCTGTAACCATTTCTAGACCAATCAGCAGTTTAATATTAGACACCTAGCATGTAACAGAGGAAATATTGATACTTTTTACAGTTCCTATGGGTGAACAATCGGCAGCCTTCCTGATGAATTAACATGTGGGCTATCGATGTATTCATTCACACATTTTTTGTGTGAAAAGGCTAAACATATTTAAAAGGGGTTTCCATAACAAAAAGGAAACCTTTTTAACCAGTCAAAATCAAGCATTCTTCAATGTCATGGCAGAATGTGTTTATGAGTTTATTCCATCAGAGCATGTGTCATATTGAGTTTACAAACAGGTGTCAGAATTTAGTTTTCCCGAGTGAAGTCAAGGGAAAGACCTGGATGCTAACACAAGTTTCATAAAATTAGTATTATATACCCAAATATGTTATGATCTGTTTATTATCGGGTAGCCTAGTGGTTAAAGCGTTCGCTCGTCACGCCGAAGACCCTGGTTCGATTCCCGACATGGGTACCAGGGGTCCGGAAACCGTCATATGCGCCGGACATGTCCGATTGGGAATCTCAAATGTCCGTTTTAAAATATTGCTTACCGGACATTTTAAAAAGTATTGTCCGGACATTCTTAAATTTTGACCGGACATGATCAACAGTTAGGACTGATTCTGTCTGCAGTTGCAACACAATGAAGATTAACTACACTGACAAGCTTTGTTTGTTTTGATTGCTGTAAATACATTGTACCTACATGATAGTCCAATCTGTCAATCACTGTAATAGGCAATAAACTGAGTTGACACTGATTAATCGAGGATTAATTACTGAGAACATCTTGTTAATTTGAGTGAAAGGTGTTTACAACTGTACATTAATACCTTGCATCATCGATGTACCTCATTATCCTCACAATGCTACGATACATAACCTCAGACAAGAAGCGAAAGCGTGACGACAGCCAGTCGACCGATGCAGATCAGTCGGGCGGATCTGCCAAACAATGAGGATTTGCAGATTTTATTGTTTTCAGTAGCTAGTCGTATATTGAATCTTGATTGACCGCCATTTTGCTTTCTCGGACGATCGATATCCAATTTTTTTATGGTCAATAATTAAGTACAGATGAAAAAAGTATTCAAATAACTATTGCTATCAACGATATTTTAGTATTTGTGATTAAAATATCTGTCTTGTTTTTAAAAAAATCTTTAGTTTAAAAAAAACCCTTTTCCCGTGAGGTCACGTGATAACCAAATATGGGATAATAGTCTCGATCCAAATGTTACAACGCGTACACTTGAGCAGACTCATGAATATAACTCATGAATATTAATTAGACCATTCACTACGTTAACAGATCGTTATTATAACAGAAACAAACATATTTTTTCCATGTAAATCTAAAATGATATTATTTGTTATTAATTGTCCGGTAAATTAAACAATTTAAATTGAAACAATTCATAATTCATCATATTATGAATACGTAAACTTGTAATGTGTGTGAAAAGTCGTACTAAAATACGCTATTTGAAGGGGGCGTGGCCTAAATGCAAATGTCCGATTGGGATTTTAAATTTTCCGGACCCCTGATGGGTACAATGTGTGAAACCCATCTCTGGTGTCCATCGCCGTGATATTGCTGGAATATTGCTAAAGAGGTGACTAATGGGATTGGGTGGTCTTGGTTGATGCAAGTCATGTGCATGGATCAATGTTCATGATGTCATTCACTGGATTGTCTGATCCAGATTCGATTATTTACAGCCTGCTGTCATATAGCTTGAATATTGTTAAGTGCAGTGTAAAACAACAAACAAATGCACTGTGCACACCTCTCTAGCAGACACTTTACTTGCAAGCTGATCACTCAGCCAAGTCGTACTACATGAACACACCCTTTTTCCAAGTCCTGGGTTCTGTTCCACAAAGCGATCGTAGCCGTAAGACGATCGTAACTCCCATACTTTAACATAGACTTACGACAGTCTTAGCGCTAAGATCGCATTGTAAAACGGGGCCCTGGCCCCTCAGATTGTATGGGGGGGCACGGGTGGCCCAGTCGTCTAAGGCGCTGCGTTTCGCCCTGCAGAGTTGCGTCTCTTGGGCACGCCAGAAACCTATGATTTGTGGGTTTCGAATCCCGGTTCGCCCCAATTATGTTTCTAGGTTTGTCAGCACCATACCCGTGCTCGTTGGTTTCACCGAAGTGGTAAACGTTTAGACCTGCATCACTTCGGGCTTTCCTCCCACATTAAGCTGACACGCCGTGATATAACTGGAATACTGTTAAAAGCGTCGTTAAACCCAACTCACTCACTCTCTCAGACTGTATTGGCTTTGCTCAACTCTTGAACCACACAGACAATTAACATGTCCTTGTATTCCTAGATTGACGGTATGAGCAAGGACGACATGGGGGAATGCCTCCGCAAGTACAACATGAAGTCGCCCGTGACCGGCAATGATCTGTCCGACCCCATGGAGTTCAACCTGATGTTTGCCACGTCCATCGGCCCTACTGGCCAGCTCAAGGGGTAGGTTGACCAGAAGAAGATTAAAATGGTTTCAGACAAAGAACCAGAGAAATTTTCTCTACATAAATGGAACAGATATTTACTTTCATATGGTCATTTTCATAATTATTCTGCTTCATAACCTAATGTTATTTCGTCACTCAACAAATCTATATATTCTTGTGCAGTATGCAACTTGCCCATCTTCCCGAGGCAAGGGAGTTAACTGACTGAAGTTCAGTTTCCAACCTTGCCGAACTAGGCTGGAATTATGGAGTTACAGTTTGGCTGGACTAACGAGTCTATGCATAGTCCAATCAAAATCGCCTAACGAAATCAACATCCGGTTCGCAAACAATATGGATTACAACATGCAGATTTCAGCCGACTGAAGGATTTGCAGAGGTTGTGTAACGTCAACTGGGCGTCGACAGATATTTTTCAAATCTTTTCATGTTTTTTAATCAACGTGCTCATTTAATTTCATGCATTTCGCGAAGTCAGACCAATTCTATTTCAATGTAGATCTTGATCATCTATCATGTCGTCTTGACCGGGCGCCGCCATTTTGTTTGAAGCAAATGCAAGTGATATGAGAAGTGGCATCTGATTAGTCAATAGGAGACACATAGAAGGGACATAACTTGTAAGAGCCACTGGTGGCGCTACAACCGAGCCTGGAAATTCCAGCCTAGTTCGGCAAGGGTGGAAACTGGACTTTTAAAGTCATTTAACTCCCTTGCCTCGGGAAGATGTCTACTGGCCATGTGACCATTAATATTGTAATGGATGACCGCATTTCGGCAGCTTTGGCTCCCAAGAGTTTTCAAGGCTTTGGTTCTGCCCCACACTGAAACACATCTAACACATGTGGCGTTTCCTTGGGCAAGGGACTTTATTATTATGAATAAACTGTCAATACACAGTACACAGATATTAAGAAATGATGTGATATTCCCAGATCAGTCCCCATTGACGACCTGTGAAGATTCCAGGGTAGAATAGGTCTTCAGCAACCCATACTTGCCGTAAAAGGGGACTACCCTTGTCGTAAGAGGCGACTAACGGGATCGGGTGGTCAGACTCGCTGCCTTGGTTGATACATGTCATTGATCCCAATTGCGTAGATCGATGCTCATGATGTCAATCACTGGATTGTCTGGCCCAGGCTCGATTATGTTACAGACTGCCGTCATATAGCTGGAATATTGCTGAGTGTGGCGTTAAACAACAAACAAACAAAACATTGACACTCCACAAAGGGAGGTTTGAAACACATTCATTAGCTAATTTCCACACTTCGAATTGTACGACTTCAAGACCACTGATGCAACATTAACTCTTAGACTGTACTTCACTTCATGACGATCTTCAAACTAATTCAGCAGTCTAAGGGTTAAACACTCACTCAACCTTTGCCTTTTGTTACAGGTTTTTGAGACCAGAAACGGCCCAAGGTATTTTTGTCAACTTCAAGAGGTTGTTGGAGTTTAATGCTGGGAAGCTGCCATTTGCTGGGGCACAGATCGGCAACTCCTTCAGGAATGAGATCTCACCACGATCAGGACTCATCCGAGTCAGGTAGATGTTTATTTGCCACTTTACACCACAGATCAGCAATATCACATCAGCCTGTAAATAATAAAGTCTGGGCCACGCAAACCAGTGGTTAATAAACGTCTCACAACCCTGTTTATCTTCATGTTGTAGAGAGTTTACGATGGCAGAGATCGAGCACTTCTGTGATCCAGACTCTAAGGATCATCCCAAGTTTGCGGACATTGCTGACCTCGAGTTCCCATTGTACTCTGCCTGTAACCAGATGGACGGCAAGCCCCCAGAGGTCACCAAGATTGGCGAGGCAGTGAAAACAGTACGTATCAGTGAGACACAAGGTCCTGAATATCTGTTCAGTGGTTATAGGTTTGGTGGGTTTATCAATTCTGGTACGAGACCCGTGAAGATGCGGGGTAGAATAGGTCTTCAGCAACCCATGCTTGTAAAAGGCGACTATGCTTGTCGTAAGAGGCGACTAACGGGATCAGGTGGTCAGGCTCGCTGTCTTGGTTGATGCATGTTTTCTCATCCCAATTGCATGGATCGATGCTCATGATGTCAATCACTGGATTGTCTGGTCCAGACTTGATTATTTATAGACAACCCTCATATAGCTTGAATATTGCTGAGTGTGGCGTTAAACAAAAAACAAATACAAGTTCTGGTATGAGTGCATGTTTCCTATTTTCACAGTAGCTTTTGAATGCATTCGTTTATTGGTAGAAGGGGCTTTTTTTAGGCAGTGATGAGAAAATAGTCAGTGCATCTGGTCAAGAATTATTCAAAATTTTGTCACTTTTTGTTTTGATTTTTGTAGTTGAAAAGTCCAGTCCATTGTTTCAATGACCTATGCATTAAGTCCATTCAGGGATTATTTTGCTAGTCATTTTTTTCCAGATCTGTTTAACTCATTTATGATAACTGATTTGTATCCTGATTCGTGTCAGGTGTGACTTGACTCTGCCAGGGTGGTGGGGAGTTTCTCGTACATCCATGTTCGTATATGATCTGGGATTATGTACTCATCACTCTGTGTTTTCAGAAACTGGTAGCCAATGAGACCCTAGGCTACTTCATGGCACGGATTTTCCTGTTTTTGACCAAAGTTGGTGTTGACCCCAAGAGGTTCCGATTCCGACAGCACTTGTCCAATGAGATGGCTCACTACGCCTGTGACTGCTGGGACGCTGAGATGAAGACATCCTACGTATGTTAATATAAGTCTTACGAGGTGATGCTGAGATGAAGACATCCTACGTATGTTAATATAAGTCTTACGAGGTGATGCTTAGATGAAGACATCCTACGTATGTTAATATAAGTCTTACGAGGTAATGCTGAGATGAAGACATCCTACGTATGTTAATATAAGTCTTACGAGGTGATGCTTAGATGAAGACATCCTACGTATGTTAATATAAGTCTTACGAGGTGATGCTGAGATGAAGACATCCTACGTATGTTAATATAAGTCTTACGAGGTGATGCTGAGATTAAGACATCCTACGTATGTTAATATGTCTTACAAGGTGATGCTGTAAAAGTCATCCTACATATGTTTATATAAGTCTTACGAGGTGATGCTGAGATGAAGACATCCTACGTATGTTAATATAAGTCTTACAAGGTGATGCTGAGATGAAGACATCCTACGTATGTTAATATAAGTCTTACGAGGTGATGCTGAGATGAAGACATCCTACGTATGTTAATATAAGTCTTACGAGGTGATGCTGAGATGAAGACATCCTACGTATGTTAATATAAGTCTTACGAGGTGATGCTGAGATGAAGACATCCTACGTATGTTAATATAAGTCTTACGAGGTGATGCTGAGATGAAGACATCCTACGTATGTTAATATAAGTCTTACGAGGTGATGCTGAGATGAAGACATTCTACATATGTTAATATAAGTCTTACGAGGTGATGCTGAGATGAGGACATCCTACGTATGTAAATATAAGTCTTACGAGGGGATGCTGAGATGAAGACATCCTACGTATGTTAATATAAGTCTTACGAGGTGATGCTAAGATGAAGACATCCTACGTATGTTAATATTAATCTTATAAGGTTATTTCTAGGGCTGGGACAGGTAACTCGGGAACTTGGGTCAAGTGGGTACTGAGTAGGACCCAGGTACCCACAGGACTACCCGGACATGTGGTTAGTCACGAGATATACTGTTTAATAACAAAAATGATCTAGGACTCTATGGTTACACTATAAGTGACTAATGTTTGCATTCCTTCTGACTTCATATGTTTTTATAAAGATAAAACTTCAGTCAACTTCAGTTTATGCATTAAAGAAAAGTAAAGTGCACTACTCCCCATGTCTTCATTCTTGAATCCAGAAAAGTGTTTGAAGCATATAAACAATAATTGTTACTTGTTACCATGGTTACTTTGTGACTGTTGTTTCAGGGTTGGATCGAGTGTGTGGGCTGTGCTGACCGGTCGTGCTATGACCTCACCCAACACACCAAGGCCACCAGTGTCAAGCTGGCAGCAGAGAGGAAACTGCCCGAACCAATATCCTTGTTTATCTAAGTTACACCCAATTGGGATTCCAAGACAGACAGGTCCCCAGTACCTTATGCGTGTCTCCCTGTGGGGATTTTGGGAGCAATAGGTCCCCAGTACCTTATGCTTGTCTCCCTGTGGGGATTCTGGGGAGCAATAGGTCCCCAGTACCTTATGCTTGTCTCCCTGTGGGGATTCTGGGGCGGAATAGGTCCCTAGTACCTTATGCTTGTCTCCCTGTGGGGATTCTGGGGAGGAATAGGTCCCCAGGGTCCCATGATTGTCTCCCTGTGGGGATTCTTGGGCAGAATAGGTCCCTAGTACCTTATGCTTGTCTCCCTGTGAGGATTCTGGGGTGGAATAGGTCCCCAGTACCCCATGCTTGTCTCCCTGTGGGGATTCTGGGTCGGAATAGGTGCCCAGTATCCCATGCTTGTCTCCTTATTGGGATTCAAAGACAGACCAGATCCCCAGTGTCCCATGCATGTTTCCCTGTGGGGATTCTGGGGAGCAATAGGTCCCCGGTACCTCATGCTTATCTACCTGTGGGGATTCTGGGGCAGAATAGGTCCCCAGTATCCCATGCTTGTGTCCCTGTGTGGATTCAGGGGCAGAATGAATGGTAGCACAGTTGCAAGGGTGTAGGTTTATGACATGGTAGACAACTTCCGGTTCATGTAGTATCAGTGACTGTTCAATAAGTTAATGGGATATTTGATGCATTTCTCTACCTTCAGTCTTGTGGTGTATGAGCCCACCTAGGTTCTAAAACCCCGAACACCATGCTAGTGACACATAGAACTCGTAATATTTGAGCAGTTTTACTGCTGTGGACATTTTTGTGTGGATAATCACACTTTTTTACAATGAAATGAGGAATGCATACCTCCTGCACCTATTTTGAAACTACTGTTACTATGGTTGCTATGGTTACATGGATTATTCCCTAACGGTCCCACAAAACAATCAGCGTATACGAGTGTGTGCCGGAGAAGGGCGGCCTGGGCAAGGCTTTCAAAAAAGATGCCAAGGCGGTGACAGCTCACTTGACTGGGATGAGTGGGGATGAGTTGTCTACCCTTGAACAGGCACTGCAGGATAAGGGGTAAGTTGATAGTGTGTATTGAACTGTGTTGACTACAGTGTGCCTTTGCTCGTACAGAGTTGTGTCCCCTAGGTGCCGTTGGTAGTACATACTTGTGTACCCCAGGTGCCTTGGGTAGTACGTAGTTGGGGCCCCTAGATGCCTACGGCGGTATAGAGTTGTGTTTCCTAGGTGCCTTGGGTAGTACAGAGTTCTGTACTTTGGGTAGTACAGAGTTGTGCCCCCTAGGTGCCTTTGCTAGAACAGAGTTCTGTCCCCTAGGGGCCTTGGGTAGTACAGAGTTCTGTCCTCTGGTTACCTTGGGTAGTACAGAGTGGTGCCTTGGCTAGTACAGAGTTGTGTACCCCAGGTGGCTTGGCTAGTACAGAGTTGTGTCCCCTATTTCTTATCTGTGGTCTGTCAGGACCATGCCTACACACACGATTTGTATGAACATGGTAATCGCCAACTATATGGGTGATACAGCATGATATGAACACAAATTTATCATATTATTAATTGTTCAGAGAAACATTGTGTATATTTCAGTATTTCAGAATGTGCTACATTATATATTGAAGGTTTTATGTCAGGTTTAGTGGACATGGTGGCATCTTGTGTTCGTTACTCAGCAACACAATTTACTTTTTTCAGAGAAGCTGAGATTAAGGTGGATGGGCAGAAGTTTACTGTGAAAAAGGAAATGGTGACTTTCAAAAAATATGACAAAACCATTCATGGTAAGTCTTTCTAATAAACTGACAGTTGAAATCTTAAAGGGCCAGTACGTCAACGGTTCTGGTTGGTTGTATGTCACACCTTTAGTTCATGCACGAATTCAAAACAATAGAACTCCGCACAGCAAGGCCGACAACCCAAGCTGTTGGTCATGTTTTTATTAGAGGCAAATTGATAGAGAGAACCTGTGTGTTTTTTTACAAATTTGTTACTAAATACTTATTGCTAGCTTGATTGGATTAGAAGCCAGTGTTTATCAAAGCCAAGATTACAATATAAATAAATGCCTTACCTGTGTGAAGCCTATCATGTTGCAGAAACAATGCAGGGGCATTCCTAACTTCTAAGTAATGCCTTTCAAACAATTTATTCCTCGGAAGGAAGCACTTCCTGACCTGTTAATAAGCCTAAAACCATGGTGTGGTAAATAGAGCCAGAACTTCTCTCGCGAAATAATGCTTCAGAAGGGTTGACTCACCAGCACTTTAATTATAATACCGTAGTCGCCCTAATAAGCGCCTCGCTCTAAAAAGCGCCCACAGTGATACTTGCTAATATATTGGCTAGTGAACAATCCCAATTGGCACCCTTCCGATTGATCAATGTACACAAGACTTATTTTTTCGCGTATAGTACACCCTCAAGTGTTATATGCACCCTTAATTATTGGCAATTAAATTCTGGAAAAATATATCTGTCGTACATAAACATTTCAGGCTGTCAGCATAAACCACGAAATTTATCTTTCAACTCTGTTTTTTTTTCACCAAAATAATATTCTAATAAGAGCCACCTGTTTCTAATTTTGAGAGCGCCCTGGGCGTATTACGTCAAATACGGTAAGTTCATATGGATGTTGTGAAAAAGTCGTGGCAGTTGGGTAGCCTAGTGGTTAAAAGCGTGCGCCAAAGACCCAGTTCGATTCCGGACATGGGTACAATGTGTGAAGCCCATTACTGGTGTCAACCGCCATGATATGGCTGGAATATTACTAAAAGTGGTGTAAAACCATACTCACTGTGATAAAGTCACTTGCATCAAGATACATTGAACCGTTGATGTGCCTCTGTGATGTAAGCATGTGTTCCCTCTTTCTGAGACAAACACCTGTGATTATGGGAAATATATGCCAACTGTACATTTCAGTGGAGGAGATTGTCCCATCTGTGATAGAACCCTCGTTTGGTATTGGGAGAATCATGTATTCGGTCTTTGAGCACAACTTTAAAGTCCGAGAAGGTGATGAGCAGAGAACAGTGAGTTTTTTTGTTGCATATTTCTCATATATATTCACTGGCTGTTGGATGCTTTTGATGATAGGTATATGATAACAGTGTTTCACTGGGTATGTGGTAACATTTTATGACAACTATGTGATAACAGTGTTTCACTGGGTATGTGGTAACATTTTATGATAACTATGTGATAACAGTGTTTCACTGGGTATGTGGTAACATTTTATGATAACTATGTGATAACAGTGTTTCACTGGGTATGTGGTAACATTTTATGATAACTATTTGATAACGTTTCACTGGGTATTTGGTAACATTTTATGGTAACTATGTGATAACAGTGTTTCACTTCGTATGTGGTAACATTTTATGATAAACTACGTAACACTGGCAGTGTGGGTTCGAATCCCAGCTGGGACTCAAACCCCCAAAGTACGAGAATCTGTACTTTACTAAGAAGGTGTTATTCAAAGTATGACATCTTTTACACTTGACCACTTTCTAAATGGCATTGTGTGTTCATAGCTTTTGGCCATGGGAGCCGTGCCAATTTGCTCTTGTCAGAGGGGTACACAAAGTACATGATCTAGACTACCAGTTGTCGGACTTTCATTTTTGTGGGGGGCGGTCGGGTAGCCTAGTGGTTAAAGCGTTCGCTCGTCACGCCAAAGACCCAGGTACGATTCCCGACATGGGTATAATGTGTGAAGCCCATTCCTGGTGTCCCCCGCTGTGATATTGCTGAAATATTGCTAAAAGCGGCATTAAACCATACTCACTCACTAATTTTTGTGGAAGCCTCGGTGGCTGAGTGGGTTAGATCGCTGACTTTGTGTGCTGGCGATTAGGTGCCTCACATTTGATAAGCATGTGATTTACTGGGTATGTGGTAACATTTTATGATATCTGTGTAACACTAGCAGTGTGGGTTCAAATCCAGGATGGGACTCAACCCAAAAAGTAAGGGATCTGTTCTTTACTATGAAAGTGTTCTCCCAAATATAACATTTGTTATATATGATACCAGTGTTTCACTGGGTGTGTGGTGACATTGGTCAGTGAGTATGTGATAGCAGTGACATGACAACATTGTATTTGTGCAGTACCTGACGCTGCCGCCAATCATCGCCCCCTACAAGTGCTCCCTGCTGCCCCTCAGTAACAACCCAGACTTCGCCGCCTTCATCAAGCAGCTGTGTAAGTTCATGGAATAACACTCATAACACACCCAGGCAGGCTAGTAAACATCGTCTATATCACACAGGACATACAGTTTGTGATTTCTGATTTGTTATAATTTTCTAAATGTAACGATCGGACCAGACAGTAGTAAGAAAAGATTTTAAAAAGGATTTTTAAAAATCTTGGTTCTCAGGCACCGCCCACATCATCATAAAGTTCAAAGCGCAATTAGTTTTTATTTTGATTTAAGAAAAGTAAATAAATAAAATCCTGAAATATTCCAATCACAACCTTAGTCAAATATTGTATTCCAGTATTTTACTTATCAAGGAATATTTTACATCTCATAGCGGTTAAAGCGTTTGCTCGTCACACCAAACACCCAGGTTCGATTCCCAACATGGGTACAATGAGTGAAGCCCATTTCTGGTGTACCCCATTGTGATATTGCTGGAATAGTGCTGAAAGCCGTGTAAAACCTCACTCACTCACTCACTCACTCACTCACTCACTCACTCACTCACTCACTCACTCACTCACTCACTCACTCACTCACTCACTCACTCAAGGCTCAGGTTTCATTCCCAACATGAGTACAATGTGTTGCAACCCATGTATGGTGTGATAGTGTGGGAATATTGTTAAACAAAGCACTCACTCACTATGTTTTCTTTAGCCCAACAACTGACTGAGTTAGACGTGTCACACAAAGTGGATGACAGTGGCGGCTCTATTGGACGCCGGTACGCCCGTACCGACCAGATTGCCATCCCCTACGGCATCACCATTGACTTCGACAGCCTGAAGACTCCACACACCGCCACCCTCCGGGAGAGGGACACACTGAAGCAAGTCAGGGCACCGGTAGGTTACCATGGTTACTGTCTGCTATATTTAATTTACTAGATGATGACATAATGTCCTTTCTAAAAATTCCATTTGTCAACCGTACGTAAACTCGAACAAATTGAAACCTCAAAACTCATCTTTTCAAAACAATGTACTGTAAAATAGTACTGTCGTGTAGCGCTGTGAGCAACTTGTCGTTATACACACTGACACACGAATATTACATCACAGAACTTGAGTATGGCCTGTGACATCACTTCCAGTTGGTGCATGTTGTATATTTTCGATGGTGTTTGGTTCACTCAACATTGTTGGGATTTATATCGGCCCACCTTTTGTTCATTGTGTTGTGGTGAAATTTAACAACTGGGAATAACGGCAATGTTCCTTTCCTCTGTAGGTGTGTTTGTAACTGGTGCCTTTTGATAGTTTGGGATTTTTTTTTTGATTTTTTTTTTTTGAGTTTCCATGGCAACGACTTTGACTTAGACTGAAAATGGCGGTAGTCCTTGTTTCCAGAGCAGATCTTGAAAACCTTACCATATGTCTTCACTAAACTTGGCACATAGATAGGTCTAGTGGTGAACTGGTGCCTTTTGATAGTTTGGGATTTTTAGCATGTTGTTTCTATCTCCAGATTGAAGAGCTACCCGAGATAGTGCGTGATTTGGCTGTGGGTCGGAGGACGTGGGAGAACGTGCTGAACAATTACCCCCTGTTTGAGCAGCAGGAGGCCAGTTCCAAGTGAACAACTACCACCCCCCGAACAATACGTGGCAGTGAAAGTTCATGAACAATTCTGAAGTGCCAAATGCCGTTTGGCACCCGCTTCTTGAGAAGCTGTGATACATAGAATGGAGGAAGGGACATGCTTTTCTATTTATGTGCATCACACAGCATGTGGGAGCCACAAAACGATCGACAGAGGTGTGTGCAGCTGTAGCAGTTGCCAACAAGTTCCATGACAACTTGCCATGGAAACGTTTAAAGTTCCTTAGACAACAGTACCATGGCAACTTATATGGTTGTCCGGCAACAGTTACCATGTCATGGATTCTGGCAGCTGTTGCCATGGTGATTTGAAATGGTTGCCTGGCAGAGGAAGGTGAAGGTAGTGAGACTCAGGAAAGATGAACAAGACAAAGGTGCTCAACGACCTCATATAGTCATCATTCCAGCAGGACTTGATGCAGGATTCACAAACTATCACGGCTCCTTTGCAGTGCAAGGAAAATTTACACACACTGAAACTTTACGAGCATGTGCAATGTTTACTGAAATTATTTTCCAAATTTATAATTTCATTCTTTATGGGAAGGGTTTCAAGGTATGTTCTGTTACATTTGTATGTAATAAACCACTCCATTTGAACCAATGTGTCCTCCTTGTTGTTATACCCCGCCCCAATGAAGTTGGCGGGGGATATAGAAATGGGTTCCGTCCGTGTGTGCGTGTGTGCGTGTGTGCGTGTGCGTGTGCGTGTGCGCGTCCCAAAATCGTTCCGGAGCATAACTCAGAAACCGTTAAATATTTCTCTACAAAACTATGCATGTCTATCAGACTCGTGCTAAACTGGTGCCTTTTACTATTTAGGAATTTTATTAATTTTTATTTTTTACGTTCCATGGCAACAAGTTGGACATAGGTTCTATAAGGGTGCTGTTTGTTTCCGGAGCGTAACTCAAAAGCCGTTAAATAATTTCTTACAAAACTTTGCATGTTTACCAGACACATACTGAACTGGTGCCTTTTGCTATTTAGGAGTTTTATAAATTTTTATGTTTTATGTTTCCATGGCAACAAGTTGGACTTAGGTTCTATGGGGAACTGGTGCCATTTGATATTAAGGAGTTTTATCAATGTTTATTTTAGAATTTCCATTGCAGCTATTTTGACATGGCCTAAGAGAAATGTTGGGTCAGTTACCCGGTTTGGGACCATAACGTGTTAAAATGGCGGGGGATATAGATGACTTCGTCAACTGTACACTTGTTTTCCCCAAACACAGGCAGCATGATGACACTGTACGCTGTCTTCTGTATGTTTGTTTGTTTGTTTGTTGTCTAACACTGCACTCAGCAATATTCCATATATATGGTGGCGGTGTGTAAATAATCAAGTCTGGACCAGACAATCCACTAACTGACATCATGAGCATCGATCCATGCAACCCGATCCCGTTAGTCACCTCTTACGACAAGCATAGTCGCTTTTTACAGCAAACATGGGTTGATGAAGACCTATTCTACCCCAGATCTTCACGGGTCACACTGTCTTCTGTATGTTGTTTTCAGCTGCAATGAGCATATAGCATCAGTCTCATTAAAAACAATGTCTCTGAACATCTCATCGCGCCGCCATCGTTCTACTTATGAAGTCCACAAGCATGGTACTTATGAAGTCCACAAGCATGGTACTTATGAAGTCTACGAGCATGGTACTTATGAAGTCCACAAGCATGGAGCTTATGAAGTCCACAAGCATGGTGCATATGAAGTCCACAAGCATGGTGCTTATGAAGTCCACAAGCATGGTACTTATGAAGTCCACAAGCATAATGCTTATTATGAAGTCCACAAGCATGGTGCTTATGAAGTCCACAAGCATGGTGCTTATGAAGTCCACAAGCATGGTGCTTATGAAGTCCACAAGCATGGTACTTATGAAGTCCACAAGCATGGTGCTTATGAAGTCTACGAGCATGGTGCTTATGAAGTCCACAAGCATGGAACTTATGAAGTCCACAAGCATGGTGCTTATGAAGACCACAAGCATGGTACTTATGAAGTCCACAAGCATGGTTCTTATGAAGTCCACAAGCATGGAGCTTATGAAGTCCACAAGCATGGTGCTTATGAAGACCACAAGCATGGTACTTATGAAGTCCACAAGCATGGTTCTTATGAAGTCCACGAGCATGGTGCTTATGAAGACCACAAGCATAGTACTTATGAAGTCCACAAGCATGGTTCTTATGAAGTCCACAAGCATGGTTCTTATGAAGTCCACAAGCATGGTACTTATGAAGTCCACAAGCATGGTACTTATGAAGTCCACAAGCATGGTACTTATGAAGTCCACAAACATGTTTCTTATGAAGTCTACGAGCATGGTGCTTATGAAGTCCACAAGCATGGAACTTATGAAGTCCACGAGCATGGTGCTTATGAAGTCCACGAGCATGGTGCTTATGAAGTCCACAAGCATGGTGCTTATGAAGCCCACGAGCATTGAACTTATGAAGTCCACGAGCATGGAACTTATGAGGTCCATGAGCATGGAACTTATGAAGTCCACAAGCATTGTGCTTATGAAGTCCACGAGCATGGTGCTTATGAGGTCCACAAGCATGGTGCTTATGAAGCCCACGAGCATGGTGCTTATGAAGTCCACAAGCATGGTGCTTATGAAGCCCACGAGCATTGAACTTATGAAGTCCACAAGCATGGAACTTATGAAGTCCACAAGCATTGTGCTTATGAAGTCCACAAGCATTGTGCTTATGAAGTCCACAAGCATTGTGCTTATGAAGTCCATAAGCATGGTGCTTATGAGGTCCATAAGCATGGCCTTCATGAAGTCAACACGGTGGTGGTGACAAACCTAGAAACAAGAATCACCCAAGACCACCAGCTTGTGCATGTTTGATCTACTACTGCCTGTCTGCTCAGAATAACAACAGATACAAAACTGCAAGGTTTATAACCAGTTTATTCCGCTAGTGATGAAGCTCATCATAATACTGGAGGAGGAACAGGACAACTGTATTCAACATACTGAATGCTGTAGAGACAATGGAGATGAAATTCATATTAAGTTTGTAAACTTAAAGAAACTGACACATAAATTGAGTCTAGAAACTTTAACCAAAGTTCGCATTTTCTTCTGCTTCAGTAGCAGATGTCATCAGACGGTCTTTGGTTGACTACCTCCGTAAAACCTGTTCATCCTGAAGGAGAAGTTTTTCTGCCACACATTACAAGTCACCACTAGTCACAATGGTCTGGATCAGACAAATCACTGGTTGGTAGTGCTTGTTTATGATTTAGAATCAAACCCAGACCTTGTGCTCGATGAGATGATTCCTTGCATGTCTTGAGTTCATGTTGCGAGGTGTATCACAGAGATCAGACAGACCAGTGGCTGGCCACAAAATGGTATTGAGAAGTGTAGGGAGGAGCACCTATGATGGCGCAGCACTCGATATGTGGACAACACTTACGCAAGGTGGTAGACTCGATACCATAATACTGGACAGGAAACATCATTCACAAATATGGATCATTAATTTTTCAGTGAGAATGCATGAGTGAATTAGTGCTTCTCAGTTGTAAGATTAAGAGACCCCAGTTCTCAGAATTTGTACCTTGATTCCACAACAGAATCACGGTCATGTTCTATACACCATCTCATTAATTCCATAAGGCCACACTTTCTTAATTTAACATTTCACGGATTTAGTCCAGCTTTTCCACACAAGGTCAAAATAAAAATAAATAGCTACTGTTATGTCAATCATATGAAAGTCATTCTGCTGTGGCATAAAACCTGCAGCTGGCTTCTTGAATCACTGACAGTGGTGTAGACATGGAATTTACATGTTACATTTTGATATTGTATAAGAGGGTCAATATAATAAGCAGGAGACATAATAAAAATAAATATTTTTATGTTTAATTTAATTTTCCAGCTGCTTTTCAGTAAGGGCAGCAGGCCCGTGAAACGAAAAATATACAATGTGTGGCCCAACAGAATTAGTTCATGTTCTTGACAACGTCTCATTAATTCAAGTGTGTTCATGACCACAACATTGTAAGTAAGAAAATAGCATTACATTTTTAAAAATATGTTCTAATAAAAAACTTAAACTAGCTTGTAGAGAATGGCCACATCAATCACTTGAAAACGAGATTACTTTCGAATATGACTGAGTTGAGATGTAATATCTCGCATCCAAGATGGCTGATTTCTCAAATGCTTAATATTAGTTTTACAGTAATTTTAATTTTTTTTGGTTTAACGCCACACTCAGTATTATTCCAGTTATGTTATGGCTCTCTGAGACTAATCGAGACAAATCCTTTTTTTAATTTTAAAACAAAACCATGTTTTTTTTGGTTTCCAGTACAAAGTGGCATCTTCATATTGAAATACAGAAACCCAAATCCATTATGTAATTTGTTTATTTTCCTATGAGGACATCACTTTGTAAACAAACACAAGCGTGTTTCGTCAGAAAACCAATACAGCAAAATATTTTCAAAACTGCTGTTGTATATGGAAATACATATACTCACTGCCAAAAGAAACACGAATACCATACATATTGGTTAATATATAAAGACATACTCATACTCAAGAGATATTAGATTCGTTCAATGCACAAACAAACATACTGGTATGTTGTGTGAACCGACGCTCATGAACGCATCATATGTGACGTCATAGATCCACGACTCGAGATGCACCATTTGTCTCGTGCAGGATTAGCATGTAAAGTTTCAAAATCACGTGCAGCATATCGTGATAAGAATAAAGTCACACTGTGGTAACACTTGACTGATTGTTGGTTTTGTCATTAATTGGTACACAATGGAAACATCTCTTCTTAATGTACATACTTCTCTATATATTTCTATGGTTCGCGTTTCTTTTGGCGGTGAGTATATATAGTTTGACCATAAGTATCATGCTTGTGGAGTATATATAGTTTGACACATGTTAAAGGCGTATATTTAAGTTTCACATTTGTCAACTTATCTGGATATGTATAAACTGTTCACAACTTAAGACAACTTTACTTACGTCATTTAAAGCAGGGATGAAAGCCTCATGCAAAACACAATGACAAGACACATAAAGACTTGATGCAGAGGATTCCTAACTACACTAAAAGCACCAACTTCACTTCAGGCAATAATTCACACTCGATAGTGTCAGCATCAGGACTCTAGTATAAAATATGAACTATGAATTAAGCGAATATCACAAAATAGCATTTCCTACCCACTCCTCAACTTTTGAAAGGGATGTTGGTGCTGATTCTGTTACCATGGTTACCATGTTTGTTTAAACTTGAAAAGAAGCTGAAGATGTGTCAATTCTTTGGAAATATCGAATAGTATTTGTAAGACAACATCTCCAAGAAATTGGTCTGTTTATATAGTACTTGAATCCAGGGACCCTAGTCTCACTTACAGACCCTGATAAATATCAAATACAGCCCATGCAAGTCTATAATGTTTGGCAAGTCTAGATTACTGCAGTATCAGGATGAAGAGAGTCTCTGGGCTCCTTTTTATTATATTTTTATTAAGATAATTTAACAACTTTTTTTCTGTACTATATGTTCATTTCAGAGACTAGATGTTACAGACTATCCCTTTCAAAAATTGAGTAGCACTACGGGCATGTTTAGGTTAACTTCATTGTGTCGTGTTAAGTTGTTTTTGGAGTAACACCAATTAAAATGAGAACCATATTGGGCCTTTATGCACATTGTGATCTTAGTACTAAGACGATTACAACCCCTATACTTTAATATAGACTTACGACAATCATAGCGCTAAGATTATCATAACTCTAGACTTTCACATAGACGTATGACAGTTTTAGCGCTAAGATTATCATAACCTTGAGCCTATACCTTGAATTAGACTTATGACAGTCATGGTGCCAAATTGGCATTGTGTAGCCCTGGACAAAAACACCAGTATTCCAAACTGTGGATGTTTCACAATAGCGAATTACCATGGCAACACAGCATATAATATATATCATTCTATGAGATCAGATATGTGGACTATATTGCAATATATAATTTAAGACAATACAAACATCCAGTTGAAAACAATCATTTCCTTATTTCAATACTCTAGGAAATACAAGGAGACCTCACTCTGAACCTCAAGGTCAGAATGGCTACACTTACAGCTTGTAAACACAATGACTGTGAACATAATATTCCAATAGCCTCGACTATAGATTCAGAAACACAAACACTGTCTAAATTGGTCGAATCCCATTCTGGGTTGACACTTGCGAATGTCTTCAAACTGTACATTACTACGACTCAGATCTTATAATGATCAGATCTCTCCTCCATCTACAAATATTACCTGGTCAGCATTAGGAAGTATCATATAAGTATCCATGTTCAACAATCTACTGGTAAGCCAGGATAAGTTGTGACCTAACAATTAACCCTGTATGACTGCTTTTAGCAATATTCCAGCAATATCACGGCAGGGGACACCAGAAATGGGCTTCACACATTGTACCCATGTGGGGAATCAAACCCGTGTCTTCGGCGTGACGAGCGAACACTTTAACCACTAGGCTACCTGACCGCCCCACCACTGTGAAGAAAGGGGTAGTGGGTGGATATGTGTGTGTCCTGTCTCGGCTAACAATAGTAGCGAGTTCAATAGTAAAAGATAGTACCTGCGGATGTGAGGTACCCGATGACTGTGAAAACGGAAACAGCAAATTTGTATAGATAACAAAAATTGAGAAGTATCGTGACAATTAAATGAATTAATTTGCGGTAAAAATGGATACAATGTACTTTTTTAACCCCAGGGCGCAATAATGAATAGTGTCATGTCATTCATCAAATGATTGTGAAGGTTGAAACCTTAACATAGTGATAGTTGACTCAAAGGCATACTCAATTATTAAACCATGTGATTGTTTATGGGGTTTCAGCATACTGAAAATATATTATTGCCAGATGGATCTATATTGAGATAACTGGATACTCATACCACTAGTCTTCACATTCTGATGCCCTTTAGCATAGATACAGACAGACCAGTGGCAATGCTAGCTTTAGACCATGCTTGAGATTTAGTTGTACATTCTTTCTCCATGTAATTTATCACATTATAGGCCAATTCTCGAGCCTGAGAATGTTTGATTTGGCCATGCTTACCTAGCTAGGACATGTCTTTTTGTTTGTAATTAACTTCTACCAAACAACTTTAAGAGAATTCTGGTATCTATTATTCTTAATAGTCTTGTGAGCAACACGTGTGTCCATGGGAGCGTAGTCAATTTCATCGTCATGACCTGCACGTGCACAACATGCATACAACCTCTCTACCTGTAACAAACCAAATATGTTGCCCAAATTCTGTGTACCTCCTACTTGTCGCAAACGCGTTTTGTGAATTGGTTTAATCTATCCTGCAGGGATAATTCTATGGTGGGGCCTTGTGCTTTTAGCCCCTAAATTTGAAAAAAGGCCCACATTTTCAAATACAATGGGGCATTTTAACATTGCGCTGTATGTACCTCTGGAATATTTGAAATTTTCACATTAAAGGGCCCATGTTAGAAAATTCCTAGAGTGAACCCTGATCCTGGCTTACCAGTACATGCATGGTTTGCCATTAAGACAATGGACAGGAATATACATAATGTACAAACATGATAAATAGGACACTGATTCAACTATTTCACAAATAACAAAACAACTCGAAACATGACTCTCGTGTCCAGCATTTGTTGCATAAACAGAAACAGCCATTGATATAAAACCTGCTGCTGCTGCAGCATCGACTGGAGTCACAGTGGATTTAATGCAGCTCAGTGTTTCAGTAATATCAAGACATGTCAGCCTAATGTGGACGCTAAGCCAAAGTGATACAGTTCACAGATGACTACCATTTTGTTAAACCCACATGCATAGGTACGGTGCTGATAAACAAAGGGAGAAATCGGATTCAAACTCATCACATACAGATCCTGGCACCATGGGGGCACAACTCTGCAAAGAATATTGCACTGCCTTTGGCCACACATACCCATGAATCATTAAAGGAAGCCATCAAGCGATACCCAAAGGCTGGAAGACATAATGTAACACATGACCTAAATTTGTCACAGGGGAATCCCCTTTCTCCACCAATGTCATAACTACAAGTTTCGACTCAGATGTAGAAAAACATGTTGATGCTAAAAGTAGAATGATAATGTAAGCCTCATTTTGAGATTAAGCAGCACTTGGTATGAATGCTTGATGACTACCTCTTATGAATTCAGTGACAGTGATACTGATCCACAAGCAGTGTGATAGTCTTCATGATTCTGTTCATAAGTAATTCTACCATGACACTGAAAAATGCTTGAATCAGGTATCTAATTCAATTTGATACCTCAAAACGAACATGCCTTCACACAAAGGCTAAAGCACTCAGTTCTCAATTAAAATAAGGGGAACTGAATCTACAATGATACAATTTCAAATTTGAAAAGTGTAATAGATCTCGCTCCCTAATGTACATCGAACATTCTTATACAATGTATGCTCCCTCTTGTAACAGCATGGCGATCATTCCGGTGATCAGCAAATGTACACGCAAACATTATGAAGTATATAAACTGTTCTAAAGACTGACAGTGTTTGTTATGTGGAGTTGTCACAAAAAACACAGTATGTTTACCGCCTAAATAACACATACCGTATTCGACGTAATAAGTGCCCAGGGCGCTCTCAAAATTAGAAATAGGGGGCTCTTATTAGAGTATTATTTTGGAGTTGCAAGATAAATTTTGTGGTTTATGCTGACAGCCTGAAATGTTTATGTACGACAGATATATTTTTCCAGAATTTAATTGCCAATAATAAAGGGTGCATATAACACACGAGTGCATAATTATACGAGAATAGGGGAAGGAAGCGGTGCGTATTATATGCGAATAGGGGTCGGAAGGGGTGTGAATTGGGATTGTTCACTAGCCAATATATTAGCAAATCTCGACGTGGGCGCTTATTACATTGAATACGGTAATCACATATTTCACATCATAAAAACCATGGTAATCTTGAACAACACCACAAATCTCAAATATGGTGTCAGGGTTCTCCAAGATAAAAGGGCGGCCAAATAACATGGAAGGCACCATTGAAGAATTTGTCAGCATGGGGCTGGAGATCTGTTCTGTAAGTCCCCACAGTTCGGATTCCTAAATAGTCTCTGGAGAAAAAGTTAATACTCTTAGATAGCACTACCAAGACTACCAGTGACATCTCCTTGACCCTTGGGGAGCATGTAAATCCTGCAGTTGTTCTATTTGTCTGTACAAGATAGGACAGAGGACTTGTGACAATATTATGGCCTACAAATATTGACACTGAAAAGAATTGTTCAGTTTCATCTCACATTCATTTCAGAGTCTTTTCAGTGTCTAATTTGCTCACCCTGAGTGAGTGAGTGAGTATGGTTTTACGCCACTTTTAGCAATATTCCAGCAATATCACGGTGGGGGACACCAGAAATTGGTTTCACACATTGTACCCATGTCGGGAATCAAACCCGGGTCTTCGGTGTGACAAGCGAACGCTTTAACCACAATGCTACCCGACCGCCCCTTGCTCACCCTGATTCCCGAACACTTCTTACCAGATCTCAAAAGGACATGTCAGAATCCACCCTACAAAGGCTAAACCAAAACATACAGTTCACATTCCTGGGTCATAAAAGGGGGCAATTTCAATCAAAATTACCGGGGAAAAAAATCGAAAAATAAAATATATAAAGGAATCCTTTATGTACACCATCATTTTGTTTAAATGATGAATCTTCTAACCAACTATGATTTCACTTGCATCCCGTATACCACAGTGTTGACTATTCTCTACATCAACCCCAGAATCGTGTGTATCAGAAGGGGGTTGGCAGCCTCATAGATGTTACATACTTGAGAACCCTGGGATGAAGCAGCTTCTTCAAGCATCATGCACATACCAATAACAGTTTCTCACAAACAGCTTCAGATCCTGCTGAATACAGATGATATCACAGACTTAGGATACCAGTAAATACTTAATGCTTACCCATGCTGTAAAACACTAAAAATCATACATTCTAAGAACTTGGTAATAATGTAAATTGTTGCTCATAAAAATTGAGAAACTACATGAAAACAATATAAGACCAGATCAAAATCTCTTGACTAGTTTCTAAAGCAGTAATGCAGGACTCTTGTTTTCTAAGAATAAACAATAGTCTCGTTATCTGAGAATAAACAATCGTCTCGCTATCTGAGAATAAATAATAGTCCCGCTATCTGAGAATAAACAATAGTCTCGCTGTATGAGAATAAACAAGTCTCGATATCTAAGAATAAAGAATAGTCTTGTTATCTCAGAACAAAGGTTTCTAAGACCGACAATCAGTAGCAGATTTTAACAAAGTCTCCACAATGCTTAAATAAAAACACATCATTAACGGGTTTACTAAGCAACAGCTCCAATAAGATGTAGGAAATATTTCATGATATTCCAGACTTGATAAGAACACAAATGTTTTACTGGTGCATAACATATTCATAACCACTCATGTGCCATGAATGGTTAGGTTTGCTGCATATATACCTTCACAGTTGGCCAAGTGGACCTGGATATGAGCAAGCACTGAGTGTTCAGTTATACCCTGGTTTCTTCATAAACACCGCAGCCTAACTGATTATTACAGTTCTCATTAACAAGACTGTAGGAGGTGTGACTTACTCCAGTATGCACAACCTGGATGAACCCAGGACAGTCTAGTTTGTGGTGCCCACAGTTAACCGATTCACCAACATCTCAGCTAAAATTATCTTTTTTCAGTTATTACTAACTTTCTATAGTTCTTGTCTGCCAGACCCTCACACCATCTTGAATGTCATGCTCTCCATCATGACGCCATCACTGTTCTCTCAGCTGGCTGATAGCGGAGCAGAATTGTCATATTCTGGTCAGCGAGATCATCCACAATTCAAACTGTTACTAATCATGTGACACAGGACACGCTATCCACCTGGAGACATAGAGCACGGCCGCAGACTGATAGACTTCCATTCTGTGTCAGGAACCAGCAGGTAATCAGGGACACACACTCCATATACTTATCGAGATGTCGCCATAATGAAGGAACTGTGGGTCCATCTATCTAAATCATTTGAACATAAGTTCCACAGTGACAGTTATTTTACCAATGTCCTCAGTCACATGAACACGGAAGGGAGAGTACAAGCAGTATTCACAGCATACTTTCTCTCCAAGCAGAGGCCTACAGCCACCATTACACTCAATCCGCAGAGTCGGCTTAGGGGAAAATCAAGTAAGCTTACTACTCTTCCAAGCTCCAGATTCACCATCACTATCACGCAAGTCTACATCAAATGGATTTGACTTACTATATTTTACAAGCTCTAAATTGAGTCTTAATGGTACCCCTGTTTTGAGTCCCCTGGGTAATGCTAGATGATGGCCGCGCAAGGTTTTATCTCCAATACTTTTAAGTTGAGTTTCCAAGCTACCAATGTTTTGAGTCCCCTGGATAATGCTAGATGATGGCCGCGCAAGGTTTTATCTCCAATACTTTGAAGTTGAATTTCCAAGCTACCACTGTTTTGAGTCCCCTTGGTAATTCTAGTTGATGGCTGAGTTGGTCCTACTTCTTGTTTTTCCATGCACCAAGTTGCGTTTTGAAGCTGCCACTGTTCTCTGTAGCTCGGGTAGAGCAGGTTGATGGACGTGTGGAGAGTGTTGATTTGCGCCCCGATTCATCTGTAGGTTTAGCAACGACGCTGACTACGGACCTCCTCTGATGTATGCATGGAGGAGCCGACTTGATGCGGTTGTAGCCTCCTTGAGAGTTGTGTCGCCCAGCAGACTGAGTGGTCCGCGGGCGTGAGGAGGCTCGGGAATGAAGACCCATGCTTGATATGTCCAGACTGCACAAACAGACAGATAGAGAATTACTTGGTGTACAGTCATAATGCAATGATGGCTAATGATGGGCCTCTGAAATTTTAGATTGATAACGAAAGATAAACTAAAATAAATGTCAACATACAGTGTTCCCTCGCTATTGCGCTCTTCAATATAGCGCTAAGTCGTTTATATCACGTGGTAAAGCATGGCTCCCAAAATTTACTAACATAAACTCAAGTTTTCCAATGACTTGTTTTCTTTCATCTCAGAAAACATTATCAGGTGATCATCACGATCACTGTACTGATACCTGATACTTATATATGCTCACATTTAGTATTGCATACCAACCAAATTCTTAATACAACATCATCAAATAATTTTTAAATATGTGATTGCAATTTATACTTTTAGACCATTTGTGACAGTCAATGGCAGCTAAATTCTAACCAACTATTAACAAAGCCTGGTTGCATTAATTTCTAACAATGAAATTAAAGCTGCAGATATTCTTACACCTCTCAAACAAACTCAACTCACCACTGACTGGGAAGCCCAACAATCTTGGCCCGTCTGAAGTCGTCAACAAATTCCTGGCTGATGCGAGGATCGTTGCCAATATTAGCCATGAGCTGTTTGTACAAGATCCCATCTCGCCGACACTTGGAAAGGAGGTCACGTGCAGCCGTCTTGTTGAAGGTCAAGTACCCCAAGGCCACAGCCACGGCATTGCGGACAAGGTCATTCTTGGACCACAGCCGTTCCACAAGGAGTTCTATGGCCCCAGTGGTTATCATGGCATCAGGAATCCCTGCACGTGTGTGCGCAAGGCTGGACAGCAGACTGGCTGCTATGACCACGGTATTATCCTCCTCGGATGTCAGTTTCTTGACCAACTGAGTTATCCCCCTTGCTGTGAGGAGGACTTGGTCTTGATCGACAATGACACGAGCCAGAACCACGATCTGAATGAAGAGAGGATCTTCTGTAAGCATTTCTAAATTGGTGAAGAATCCTCTACAAAATCGATACTTTCTCAACAGTAGTCATCTCTGGAGACAAGCGGGAGGTACCAAGGACTTATTCTGCCCTGAAGCCTCATGGAGATACAAACAGGAGGTACTGAGGACCTGTTCTGCCCTGAAGCCTCAAGGAGATACAAGCAGGAGGTACTAAGGACCTGTTCTGCCCTGAAGCCTCATGGAGATACAAGCAGGAGGTACTAAGGACCTGTTCTGCCCTGAAGCCTCATGGAGATACAAGCAGGAGGTACTGAGGACCTGTTCTGCCCTGAAGCCTCAAGGAGATACAAGCAGGAGGTACTAAGGACCTGTTCTGCCCTGAAGCCTCATGGAGATACAAGCAGGAGGTACTAAGGACCTGTTCTGCCCTGAAGCCTCATGGAGATACAAGCAGGAGGTACTAAGGACCTGTTCTGCCCTGAAGCCTCATGGAGATACAAGCAGGAGGTACTAAGGACCTGTTCTGCCCTGAAGCCTCATGGAGATACAAGCATGAGGTACTAAGGACCTGTTCTGCCGTGAAGCCTCAAGGAGATACAAGCAGGAAGTACTAAGGACCTGTTCTGCCCTGAAGCCTCAAGGAGATACAAGCAGGAGGTACTAAGGACCTGTTCTGCCCTGAAGCCCCAAGGAGAAACAAGCAGGAGGTACTAAGGACCTGTTCTGCCCTGAAGCCTCAAGGAGAAACAAGCAGGAGGTACTAAGGACCTGTTCTGCCCTGAAGCCTCATGGAGATACAAGCAGGAGGTACTAAGGACCTGTTCTGCCCTGAAGCCTCAAGGAGATACAAGCAGGAGGTACTAAGGACCTGTTCTGCCCTGAAGCCCCAAGGAGAAACAAGCAGGAGGTACTAAGGACCTGTTCTGCCCTGAAGCCCCAAGGAGAAACAAGCAGGAGGTACTAAGGACCTGTTCTGCCCTGAAGCCTCAAGGAGAAACAAGCAGGAGGTACTAAGGACCTGTTCTGCCCTGAAGCCTCAAGGAGAAACAAGCAGGAGGTACTAAGGACCTGTTCTGCCCTGAAGCCTCATCGAGATACAAGCAGGAGGTACTGAGGACCTGTTCTGCCCTGAAGCCTCAAGGAGATACAAGCAGGAGGTACTAAGGACCTGTTCTGCCCTGAAGCCCCAAGGAGAAACAAGCAGGAGGTACTAAGGACCTGTTCTGCCCTGAAGCCCCAAGGAGAAACAAGCAGGAGGTACTAAGGACCTGTTCTGCCCTGAAGCCTCAAGGAGAAACAAGCAGGAGGTACTAAGGACCTGTTCTGCCCTGAAGCCTCAAGGAGAAACAAGCAGGAGGTACTAAGGACCTGTTCTGCCCTGAAGCCTCATGGAGATACAAGCATGAGGTACTAAGGACCTGTTCTGCCCTGAAGCCTCAAGGAGATACAAGCAGGAGGTACTGAGGACCTGTTCTGCTGCAAGTCCCCAAGAAGAGACAACTATGATCTTGAACTATGGAATCTCCATACAGAGACAATGTACTACCTAATCAAGGCTGGTTAACAAGCAATTAATTCTCAGCGTCTTTGGGAAGAATAATGAAGAATAACATGTACAGAACAGTTGTCATGGTTACCTGGAACGCTGCAGAACACTGAAAGTACTCATCCTCTGAGCTGATGAAAGGTTCGAACACGGAGTACTTGATGCCGCCCGCCTCACGGATGGCAAACTGCTGTGGCGTGTTGTTGAAGGCAAACGTCGTGAGCGCCATACCTGCCTTGAGACGAGTGTCCTGTAACATGGACCAAACTTAGTTACCTCCCCTTCCCTTGCCAAGGTCTTTATCAGGGTTTCACCAGATGCAATTACTGCATTTATACACAGACAAAATGTGTCCTGATGCAAATAATTCCTGGGAATGTAGAAACATCATTAAAACTAATACTAATTGTAGACTCCAGTTAAAAATAACTGCCATTTCTATTCTGGCAACAAAAGCACTCAAAGTGTCAGGGTGTCAGTGGTAGACTTTCAAACATTGAAATCCCCATCTATATTAGACCAATGCTGCTGAGCATGTGCAATGATATGACATACTGTATTTCCTCTGTTAGATGCCTGTGAGTCTATTAATTTCGCATAAGCCATTGACTCGGTGCCAATTAGAGGCTGGTATGTATTAGAGGTCCTGCATCTTCTCTGTTTAATGCTAGCACAGTGGCACAACTCACTTCTTTTCTGAATCCCAAATTCTACAGTCACACAAAGGGTACATTTGCAGGAAATGGTCATAATTAAAAACCAACATATCTTGGTTTTAAAGACCTGGCGTCTGATAGGGACCTGATTTCTATTTTTGGACAGCGTATGTGCCAGCATCAATTAGAGGCCAAAAAATACTGGAACACAACATCTAATGGAGGAAAGTTTTCTTTAGTGAAACCAACATGATGCCCACATGAAACCCACATGAAGCCCACATAAAACCCATAAAAAGCCAACATGAAGCCCACATAAAACCTACCATGAAGCCCACATAAAACCCACATGAAGCCCACATAAAACCCATAAAAAGCCAACATGAAGCCCACATAAAACCCACATGAAGCCCACATAAAACCCACATGAAGCACACATAAAACCCACATGACACCTACCATGAAGCCCACATGACACCTACCATGAAGCCCATATGAAGCCTACATAAAACCCATATGAAGCCCACATAAAACCTACATGAAACCAACATGATGCCCACATAAAACCCACATGAAGCCCACATAAAATCTACCATGAAGCCCACATGAAACCTACCATGAAGCCCACATAAAACCCACATGAAGCCCACATAAAACCCACATGAAGCCCACATAAAACCCACATGAAACCTACCATGAAGCCCACATAAAACCCATCAAAAGCCAACATGAAGCCCACATGAAACCTACCACGAAGCCCACATAAAACCCATCAAAAGCCAACATGAAGCCCACATGAAACCTACCACGAAGCCCACATAAAACCCACATGAAGCCCACATAAAACCCATAAATAGCCAACATGAAGCCCACATAAAACCCACATGAAGCCCACATGAAACCTACCATGAAGCCCACATAAAACCCACATGAAGCCCACATGAAACCTACCATGAAGCCCACATAAAACCCACATGAAGCCCACATAAAAGCCACATGAAGCCCACATAACAGACCAAAGATCATGACGGGTGAATTTGGGAAACTCCTCCAGACCACAGCCTTTTTTGTTTCCAGCCTTAAAACTTTATTTTGGAAACTTGCCTAAAATCCAAATAGATGCTAAACAATATGATTAACCTAAAAAGGAATTCTGAATTCATTATGTTATCCAGTTATTGATATGTTGAATGCCCCACTCAGCAATATTCCAGCTATATGACTGGGGCCTGTAAATAATCCATCCTGGACTAGACGATCCAGTGATTGATATCATGAGCAAAGTCCTATGCAGTCAACCAAGTTACTGTTTCAGATTTGAAACAAGCATGGATTATTGTGGATCAGTTCCTACCATAAATCCCCATTTTCACTGTTAGTTGCAAAATTAAGAAATTTTCTCTGCGTCATAGAGGTAACTTTTAACTGCTAGATAGATTTACATGATATAGTATATGTTAGCAGACCAAAAATAAATTTTAAATGACTTTAAACATATTTGCTGGAGCTGCAAAAGGCGTCCCTTTGAAATCAACTTTTCTTGGTGCATACAGAGATGACTGCGACATGTATCAACTGGACTCACCTCCAAGCTAGACTTCAGCAAATCCAGAAGGATGTCGAACTTGAAGCCCTGCTCCTCTTGCAGCTTTTCCTGGTTGTCATGGTTACTGAGCACCACGCAAGCCAGTGAGTGGGCAACTTCCACCTGGATCTCTTCAGAGGGGGGAGAAAGTAATATCTGGACCAGGATGGGGATTCCTCCTTCCTCTGCAATTTTCCGCTGTGTCAGCTTATTATTGCGATTAGCCACACCTGGGACAGAAAACAGCTGACTTAATAAACGTAGACTACGTCGAGTCATAAGAACAATATCTATAGAGGCATACATGAGCGTTGTATCTTAAAATACTTGTAATATCTATTTATTATTAAAAAATTATCTCTGATTCTGAAATATATGCCTTTCGTTGTGTCTTTTACAGTTATAAACTTATCTACCTACATAATGACATACATCAATCAACATTTATTACAACATAGGACCAAAAAAACTGTTACTGTCTGGAAAAAATTTATAATCTTTCAAACTAACATGTTGATGAATTTCATAACATGAATGAACTTATTAATAACATGTTGTGTTCCATTATGGTATACATGCACTACGCGCTGACCAACTAGGGCATAGTGTATATAGGTCATAACACGCGGCAGTCACTTGAACATATTCCCCATTGCCAGCAATAGCTGATTACACATCATCAAGGTCTGCAGCATGCTACTCTATCTAGCTTAACTTCAAAACTGCGCACAGATCTCAAAACTGCGCACAGATCTCAAATCTGGTTCTTTGCTGCACAAGTTAGTGAATTGATATTTCTATTGTAACTGTAAGTATTTGATAAAAAGAATATGTGTTGATTATTGTCATCACACTTCCTATTTTAATAAACAATGATTAATCCTGAAGTCAGCAATATTTCAGCTATATTGTGGAGGCCTTTTAATAATTCCGGGCTAGGCAAACAAGTGGTTGAAAACATGAGCACCGATCACGATGTCGGGAATGATCATAAAATCAGCCAAGTCACAGACTCTGATCAGCAACCCCTGATCCTCTAACGTGCATGATGCTCTGGAGACCTGGAATCCCCAGGGGGCATATGAGGAAGCTGTGCGTGTGATATGGCGATATAACACTTACACAACATACTCTGTTTATCACATACTTCCTGATAAATAAGGAGAATCGGCATACATGTGCACTACGCGCTCCCACCTACAGCTGCATGGTGCCATCAGCCTTGAAACGGTAAATACCTTAAACTTAACATTGAATACAAATAACAGCTGAGCCAATCTCATTAAAATCAGATCTTAGTTCTCGCTGCCGCTAAACAAAGATCTGAGAACATCCCATTATGGGTCACATCAGAACGACCTTTCGCGAACTTTGACCGACCACTGACACAACTAACAAGAAGTCGACATCAGCCAATTAGAAAGCAGCTTCCTCGAGCTTTACGGCACTCGTTTCAACCTGGCGACTTCCATTTCAGACTACGCTTGAAAAATATGTTGATACAGTTCTCGATTAAAATTTGGAAAACTGAACAAACGAACATTCCGGAATGTCTAATAAATGGTTGCGATTGTATGGCAGTCCTTCCCACGTACTGTGCAACGCCTCCTCTGTTTAAATGTTTATCCCACGGAAGTGAGAGATAGACAATAATTTTGACGGAATCAGTCGTATGGGACGTAAATGTCGTTTCGAATACCCCGTTAACGTTTTCAAGGTTGCATGATTAGAAAACACATTCCTACTGTCACTTTCATGATCTAGTAAGCGACACTTTGATTGGTCGGATGAAAGGTCGTTCTGATGTGACCCGTAATGGGATGTCCTCAGATCTTTGTTTAGCGATAGCGAGAACTAAGATCTGATTTTAATGAGATTGCAGCTGAGCATACCTCTGCATACACAGAGTAGTCTCCCCTGCTGGAAGGCCAAACCAGCCATTGGCATGAGATCTCTCACCTACACATGCTTATTGCGTAACAAAATATAAATGTGCAGTTACCTATTATTCATGGTAAGGAGATATTACGCAGAATATGATATGCTGATTTCCTATTCGCACCTGACATTCATTTCAATTGTGCGGTATACATGTGCAAGACAATATTACGTGATTCATTCAAAACTAAAACTAATGATGAACGATGCATGAGTTGTTAGACTAAAACTTGAATAATAGATACAAGTCATGCCTTTGAGCATAAACAAAAATCAGCTATATTTAGAGCTAATTCTTTAAACTTCTCATAGCTTGACAAAACTTAAGCTCTACCCCAAATTTCCGGAGAATCCACTGAAAAAAATGATGTATATATACATGCTTTCATAGCATATAATCAGTTTATATAAAAGTCTTCACACCATAGACTTGTGAGTGAGTGACTTAGTGAGGCAAGGGAGTCAACTGACTGTAAAAGTCAAGTTTCCACCCTTGCCGAACTTGGCTTGAATTTCAGGGCTTGATCTTAGTGTCACCAGTGGCTATTATTGTAATAAAACAGGTCTTACCTCGCAAAGCGCATCAAATCACTTGAGCATGTTGATTAAATACATGAAAAGATTTGCTCTGTAAATCCTGTAATCAACGGATATCTGAATGGCAGTTGCCATATTGTTAATGAACCAGGGCCCGTTCCACAAATCAATCGTAGCGCTAAGATGATCGTGACCATGGTAACTCCAATTCTTTAACATGGGCTTACAACAGACTTAGTGATATGATCGTTCTGTGGAATGGATCCAAGATGTTGATTTCATTATGCGATTTTGATGCATAGGCTAAGCTAGCCAAAATATATCTTCCTAATTCCGGCCAAGTTCAGCAAGGCTGGAAATAGGACTTATAGTCAGTTAACTCCCTTGCCTTGGGAAGATGGGTTTACACAGCCATTAGCAATAATCCTGGGATGTGACACCAGGGTCCACTTGCACAAAGCGATCTTAGCGCTAAGATGATTGTAACTCCCATACTTTAACATAGGCTTACGGTAGTCTTAGCGCTAAGATCACTTTGTGCAAGTGGACCCTGGACTTCAGCATGACATATGAACACATTACCCACTGGGCTACCACACAGACCTCAAATTATGTGAGAATAAGAATTAGTTTGAATAGAGGCAAAACAATTATCAGTGTTCCCAAGTATTTGACAGAATTGTTTAAAGACGTAATCTACAGGTTTTGCTTCATGGAGGCGGCAAATACTTAACACAGTGAAATTTCTTAAACAGAACTTATTGGCTAACATTTCAACATTTTTAAAAACATTCTGGAATAAAGTTCTGATATAGTTATATACAGTTATATACAGTTATATAGTATATAGCATAAGCTGAGACATGAGCATGCATTTGGTATATAGAAGTTGTGCCTACAATCACACAACAAATCAAACAACAATCAAACAACCAACGATCAAACATTCCACTTCCTGTGGTTGAGTGAGTAAGGTTTTACACCGCTTTTATAAACCTATTCATTGGGATCGCTATTAAGTAAGAGACTTCTTTCTATAGGCATTAAAACCTATTGTGAGGTTTTACTTTCCAGTCGGGTTAAATCTCATAAACAGGGACGTTGTAATGTCCCTGGGATTTTATATAATATCCCAAGGGATTTTATAGGATATTCAAGTCATATTTGCTGTAATATCCCAGGGATATTATATAATGTCCTGGGTATTTTATTAATGTAACTTCCGACAAATGTTTTCTTTATATTCCAGAGGATGGACCTCGCAACCTTCATATCTGTAGCCCAGTGAGTGTACCACGAGGCTACAGAGGTGTTGATAAGCCTCACTGGATTTTAGAATGTCCTTTTCAAGATCCGTACGCCAGCAACAGATTTTTTATGCCCGTTTCCTAAGGTTCATGGAAAGTATGTTCGAAACATAAAAATGTTGATAAATGTTGTTTTAAGTTTCTTTTTTCTGTTTATAAGCATGGAAAAACACATTCCCTCGGTTTTGGTAGACAGAGCATGCCCTGGGGGTTGCCCCCTTGGTTTTTCCCTCTCCCCAGGGCATGCTCTGTCTACCAAAACCTCGTAAGTGTGTTTTCTCCAATACTTAGCAATATCCCAGTAATATTCCAGCAGGGGGTGGGGGCTACAAGAAATGAGCTTCACTCATGGTGAGGAACTAAACCTGACCTAATGCTTTTACCACCAGGCTAACCACTACCCTCCTGTGGTTGGATGAAGACACACTCTCTCAGCAGCAAACTACAGGTAGACAGGCTTGGTTGGTTTGTTGTTTAACGCCACACTCAGCAATATTCCAGCTATATGACGGCGGTCTGTAAATAATCGAGTGTGGACCAGACAATCCAGTGATTAATATCATTCGCATCGATCCACGCAATTGGGATCGATGACATGCATCAACCAAGTCAGCGAGCCTGACCACCCGATCCCGTTAGTCACCTTTTACGACAAACATAGTCCCCTTTACAGCAAGCATGGGTTCCTGAAGACCTATTCTACCCCGGAATCTTCACGGGTCCCCAGAGACAGGGAGGGCACAATAGCTGTACAGTGGGCCTCCTTTACTATCTTTTTAGGCCATGATACAAATAGCCGAGAGCCCAATGGGTCTGACACTGAAAACAAGATGTACGGTCATGTCTTCAATATCCGATCCCATCGCAGCTCTCAGCTATGATACCCATAGCTCTAGGAATCAATATTTTGACACCCATTGCATAGAATATATTTTCTCTGGAAAAGAGAGTTGCTCAATACACAATCTGTATTAGAATGATCACAAGATATTCTAGTTTCGGTATCTTTACCAACACGCACCAAAACCAGTTGTACCAGAACGTCTAGGATATTACAGTCGTCACTAGGATCTACCATCTGGACGTCATTTCCTGTCCAGGTCTAGCACAATGTCCAGTGCCATGTGTGAAGCAGTGTTTGATGTTAACATACACAGTTAGAACATCAAGTTTATCATGACCTTTTAGACTCCAGCAATCTGATTGGTATGTCAGCAGTGTAAAAAATATGTTAAATCATTTTGTTCATGACTGCTGCGAAAGAAGATATCTATTTTAAAGCACTTCTTTCACAAAGCCAATTAGTAGACATTTAAAATACTGATTCAAACTCTAACTCAAAACCTGTACATTTTTCAGAAATGTGCAGACAAATTCAGTTTCAAATTTATTTACAGGTATCAAATCTACATTCAAACGACTAAATGTCAGTTAGAAGAGTAAACTGATTCAGGTCTACTGTTATCCTCAATATTTGCAAAGTCAAGACCATCTTTCAAAAAAATAAACAAACTTTGCAGTGCTCACCAACACAGAGCGTTCCCAGCACCTTGATCACCATCAGCAGCACCCGGTCAGACGTCTTGTTGGAACGCAGCAGACGGACAAGTTGCTGGAAAGCATCAGCCTTCGCTAGGGCGTTCTGATTCTCCATACTCTCCCGCCCCAGAGCAATAGACGTCATACAACCTGAGGGGAATATATGTCATCATACAGCTACCATCAACAGGGAACCACATACAACCTGAGGGGAATATGTCATCATACAGCTACCATCAACAGGGAACCACATACAACCTGTGGGGAATATGTCATCATACAGCTACCATCAACAGGGAACCACATACAACCTGTGGGGAATATGTCATCATACAGCTACCATCAACAGGGAACCACATACAACCTGAGGGGAATATGTCATCATACAGCTACCATCAACAGGGAACCACATACAACCTGAGGGGAATATGTCATCATACAGCTACCATCAACAGAGAACTACATACAACCTGTGGGGAATATGTCATCATACAGCTACCATCAACAGGGAACCACATACAACCTGAGGGGAATATGTCATCATACAGCTACCATCAACAGAGAACTACATACAACCTGTGGGGAATATGTCATCATACAGCTACCATCAACAGGGAACCACATACAACCTGAGGGGAATATGTCATCACACAGCTACCATCAACAGGGAATCATATACAACCTGTGGGGAATATGTCATCATACAGCTACCATCAACAGGGAATCATATACAACCTGTAGTGCAGCCTCAAAATATAACATTCTGCAGAATTGCAGAAAAATCTCGGAATTGCCCTTTTTGATCAATCAATACACTAATTTTCATTATTTTAAAGCTTTTCTTTCAAAGTTTGCATTCAAACAATACCTAAACATTTAACATGCAATTCAAACATACAAAATATGAATCCTACAATAAGACGAAATTTGAAATAATTAATTTTCCTTTTAAACGTTCTTGCGGTATTATGACTACATAAACTATGTTTACATCTATACATAATTTATTTTAAGTATGAAAATGAACCGTATCAATTTTTTAAAGGAAAATGGTAACGTTTTCACCGCAAAATTTTGGGATAGTATTTTGATAATTCTATCACAGAATTTGTCTGGGACTGGTAGAGATACTAGAGATAGCTGACTCTCTGTACCTACCAACATAGAGCAGTTTCTCTGTGGGTTCCAGGAGCATCTGGATGATGTGCGGGATGCCCATCCGCTGTGCGATGTTTTTCTGCTGAGTCTTGGTGTGTCCGGCCAGCGCCCACAAGGCACAGGCTCCCTGCTCCCGGACCTCTATGTTGATGTTCTGCAACATAAAGCATGACACCATGTGAATACTCTGACAACAACCGACAAAATAAATTTAATCTGCTTGCAATATTCTCCATGTTTGGACAATTAGAAACTTATTTTATCAGTGAGTTGCTTTCCTACTTTCACCTATAAAATCCTTCCTTCTCAGGTAAATATTTATCATAGAAAATGTCCATGGCATCGGTAGTGATGTTTTCAGTCTGGAGGCTGTTTGTTTTGTTTTTGTCAGCTCTGCAATATTTCAGTTATGTGACTATGACCTTCAAATAATCAAGTAATTGGTACTAAGTGTCATAATAACACCCTATCGACCATGTCACCTTGCCTGACACCCAATCCATTAATTAAGTCTTAGGACAAGCTTAGGTTGGTGGGGACTTATGCAACTCAGAATCCTCAGGGGCAGGTTGCTCCAGGCATTCTGTGTTTATCATGAAAGGGCACAGGTGTCTCAGACTCCCTGATTATGTTTCTAGGTTTGTCAGCACCATACCCGTAATCATGTGTTTCACCAGTGGTAAATGTCTGAGACCTGTACCACTTCAGGCTTTCATCCCACATCAAGCTGATACACTGGGATGTACTGTTCAAAGCTGCATTAAACCAAACTCACTCACTCACTCATATCATAGCATAGCATCAGCCAACAGAGGTCGCTGCTTACCTTCAGCAATCTGAGCAGTGCTTTAGGAGCGTCCAGTGCGAGAACTCACTCATTCACTCACTCATATCATGAAAGCATCAGCCAACGAAGGTCGCTGCTTACCTTCAGCAATCTGAGCAGTGATTTAGGAGCGTCCAGTGCGAGGAACTCACTCATTCACTCACTCATATCATGAAAGCATCAGCCAACGAAGGTCGCTGCTTACCTTAAGCAATCTGAGCAGTGCTTTAGGAGCGTCCAGTGCGAGGAACTCACTCAATTACTCACTCATATCATGAAAGCATCAACCAACGAAGGTCGCTGCTTACCTTAAGCAATCTGAGCAGTGCTTTAGGAGCGTCCAGTGCGCAGAAATCACTCATTCACTCACTCATATCATGAAAGCATCAGCCAACAAAGGTCGCTGCTTACCTTAAGCAATCTGAGCAACGCTTTAGGAGCATCCAGTGCGAGGAACTCCGTCTGACTCTCGGTGTTGTTGTCGGCCAGAGCCTCCAGAGCACTTGCAGCCTTCACCTGGACTGTCACGTTCCGGTTGAGCTTAATCAGATCCACCAGCGGCCTGCACCGAACATCACATTCCATCAATTCATACTACCACTGAATGTGTCTTTGCTGTAACAATTTAAACTCCCAGATATTTTATTAATATTTTTTAGTATTAGTATTACACGCTGTAATGTACCCACAATTTGAGGTAGTCTAACTGTTGATTAGATACCTGTTATTTTAGTTTGGAACTAAGCACTTCAGTGTCATATTTGTATGACAATCATCAATGGAGCCTTGCTGGGAACCTGTTCGAACTCAAATTCTCACGAGGGAAAATCGGATATTCTGATATCAAACTATGACAATGAGGACCAACAGACTTACTTAGCAGCTCGTTCAGCCATGATGGCATCCTGGTTCTCCCGATGCCCTGTTGTCATGGCAGCAATGGCTGCAGCAGTAGCAGCTTGCAGCGTCTCTACAAGGCAATGTTTTCCTCAATTGTCACATTCTTCATTGTATGTCATTTCCTACAAGGTAGTGGAGTGAGTGAGTGGGTGGGTGGGTGGGTGGGTGGGTGAGTGAGTGAGTGAGTGAGTGAGTGAGTGAGTGAGTGAGTGAGTGAGTGAGCGAGCGAGCGAGAGAGAGAGAGAGCGAGCGAGCGAGCGAGAGAGCGAGTCTAACCTGGGTCGTCGGTTTTATGTGTCAATGTTTATCCACTAGATCACACTATTATCTACCAACACACCTTCACACATATTGAAGGTTTCGAGGCGACATGCAAGACCAGCTTACCCGAGTCAACAGAGAGGAACTCAATAAGAGGCTCAATGCCCTCGCACTCTGCCACCGCTGTCTGGTTGGGGGGGTTTCGAACACACAGCACCCGGATAGCGTTCACAGCGTTCACCAGCACATCTTCCAACTCGGAGTCCAGGAGATTTACCAGAGGGGGAATTCCATCATTCTGTGCAATGACTTCCTGGTTGCCTTGGACACAAGCCAGGTCGGAGAGGATAATGGCAGCTCGTGATTGGATATCGTCCACCGGGGAGCTGAGAAGCTGGATGAGGATTGGTCCAGCATTTGCCGTGGTGAGAGCCAGTCGGATGTCGTTTTGTTCGGAGATGTTACACAGCACAGAAGCAGCCACCGATTGTACCTCCTCGTTGTTCAAGTTCAGCAGGTTGACGAGGGCTGGAACGCCACCTGGTGGTCAAAGTAGGCATTACAAATAAGATTTTCAATTCATGCTGCTGTAAAAAAGAAACATCATATTGGTAAAACATGTGTGTCATTTTTTGACCCCGGAATTAGAGTGAGTGAGTGAGTGAGTTGGGTTTAACGCCGCTTTTAACAGTATTCCAGTTATATCGCGGCGTGTCAGCTTAATGTGGGAGGAAAGCCCGAAGTGATGCAGGTCCCAGACGTTTACCTCTTCGGTGAAACCCAAGAGCACGGGTATGGTGCTGACAAACCTAGAAACATAATCGGGGCGAACCGGGATTCGAACCCACAATCATAGGTTTCTGGCGTGCCCAAGGGACGAAACTCTGCACAGCGAATCGCGGCGCCTTAGACGACTGGGCCACCCGTGCCCCCCCCCGGAATTAGAAAACAAAGAATCCTATGATTTCATGCTTTCATAAATGAATCTGTTAATTTGCGAGTGTTGATTAAAAATCCATTTAATAAAAAACATCTTTGAAATTTGCCAGCCAGCAGTAAATGGTTAGTCTGTGAAACAACATGGTTGAGACGAGGCAAACCTCGGATAAAATTGATAATACAATTTAAATTTTTCTCAGCTGGGATCATAATTGAGAAGCACCATAGCATTCTTTAGGGCAAAAACATGGCATAATATATAACACAGCTACACGATAAATAGCAGAAAACAATAAAGAACCAAGCGTAGTTTATTTCATGATAAAACATTGTTCATTTCTGGAGATTAGAAGATGCTGTCTGGAGTTTCGAACATGCGCCCCTCATGGTTTATTCTCCCTGCAGTGTTTTATTGTATGATAAACAACTCCCACTCAATAAACATTGTGATGACTTTATTATTATTTATTAGGAGTTTTGTTGCTATTGAATATGCAGGAAAATTCTAACAGTTTTAAGATAACTGGCAGACGATATCGTGATTCCGTCCTGACCTGCATACAAGATGGCCTTCCAGTGATCCTCCTTGGACGTGGACAGAACCTCCAGACACTTCACAGCACTGTCCTTCTTCATCAACGACTCAGCATTCAACATGGCTGAAACATGCAGACGGAATATACACATGAATTGTAACAAGCAGCTAGACTATACATATGATTTGATGTTTCTTTGTTTGTTGCTTAACGCCGCGCTCAGCAATATTCCAGCTATAAGACGCTGGTTTTAAAAAAAAATCTGGATCAGACATTCCAGTGATTGACATCATGAGCATTGATCCACGTAATTTGGATACGATGTCATGCATCATAAAAGTCAGTGAGTCTGACCACCCGATCTCTTTAGTCGCCTCTTATGACAAGCATGGCTTGCTAAAAACCTATTCTACCTATTCCAGATCTTCATGCTTCACATATGATATCAATTGTAACAAGCAGACGGCAAGTACATATAACATGGCCAACACAAGACAATGGAATACATGTTGTAAATATATTTGCAGTACATGTCAGTGGCAGCAAATGATTAAATCACTAGTAACAGTGTTGTCCCGGCCAGATTTGAACAGCAGTAAACAGTGTGGAGCTTTCCAGACTGGTCCTGTACTAGATTTAGAGTTATCTGCCCTTGTTGTGTACATGAACGTGGCAGGCTTCCTCATTCTAGAAGTTTCTGGATAAGACAGTTTCTAAAAGGCTGGCTGTATCTTTTTAAGAGTGACACGAAGCCTTTTTGACCTCCCTTGTTTCGAATGCAGTTTTGATACCTACCATATTCAGAGTAATAAGCGCTCAGGGCGCTCTCAAAATTAGAAATAGGGGGCTCTTATTAGAATATAATTTGGGTGAGAAAAAAAAACAGAGTTGAAAGATCGTAAATTTTGTGGTTTATGCTAACAGCCTGAAATGATACAAAAGAAAAGTCTGTGCGTATTATACATGACAGATATATTTTCCAGAATTTTAATTGCCCATAATTAAGGGTGCATATTAACACACGAGTGCGTATTACACATGAATAAATAAGTCTTGTGTACATTGATCAATCGGACAGAGTGCTAATTGGGATTGTTCACTAGCCAATATTTGAACAAATATCGCCGTGGGCGCTTATTAGAGCGGGGCGCTTATTACGTCGAATACGGTATTTAGAAACACTGAAATCCTGACAGCTTCCAACACTATTCCGGATTCAAAAGCTGAGAGAGAATTCTTTAATGTCAATCAACAGTGACAATATTCCAAACATTTGTGAATGCACTAATACTTTCTGGGTTAACCTTTCATTTCAATTTGGAAATCCCCTCGTAACACTTACTATTTGACATTACTACTAAGAATTTGACCAGTCACCCGAGGCTCCCGCATACATGATTGCGAGAACTACATGTTTACATAGAATCGTCAAACTACAACAAGTATGACTTTTCACGAGTCTTTCAAACTTTTCAAAGTATGGTATTTATGATATATGTATCCATTCTGTCAACTAAAGTTTGTTTCAAGGTGTCAATAGCGGTAATCTGAGAATGGTTGCTGTTAATAACAGTGAGTTGTGTGATCTTCTGATCGTTTCACACACGATTTCGCCGAAATTAATTAAAACAATATTAAAAGGAATTTTGAATAAAATTAATGAAATAAGTAACAAATATAAGTCCAGATATACAAAGAACACTTTTTATAACCAGACAGTGTAATTACATGATTAATTTGCGTGCTTCAGTATTTGTTGACATGGTATTTCCGGTGTTACATGCTCACAGTAATATTAGTCTTTGCGTTGGGGGAAATATACCCATCAAAACTCATTATGGCGTGTATAATGCGCATCCCCTTCTACACAGATGTGTTTTGGGGGGAAAAAGTCTGCACTATACTCAAGAAAATACGGTACACATGCAGAGGGAATATATATATGGCCGATACACATAGACGACATGACATGAGTTGACCACCTACCTACAAGGATCTCCCACACCGGCACATTAGGGTGGTTCCACTCTATCAGGTACTCAAGGATGTTGGTGTGGAACCGCAACGCCGCTAGGTTCACCATGCCGTTGTTGTCCCCGTCCGTCTTGGTGATATCGGAGCCGAGCAGGATGAGACACTGCACCGCGGACAGGGCGCCGGAACTTGCTGCCAGTAGGAGAGGAGATGACTTCATCCTGGAACAATGTCAACTAACTTCTGAGACTGAAGACTCATTCCACCCTTCTAACATAAAACCCTAAAAGCCCTAAAAACTACTTTTTAAGATACACTTACAAGGGGTGGTGAAATGTCCCTGTGTGTTAGGTAGGGAGAATTTAAATTTCAAGGTTTTACATAAGCCTGTACACCGTCAGAAAAAATCCAAGATGGTTGATACTGACCTAATATGAGACTGTATACTGTCAGTAACAGCCATCTTGGATTTTCCAACACCCACCTCAAATATTTCACATGGAAATGCTGGTACCGAAATTCGTTTATTTGACACTGTTTTGTGTTTTACTATCATTAATTGTGATGTGCAAGGACATTAATCTGTTTTTAAGATCACATTCGTGACTTTATTGATAAAGATTATAGTTAAAATTTTCAACAAGGTTTGGCCTCTAAGGTTTGAAGAGTGGTCTCCCTTTGACATAAGCAATGGCTGTCAAACGCTTTGCTGGTAGCACCGATGAGGAAATGCCTGATAAAAGGCAAAATGTGCGATATGGATACCAGAAAGTGTAAACTTTTGGGCATAATAAATTTGTTATGGTGTTATGGTGTTATGGTGACTCGCCCAATATTTTTCTACTAACCTATTATGACACCATATAAGGCAACTAAAGACACCATAACTAATGATATTGACATCATATCACCACCCAGGACCCATCAGAACCCATCAGGACCCATCAGGACCAGGTGTTCCATCGGAATCTCATCACAGATCCACTTACTCATTCTTCGTGGTCAGTTCGAGGAGCCCGGTGTTTTTGCGTATCATCATTTTGATGATGGATTCATGGTCAAAGAAGGCAGCATGATGAATGGGGGCCCAGCCATCTTGGTCGGTGGCCAGGATATTGGCATAGTTGGAGAGAAGACACGCGACAGCATCAAGGGCCCCGCACCGCGCCGCCACGTGCAAGGCTGTCGGACCTGTGTAAAGATGCTAGCTTCATACAACTATACATAAACACAACACAATTCCCTTACCGGTACCTCAATTGTGAAATTTAATTAAACTCTGTTTTCAAACAATAGGGCTGATTAACTAACTGACATTGGTAGGATTCTTCACCAGATATTATTAAAGGTGACCAAGTATGTTACCCATGTGGGATCTTTATTTTAATGTTAACAGCTGCAGTATTTCCTGTTTCAGCAATCACTTGGATTGGGTATGGGATTACTGGTTAAAGATGAGTAGACAAATCTTGGGTTAACGGAAATGATATGATCTTGTGGTTAGTGACACGAGTTAAAACACTGTCAAAGAACATCCATGTCTGGCTACAATTTAAAACAATGCAAAAGACAAATTGGGCTTAAAAACATGAAAATGGAAAATATTGATAAAAATGGAAATGAAGGCCTTTGTCTGGGCTGTTAAATATTTTAGAAGACATGTATAGCAATACATGTCGCCATCTCAAGGAAGGGGAGATAACTGGTGACATGTTGAACTCATCATTAGCACATTGCACGACATGTACAAGGAATGCCATAAGAAATATTCTGTTATACTTTGGGTATATTACTGACAATAGGTTAATATATTTTTTTCTCTTTCAAACATTGTTCCTAATAAAATACAACATACCTTCAGTATCATAATTATGGTTATTATTACATAAAACAATGTCATTCTAACAAGAAACAATACGATAAAATCAACTTGACATTAATATGTGTTATACACTAAAGTTGTGCAGTGTTGTGCATGTGTGCAGAAGGTGCATTCCCTCATTGCATGGTGCAAGTGCCTGGCATTCCCTGGTGCAACTGTATGCATGACATAGCCTACCAGTGCCCTATCCATGCCGTGACATCGTGCTGTTGCTAATCACATCCTTGTTATAGGTAAACATGCTATTGCAATATCAGATTGGTGTGTTGTCAGTGTTGTAAAACATAGTTATTGAAATCCATATTTGAATTAATTAACATGTATGCATAATACATTAATTGAAACAGTTATATTATTGTTAGCTGAAAAAATATTAAGTATAGAAATGAAGAACCAAGATATCACAATTCCTATGATCAATTTCAAAACTAAACGAGATACTTTCAGAATATTGAGAAAAGCCTGTCAAAAACTAAATCTTTTCATAAAAATTTAAGAACCAAGTTTTCCAACAAGTTTTCTTGTTCTTCCTAGAAGTGAAAATCAAACAGAATTTTGTTTCAAAATTTTAAAATATTTTCCTATCTTCCTTGGTTCTACATATTCAACATTACACTGTACATGTCTTACCTCGTCGCTGTGTATATGAAACTATATTAAAACACAGGTGTCAGTCATCCTCATCACCATGGCAATAAGCATAATAAAGAAACAAATATCTGACATCCGATTGGTTGAAAAATTGGTAAACTGGACTCAAATCCTGTATTTTCTTCAAAAGAAACCAAGTTAAATACATTTACCTTTGGAACGAACTGTGTTGTTCATGGCCGTCTAACAAAATACCTGTGGCCCACATGTGACCAATATTGGAAGTGTATTAAAATATTCTCCCAAGCCTGTCGTCTCTTCACATGATTTACACGCCACCCTATCTGACAGGTCAACAGCAAGGTAAGGGCCCGTAACTCTTGACACTGCAGCAGATTTAACATCAGGGAGAGCAATGGAGGGGATGCAAGAAGTTAGGCTCAAAATCACCAAATATCAGGTATTGTTGGTGGACATAATTCTTCTTTAAACTGTCAAATGTCTTTTCAGATAGAACAGAATAGGTCCACACATAGTGATCTTTATTGGGAGAATAAAAGTTTAATGCTTAGGAAATGATCTGGGCGGTGATCAACATTCAACGTGTATTGTGTGGAACTATTGTGTGCACAGGACTTAAGTAGACACTCAGCTGTCATAAATACATCATAATGGGGAGTTATGGCCCCTTCAGAGAACTCTTCACACATCGGAAAACAGTAAATAAGCCACCATGATCCTATTACATGAAAAATAAAATATAATACGAAAAAGGTCCGTTTCTAAATAACTGATGTAGATTAGTTCCTAGGAATATACTATTATGTGTGGGACCTGTCAGGGAAGTGTCCATCCAAAATTAATTATATTCACAACCAGTCTCACGGGTATGGTGCTTACAGACTAAGGCTCATTATCAGGCCAACTATTGAATTCCAACTGATGATCATCAGATCCTGGCACACCTAAGGGATGCAACTCTGTACAGCTAATGAATTGCAACACCATAGAACACTAGCCCACTGTGCACTACTTAATTGATGTTAAGCAACAAATGTTGATGACTTGTTAGTTTAATGAACCAGTGATTTACTTATAGTTTAGTCTTGACGAGGGCTTTCACATGAGCTCTCATATTGGTGCTGCTATACATTCAGACTATCAGTTTAAACACCTGTACAATATAGAGTAGTTCACAAACTTAAAACAGGATAAAAAATAACAATGTATTTTAAAGTTTTAAGACACCCCATACCAAAAAATTGTAATTATGAAAATGTTGATACATATATATATATATATATATTCTGTTGTCCAAAAAATCCTACTAGGTAGTGATTTATAACGATGGAAATACAGTACACTATGAACTACGGTTATAACAAACTCAAACTTAGTTTGTTATAAGTATATGTACAGCATATTGACAGAAAATGGAAAAGACCAAAAAACAGTTCAAGGTTTGTTATTTTACTGTACTTGTCGAGTTACAGTTGCAACTTCACTCACATTGTTTCAATATCCACGATGAACACATCATTCATTTCCAGGGTAATATGACGATTAGAGCTGTTATTTATTGACCTGAACTATATTATATCCCCTGAAAAGTGCAACCCATGCTTGCCATAAAAGGCCACTATGCTTGTCATAAGAGGCGACTAACGGGATCGGGCGGTCAGGCTCGCTGACTTGGTTGATGTCATCATATTCCAGTTGTGTGGATCGATGCTCATGACATCAATCACTGGATTGTCTGGTCCAGACTTGATTATTTACAGACCGCCGTCGTATAGCTGGAATATTGCTGAGTGTGGCGATAAACAACAAACAAACAAACGTGATTTTGTTAGATGCTAAACCTGTAGACCTGTTAAGCTCCCACCCCCAAACCTAAAGAATTAAGACTAAGATCATTCACCGACATCAAACCTTTGAATGACTCGCTTATAAAGATCAAAACTTGCAAGTCACATTTTTCACAGTTTGGTACTGTGAATAGTTTCAAAACACCTCCATGAAATTGCTTATATTTCAAATTAAAAAGATCTCAGACATACATTTTCTTCCAAGTCCATTTCCAATCTAGGCCAAGATGTCATAACCAGTGACATGAGACGCGACAGGGTATGTTGAAAGTCATCCTTACATTACAAGAAAAACAATGTATAATCAATGTACAGCTATATTATCTATTATAGATTCAACCATGCTTAATTGAATTTGGAACCAAATGCTGAGCCCCTTGTCCCTAAAACTCATCTTCCCGAGGCAAGGGAGTTACCTGACTCTAAAAGTCCAGTTTCCACCCTTGCCAAAGTAGACTGGAATTTCTGGGATCGATCGCCACCAGTGGCTGTTACGAGCTATGTCCCTCCTATGCCCATCTTATTGACCAATCAGATTCCACCTCTCATATCACTTGCGTTTACTTCAAACAAAATGGCGGTGCCCAGTCAAGACGATCTGATCGAAGATCAAGATCTTTATTGTAATATAACAGGTCTTAGCTCGCGAAGTGCATCAAATCACGTGAGCACAGTGATTAAAAACATGAAAAGATCTGTAAAATATCTGTCGATGCCAATGTCAATACACATGCATTGCAAATCCTGCAGTCGACCGAAATCGACACCCGATATTTTCATAAGACTATATATAAGTTAAGAACTCCTGATTTCTTCATATGACTATAGTTTCGTTAAAGAACACCCGATATTTTCATAAGACTATAGTTAAGTTAAAGAACGCCTGATTTCTTCATATGACTATAGTTTCGTTAAAGAACATCCGATATTTTCGTATGACAGTAGTACAGTTACAGAATACCCAATTCTTTAGTTAATAAATTCTGGCCAAATATTACTTGTTTATATCAGAGTCACATCACTGTCCACACTATCTGTACTTGTGGTGACATTATATGACTTTATCTAAACTGCTAAACATTTCCAAGTAAATTCAATTCTAATAATAGACAGAAAAAGGAGGGAATTCATAAAATAGCTGGAATCTGAAAATCTAAAATTACACAATAAAACATGTGAGAGATGTCACCAATACCACCATACACCACGGCAGCATTGACAGCACAACAACAACATCAAAAGCTGTGACAACAACATGTGCTAAAGCCAAGGAGTGATGGACATTCCGTAAAACTACCGTGGGGTGAGGCAAGGTGAAATATGTTGGCTCATCCTCACCAGTCAGGGGAATATTACTCATGCCATACTTACATCCCTCAAGCCTACACTGACCAACTATACATGCTCTACGACCCTCTGCTGGGGCTTGTGATGCCTGCGTCTATTCCGTGACTTTAGCTACAACAGGCCTACAACACTATCTTTATATACAGGTAGTTGTCATAGCGATGGAATTGTTTGCGAACTGGATGATAGCCTATACATGCAGAAAGATGCAATGAGAAGTTGTGATTTAACCACTAAGAACTACTTGAGTTTTGTCCTACATTAAATACGAATACAGACATCACGAGAGGTAGTTGTGTAAGTATAAACAGTGACCATGTATTCAAATACACATAGTCTACCCTTCAAAGGTTTTACAAGACATAAGGAAACATATTTCACCTGAATGGAATTCCTATGTTAAAATGACCCTATGGCTGATAAGAAATTTCTTTAGTTTGGATAAGATGGCGACAAGAGAGGGGCAAGAGGAAGGGATTGTGGAGAAGAGGGGCAGGTGAGAGGATTGTTGGGTTAGGCATAGTTGTGGGGATAGGGGCGGGTCAGGAGGAGTAGGGGGTGGGGGCAGGGGTTGGGAGGCCTGGAGGGGAGTAGGGGAGGGGCAGGAAGAGTAGGGGAGGGCCAGGAGTAGGGATGGGCAGGAGGAGGAGTAGGGGAGGGAGAGGAAGAGTAGGGGAGGGCCAGGAGTAGGGGAGGGGCAGGAAGAGTAGGGAGGGCCAGGAGTAGGGATGGGCAGGAAGAGTAGTGGAGGGCCAGGAGTAGGGTATGGGCAGGAGGAGTAGGGTAGGGCCAGGAGTAGGGTATGGGCAGGAGGAGTAGGGTAGGGCCAGGAGTAGGGTATGGGCAGGAGGAGTAGGGTAGGGCCAGGAGGAGTAGGGGAGGGCCAGGAAGAGTAGGGGAGGGCCAGGAGTAGGGTATGGGCAGGAGGAGTAGGGTAGGGCCAGGAGGAGTAGGGGAGGGCCAGGAAGAGTAGGGTATGGGCAGGAGGAGTAGGGTAGGGCCAGGAGGAGTAGGGGAGGGCCAGGAAGAGTAGGGGAGGGGCAGGAGGAGTAGGGTAGGGCCAGGAGGAGTAGGGGAGGGCCAGGAAGAGTAGGGGAGGGGCAGGAGGAGTAGGGTAGGGCCAGGAAGAGTAGGGGAGGGGCAGGAGGAGTAGGGTAGGGCCAGGAAGAGTAGGGTATGGGCAGGAGGAGTAGGGTAGGGCCAGGAGGAGTAGGGTAGGGCCAGGAAGAGTAGGGGAGGGGCAGGAGGAGTAGGGTAGGGCCAGGAAGAGTAGGAGAGGGCCAGGAGTAGGAGAGGGCCAGGAGTAGGGGATGGGGCAGGAGGAGTAGGGAAGGGCCAGGTAGAGGCAGCAACAACTGGGTGTGTCCACATGGTGATAATTACACATGTTTAGCAGCAGTGATTGTGGATAGTTGCGGTGATCAGCGTTGACCCCTTGCTGATTAACAGCATTACCATGGTTACCTTCACTTTCTGTCTCTCCTGGTTGGCATGGCAACAAAGACAATAGGCTATAGGATCTAGATTCTATGCACATCGTTTACATTGACACATCCATCTAGACCAAAGGCATTCAAACCACAGTCTTATCAGGATACGTTATAAATATGACTATTTCATGTGAAAGAGTAAGTGGTGCTTAACTAGTTTCCAGGAGTAGAGTATCATGCTACCTGGATTATACTCTATCACATTACAACATTGTGTCTCGATAGGGCCCTTTCCCTCCTTCATGATCTACCCGTTCTCTGTAACTCTGACCACTGAAACCCTTCTTGTTCCATTCAGAACTGCCCCCAGTTACCGTATTCGACATAATAAGCGCCCAGGGGGCTCTCAAAAATAGAAATGGGGGCTCTTTACTTATTTACTCAGAATGATATATTGGTGAAAAACAACAGAGTTGAAAGATCATAAATTTCGTGGTTTATGCTGACAGCCTGAAATGTTTCTATACGACAGATATATTTTTCCAGAATTTAATTTCCAATAATTAAGAATGCATATAACACACATATTATACACGAATATATAAGTCTTGTGTACATTGATCAATCGAAAGGGGTGCTAATAGCGATTGTTCACTAGCCAATATATTAACAAATATCGCCGTGGGCACTTATTAGAGCGGGGCGCTTATTACGTCGAATACGGTAATTTGTCTGTATTAAAAACTTCTGGATTAAGCGAATTAAGGTACAGAGCAGTGTTCATTTGCTCGTACAGTCAAGTCCTGTTAATCCGACATGGTTGGTTGCATATGATTATGTCGTATTAATGAGTATGTCGGATAAACGAAATTAAGTAGTATTATTGTTTGTGATCGAAAATCGGACAACTACACGATAGATAACGATACAAACACTAATTGTTCATTAATTGTTTATTGTTAAGCAAGTTTATTTCTGCAGCCGTTGTAATATGAAGCTACCAGCCGACTCGTCTCGCATCAAAACACGGGCTGTGTACTCGCGGGCAGATGACCACGGAGTACGCTGACCACTGTGTCGGATTAACGAGACTGATTAATGAGTGATTTCGGTAATTCGTCACAAATTAGGTGTGTCGGAGTAGGAGTGCAAGACTGTCAGAATAACGGGTCTAAATAGCACTGATTTAATCGGTTCCCATCATTAGTGTCGGACAAAGCCAGTTGACGGATAAACGAGTGTCGGATTAACAAGACTTGACTGTATATTGTCCAGATCATCCTGAAGTGCTGTGATGGGTGGGGTCCGGACAAACAGACTTCAGATCGGTACAATGTCCATGACAGTGACTGATTATACTCTAAAACATCCTAAAGGTTTTATTTTAAAGTGTGATGAAACATTGTGTTGAGAACAATCACAGCTTGATGGTATGACATAATTCAGATGTACTGGGTCCAACTCCTGGACACAGATGCGAAGCACCCACCTGTAGACAGAATGTTATTCCGGCGGACATTGACATCCATGGACTGAAGGAGCAGTACGGCAATGATCTGGGGTCGGTTGTTGAGGGCGGCGTGGTGGAGGAGTGACAGGCCGTGCTCGTCCTGCTTTCCCAGGCGGGATGCCGGCATCTTGCGACACAACGTCATGAACATGGCCACAAGGCCGCGCTGGGATGCAGTCTTTAGACCATTCACTGCAGACTGGAACAACAAGAGTCAGCGTTAGAAAGTCCTAGTCCTGTAGTCCTTGCTATATGTTATCATTATAAGGACTAGTGGCCTGAAACTGTTAGTTTCTAGCGCTGAGAGTGAGTGAGTGAGTGCCGGGATGAGTGAGTTAGTGACAGTGCATGGGTGAGTGAGTGAGTGAGTAAGCGACTTTCTTTGTTTAACGAATGCTTTCAGCAAAATGACAGGTATACGATGGAGGTCTGTAAATAATCATGTCTGGACCAGACCATCCAGTGATTGACATCATGAGCATCGATCCATGCAACTGGGATATAATGACATGTATCAACCAAGTCCCGATCACGTAAGCCACCTCTTATGACAAGCATAGTCGCCTTTTAGTGAGTGATGTACTGTGGACAGACAAGTATGAAGTACTGTGGACAGAAAGACAAGTAGGAAGAACTGTGGACAGACAGACAAGTAGGAAGTACTGTGGACAGACAGACAAGTAGGAAGTACTGTGGACAGAAAGACAAGTAGGAAGAACTGTGGACAGACAGACAAGTAGGAAGTACTGTGGACAGACAGACAAGTAGGAAGTACTGGTGACAGACAGACAAGTAGGAAGAACTGTGGACAGACAGACAAGTAGGAAGTACTGGTGACAGACAGACAAGTAGGAAGCACTGTGGACAGACCGACAAGTTGGAAGTACTGTGGACAGACAGACAAGTAGGAAGCACTGCGGACAGACAGACAAGTTGGAAGTACTGTGGACAGACAGACAAGTAGGAAGTACTGTGGACAGACAGACAAGTAGCAAGCACCCTGGACAGACAGACAAGTAGGAAGTACTGCGGACAGAAAGACAAGTAGGAAGTACTGTGGACAGACAGACAAGTAGGAAGTACTGCAGACAGACAGAAAAGTAGGAAGTACTGCAGACAGACAGACAAGTAGGAAGTACTGCGGACAGACAGACAAGTAGGAAGTACTGCAGACAGACAAGTAGGAAGCACCATGGACAGACAGACAAGTAGGAAGTACCGTGGACAGACAGACAAGTAGGAAGCACTGTGGACAGACAGACAAGTGGGAAGCACCGTGGACAGACAGACAAGTAGGAAGTACCGTGGACCGACAGACAAGTGGGAAGCACCGTGGACAGACTGACAAGTAGGAAGCACCGTGGACAGAGAGACAAGTAGGAAGTACCGTGGACAGACAGAGAGTGGGAAGCACCGTGGACAGACAGACAAGTAGGAAGTACTGTGGACAGACAGACAAGTAGGAAGTACTGAGGACAGACAGACAAGTAGGAAGTACCGTGGACAGACAGACAAGTAGGAAGTACCGTGGACAGACAGACAAGTAGGAAGTACTGTGGACAGACAGACAAGTAGGAAGGACTGTGGACAGACAGACAAGTAGGAAGTACTGTGGACAGACAGACAAGTAGGAAGTACTGTGGACAGACAGACAAGTAGGAAGTACTGTGGACAGACAGACAAGTAGGAAGTACTGTGGACAGACAGAAAAGTAGGAAGTACTGTGGACAGACAGACAAGTTGGAAGTACTGTGGACAGACTGACAAGTAGGAAGTACTGTGGACAGACAGACAAGTAGGAAGTACTGTGGACAGACAGACAAGTAGGAAGTACTGTGGACAGACAGACAAGTAAGAAGTATTGTGGACAGACAGACGAGAAGGAAGTACTGCGGACAGACAGACAAGTAGGAAGTATTGCGAACAGACAGACAAGTAAGAAGTACTGTGGACAGAAAGACAAGTAGGAAGAACTGTGGACAGCAGACAAGTAGGAAGTACTGTGGACAGACAGACAAGTAGGAAGTACTGCGAACAGACAGACAAGTAAGAAGTACTGTGGACAGAAAGACAAGTAGGCAGAACTGTGGACAGCAGACAAGTAGGAAGTACTGGGGACAGCAGACAAGTAGGAAGTACTGTGGACAGACAGACAAGTAGGAAGTACTGTGGACAGAAAGACAAGTAGGAAGAACTGTGGACAGCAGACAAGTAGGAAGTACTGTGGACAGACAGACAAGTAGGAAGGACTGTGGACAGACAGACAAGTAGGAAGTACTGTGGACAGAAAGACAAGTAGGAAGAACTGTGGACAGCAGACAAGTAGGAAGTACTGTGGACAGACAGACAAGTAGGAAGGACTGTGGACAGCAGACAAGTAGGAAGTACTGTGGACAGACAGACAAGTAGGAAGGACTGTGGACAGACAGACAAGTAGGAAGTACTGTGGACAGAAAGACAAGTAGGAAGTACTGTGGACAGACAGACAAGTAGGAAGTACTGTGGACAGACAGACAAGTAGGAAGTACTGTGGACAGACAGACAAGTAGGAAGTACTGTGGACAGACAGACAAGTAGGAAGTACTGTGGACAGACAGACAAGTAGGAAGTACTGTGGACAGAAAGACAAGTAGGAAGAACTGTGGACAGAAAGACAAGTAGGAAGTACTGTGGACAGCAGACAAGTAGGAAGTACTGTGGACAGCAGACAAGTAGAAAGTACTGTGGACAGCAGACAAGTAGGAAGTACTGTGGACAGACAGACAAGTAGGAAGTACTGTGGACAGCAGACAAGTAGGAAGTACCGTGGACAGACAGACAAGTAGGAAGAACTGTGGACAGAAAGACAAGTAGGAAGAACTGTGGACAGAAAGACAAGTAGGAAGTACTGTGGACAGACAGACAAGTAAGAAGTATTGTGGACAGACAGACGAGAAGGAAGTACTGCGGACAGACAGACAAGTAGGAAGTATTGCGAACAGACAGACAAGTAAGAAGTACTGTGGACAGACAGACAAGTAGGAAGTACTGCGAACAGACAGACAAGTAAGAAGTACTGTGGACCGACAGACAAGTAGGAAGTACTGTGGACAGCAGACAAGTAGGAAGTACCGTGGACAGACAGACAAGTAGGAAGTACCGTGGACAGACAGACAAGTAGGAAGTACTGTGGACAGAAAGACAAGTAGGAAGAACTGTGGACAGAAAGACAAGTAGGAAGTACTGTGGACAGACAGACAAGTAAGAAGTATTGTGGACAGACAGACGAGAAGGAAGTACTGCGGACAGACAGACAAGTAGGAAGTATTGCGAACAGACAGACAAGTAAGAAGTACTGTGGACAGAAAGACAAGTAGGAAGAACTGTGGACAGCAGACAAGTAGGAAGTACTGTGGACAGACAGACAAGTAGGAAGTACTGCGAACAGACAGACAAGTAAGAAGTACTGTGGACAGAAAGACAAGTAGGCAGAACTGTGGACAGCAGACAAGTAGGAAGTACTGTGGACAGCAGACAAGTAGGAAGTACTGTGGACAGACAGACAAGTAGGAAGTACTGTGGACAGAAAGACAAGTAGGAAGAACTGTGGACAGCAGACAAGTAGGAAGTACTGTGGACAGACAGACAAGTAGGAAGGACTGTGGACAGACAGACAAGTAGGAAGTACTGTGGACAGAAAGACAAGTAGGAAGAACTGTGGACAGCAGACAAGTAGGAAGTACTGTGGACAGACAGACAAGTAGGAAGGACTGTGGACAGCAGACAAGTAGGAAGTACTGTGGACAGACAGACAAGTAGGAAGGACTGTGGACAGACAGACAAGTAGGAAGTACTGTGGACAGAAAGACAAGTAGGAAGTACTGTGGACAGACAGACAAGTAGGAAGTACTGTGGACAGACAGACAAGTAGGAAGGACTGTGGACAGACAGACAAGTAGGAAGTACTGTGGACAGACAGACAAGTAGGAAGTACTGTGGACAGACAGACAAGTAGGAAGTACTGTGGACAGAAAGACAAGTAGGAAGAACTGTGGACAGAAAGACAAGTAGGAAGTACTGTGGACAGCAGACAAGTAGGAAGTACTGTGGACAGCAGACAAGTAGGAAGTACTGTGGACAGCAGACAAGTAGGAAGTACTGTGGACAGACAGACAAGTAGGAAGTACTGTGGACAGCAGACAAGTAGGAAGTACCGTGGACAGACAGACAAGTAGGAAGTACCGTGGACAGACAGACAAGTAGGAAGTACTGTGGACAGAAAGACAAGCAGGAAGAACTGTGGACAGAAAGACAAGTAGGAAGTACTGTGGACAGACAGACAAGTAAGAAGTATTGTGGACAGACAGACGAGAAGGAAGTACTGCGGACAGACAGACAAGTAGGAAGTATTGCGAACAGACAGACAAGTAAGAAGTACTGTGGACAGACAGACAAGTAGGAAGTACTGCGAACAGACAGACAAGTAAGAAGTACTGTGGACCGACAGACAAGTAGGAAGTACTGTGGACAGCAGACAAGTAGGAAGTACTGTGGACAGACAGACAAGTAGGAAGTACTGTGGACAGAAAGACAAGTAGGAAGAACTGTGGACAGCAGACAAGTAGGAAGTACCGTGGACAGACAGACAAGTAGGAAGTACCGTGGACAGACAGACAAGTAGGAAGAACTGTGGACAGACAGACAAGTAGGAAGTACTGTGGACAGCAGACAAGTAGGAAGTACTGTGGACAGACAGACAAGTAGGAAGGACTGTGGACAGACAGACAAGTAGGAAGTACTGTGGACAGAAAGACAAGTAGGAAGAACTGTGGACAGCAGACAAGTAGGAAGTACTGTGGACAGACAGACAAGTAGGAAGTACTGTGGACAGACAGACAAGTAGGAAGTACTGTGGACAGCAGACAAGTAGGAAGTACTGTGGACAGACAGACAAGTAGGAAGGACTGTGGACAGCAGACAAGTAGGAAGTACTGTGGACAGCAGACAAGTAGGAAGTACTGTGGACAGACAGACAAGTAGGAAGGACTGTGGACAGACAGACAAGTAGGAAGTACTGTGGACAGAAAGACAAGTAGGAAGAACTGTGGACAGCAGACAAGTAGGAAGTACTGTGGACAGAAAGACAAGTAGGAAGTACTGTGGACAGCAGACAAGTAGGAAGTACTGTGGACAGCAGACAAGTAGGAAGTACTGTGGACAGCAGACAAGTAGGAAGTACTGTGGACAGACAGACAAGTAGGAAGTACTGTGGACAGCAGACAAGTAGGAAGTACCGTGGACAGCAGACAAGTAGGAAGTACCGTGGACAGACAGACAAGTAGGAAGTACCGTGGACAGACAGACAAGTAGGAAGTACTGTGGACAGAAAGACAAGTAGGAAGAACTGTGGACAGAAAGATAAGTAGGAAGTACTGTGGACAGCAGACAAGTAGGAAGTACTGTGGACAGCAGACAAGTAGGAAGTACCGTGGACAGACAGACAAGTAGGAAGTACTGTGGACAGAAAGACAAGTAGGAAGAACTGTGGACAGAAAGACAAGTTGGAAGTACTGCAGACAGACAGACAAGTAGGAAGTACTGCGGACAGACAGACAAGTAGGAAGTACTGTGGATAGCAGACAAGTAGGAAGTACCGTGGACAGACAGACAAGTTGGAAGTACTGTGGACAGACAGACAAGTTGGAAGTACTGCAGACAGACAGACAAGTAGGAAGTACTGTTGACAGACAAGTATGAAGACAGACCTACCTTATACTTGATGGCCTTCTTGTAACCAAAGTACTTCTTGAACTGTTCGTGGAGGTTTATGTCATTGATGGGGAGTTTCTTGGGTTTCAGTCCACTAATGGCCTCCGAGTACGAGCGAACCCACAGAGGCTTGTGTGGATTCTGCCCATAGTACGTCTCCAGCTCCAACGCCACCACATGGTATCTAGGCAACCACCATTGATCACAATGTAAAATGTTGCAACTTCATGACACATCCTTGACATCAACTATAGGTCAGTGGGACAATATTTCACGAATATGATGGTGTGTTAGGGGCCAGTCATGTATTATAGAGGAGTGTGGGTCACAGTTTTGATGCACTACTGTACTGAAAATAATTACCCTCCCCTAATACTTGTCATATTTTTGGATAACCTTTCCAATGTCCTTTTTCATTATTTTTCATTTCCTGACCCTCCCTGAAAAGATAAAATGCAAAAGCGCTTCATATTTTATTGTACACTTATAGTTCATTATTTCTTATGATCCTATATTGTATTGTTTTTTTACGATCCTTCCCTAGAGATCATATGTTTGGGTGACCCTCCCCTCAGTCCCTCTGACTTTCCCTCAAGAAGTAGTCCTAGAACATTGCTACAAACAATAAAGAAGTTGTTACCGTATTCGACGTAATAAGCGCCCCGCTCTATTAAGTGCCCACGGCAATATTTCCTAATATATTGGCTAGTGAACAATCCCAATGAGCACCCCTTCCCATTCATTAACGTACACAAGAATTATTATTCGTGTATAATATGCACTCGCGTGTTGTATGCACCCTTAATTATGGGCAATTAAATTCTGGAAAATATATCTATCGTGTATAATACACTTATATTCTTCTTTTGTATCATTTCAGGCTGTCAGCATAAACCACAAAATTTACAATCTTTCAACTCTGTTTTTTTTTTCTCACCAAAATTATAATCTAATAAGAGCCCCCTATTTCTAATTCTCAGAGCACCCTCGCACTTATTACGTCGAATACGGTGTCCACAAACAGGTTCATGTCTTCATGTCCTTCCAAGCCAATCAAAGACTTCAACACTGAATTTATCGAGTACAACCTTGCTAGATACATGAACTCACATGTTAACACATATCATGCCAATTTTTTGGCATCAGTTTGCCTAAAATTCTCCATCATATCGGGCGGTCGGGTAGTCTAGTGGTAAAAGCGTTCGCTCGTCACGCCGAAGACCCGGGTTTGATTCCCGACATGGGTACAATGTGTGAAGCCCATTTTTGGTTTCCCCCGCCGTGATATTGCTGGAATATTGCTAAAAGTGGCGTAAAACCATACTCACTCACTCATATCATATCATATCATATCATATCATATCATATCATATCAAAATATAACAACATACCTCTTTTCATTGATCTCGGTGACGGTCGTGGCACAGTGCTCTGGAAACACGTGGTCCGGCTCCAGGAGTTTGGTGAGATACATCATGGACTCAGACTTGACAGCATCATAGCACACAGAGAACTCCTTCCCAGCTTCCTCCATAGGGGAGGTCTCAAGGTCAAACAGAATTCCTGAAAATAACAGGATCTCCTGATACATGTATACCTCATCAGTCTGTGACTTAACCTCTAGTGTGTAGTCCGAGTCTAGTACAATTTCTTTTGGTCTAGTAAGATTTACAAATAAAAGTCCATGCATTAACATTAAGATCTATGGTTGGTTTGGTTGGTTGGTTGTTTTAGCCGCACTCTGCAATATTCCAGCTATATGACGGCAGTCTGTAAATAATTGAGTCTGGACCAAATAATCCAGTGATTGATATCATGAGCTTTGATCCACGCAATTTGGATACGATGACATGCTTCAACCAAGTCAGCGAGCCTGACCACCTGATCCCGTTAGTCGCCTCTTACGACAAGCATAGTTGCCTTTTACGGCAAGCATGTTAAGATCTACGGAAAAGAATGTCATGAGATAGATTTGAGCAATAGACTCAAAATGTTTTGGCAGAAACTGTTTCACATTTGTTTGTTTGTTTGTTTGTTAACGCTGCACTCAGCAATATTCCAGCTATATGATGGTGGTCTGTAAATAATCAAGTCTGGACCAGACCATACAGTGATTGACATCATGAGCATTGATCTACGTAATTGGGATATGATGACATCCATCCACCAGTCATAAACCTGACCACCCGATCCTGTTTGTCGTCTCTTATGACAAGCACAGGTTGCTGAAGACCTATTCTAACTCTGATCTTCATGGGGCTAGACAAGCATGGGTTGCTGAAGACCTATTCTAACCAGGATCTTCATGGGGCTAGACAAGCATGGGTTGCTGAAGACCTATTCTAACTCTGATCTTCATGGGGCTAGACAAGCATGGGTTGCTGAAGACCTATTCTAACCAGGATCTTCATGGGGCTAGACAAGCATGGGTTGCTGAAGACCTATTCTAACTCTGATCTTCATGGGGCTAGACAAGCATGGGTTGCTGAAGACCTATTCTAACCAGGATCTTCATGGGGCTAGACAAGCATGGGTTGCTGAAGACCTATTCTAACTCTGATCTTCATGGGGCTAGACAAGCATGGGTTGCTGAAGACCTATTCTAACTCTGATCTTCATGGGGCTAGACAAGCATGGGTTGCTGAAGACCTATTCTAACCAGGATCTTCATGGGGCTAGACAAGCATGGGTTGCTGAAGACCTATTCTAACTCTGATCTTCATGGGGCTAGACAAGCATGGGTTGCTGAAGACCTATTCTAACCAGGATCTTCATGGGGCTAGACAAGCATGGGTTGCTGAAGACCTATTCTAACTCTGATCTTCATGGGGTTAGACAAGCATGGGTTGCTGAAGACCTATTCTAACCAGGATCTTCATGGGCTGATGTTATGTAGAGAGAAGGGCATACCATATACAGTCAAGTCTCGTTAATCTGACACTCGTTAATCCGACACTCAGCTTTATCCGACACAAATGATGGGAACTGATTGATTCAGTGCTATTTAGTCCCGTTAATCCGACATTCTCGCATTCCGACTCCGACACACCTAATTTGCAATATTGCTGAGTGCAGCGTTAAACAACAAACAAACAAACAACAAGGGCGATCCAGCATTTTTTAAATGAAGGGGTCCAAAATATCAAAATCCTCTCTGAGTCAATTTTAGTTCCCACAACACACTACATTTGGTTTTCAAAAGGAGGGGGTCCGCACCCCCTGGAACCCCACTGGATCAGCCTATGAACAACACCAACCAGTATGTATTCAAAATACCATGACATTTTGGGTCTGCCTCCCTTCTATGTTTGCAGAATTTCTGTCAATTTACTAAAAACAATATTAAGAACACACTCAGTTGTATTCAATCAATCCTCTCCAACGATCGGGTATTATCTCTCCATGCTACTGTGATAAATAGCATGCACCCTTTCACTACAATAGGGGCACGGGTGGCCCAGTTATCTAAGGTGCCGTGATTCGCTGTGCAGAGTTGCGTCCCTTTGGAAACCTATGATTGTGAGTTCGAATCCCCGTTTGCCCTGATTATGTTTCCAGGTTTGTCAGCACCATACCCGTCCTCGTGGGTTTCACCGAAGTGGTAAACATCTGAGACCTGCATCACTTCAGGCTTTCCTCCACAATTAAGCTGACATGCTGCGATATAACTGGAATACTGTTAAAAGCAGCGTTAAACCCAACTCACTCACTCACCCCATTCACTACAATAGCCAGTGGGAAGTTACGTCATCATCTCACTCAGCATCAGTAGCTACAGAATGTTTCATTGGATGGGCAGCCTTGTTACAAGCACCATATCATTTGAATCAGATTCAAAGCAAGGTTATGGTGGAGGGTTTACCAGATGAGAAATATTGGGTCCTATAGACATACAAATTGGAAAAGCAGGTAACTAAAAATATGAGTCCTGTGTTATTTATCAGAATGCCAAAAGAAATGGCTGTTTGAATCATTAAATTTATCAAAATTGTACATTGCAATCTGACATTGGAATCCCCATCAAAGCCTAGGGTTCTGAGGGAGTGAGTTAACGCCACTTTGAACAGTATTCCAGTTATATCACAGTGTTAGCTTGATGTGCCAGGAAAGTCTGACGTTTACCACTTTGGTAATCTAGGTTAGAATCTGTTCCCAGCAACCAGTGCTGGTTGTAAAAGGCGATTAAATGGATTGGGTGGTCAGGCTGGATGACATGGTTGATTGAGTGTCACTGTACCCTGAACCGTTGTTCACAATATCAACCACTGAATTGTCTGGTCTAGACTTGATTATTACAGAAAGTTGTCACATAGGCGGAATATTGATAAGTTTAGCATTAAACAACAAACAAACAACACATGTCTGAAACAGATACCAAGAGGACTGGGAAGCAATCATTAAGAATGTATCTTGTTTAAAAAAGTACCTATATTGTACAAAAATAAGGCTCTGTAGCTCACCTGAATGATAAGAAAAAAGTGGTGTCCATTAGGGCTGGGACAAGTACAAATTTACTACCCAGGTACCCCTCCCCCTCCGCCCATTACCCAACCCTACCCAGGTACCCGCTGTAGGTCTTAAGAGTTGGGCACAAAATGTCCGATTGGGAATAGCTTGACCTTAGCCCTGGCAAAATATATTTAGATATGCTTATAAAATGATCTGGTCGTGCATACACTGAAGTTTACTGAAGTCAGAAGGAAATGCGAACATTGTTGACATTGTTACCATGGAGGTCTAGATAATTTATTAGACAATACATCATGTGTCTAATCACAGGTCAGGGTAGTCCTGTGGGTACCCAGGTCCTACTCAGTACCCACCTGACCCTAGTACCTGAGTTACCCGTCATGGTCCTAGTGTCCATGTATAAAATCATTTCAGAATTCTGTGAGCACTTTTTAGACACATTCATACAGTTTCGAAAATGCAAAACTAAACGACAGATGGGCAACATGAGCTCGATTTGGTGAGCACAAAATGAATGTAGGTCAATATATACTATTCAACACAAGGCACGTTTATCTCTCAACACTTACCTCCATGAAGATGGAAATAATGGTTTCCAAACGAGAAGTTTTTGCATTTGAAATCTTGACCAAGGATAAGAGGAGGTAAGTCTCTCTCTGTCCGGCACTCGTCTCCTGTAATACACGGGGTTTGGGAGAAATCATTTTGATCAAAACTTTTCATGCAGCAATTCATGAAGGAAATTTTTTCACCAGAATCAGTAATATACTACTCAAAAGAGGTTAAAGAAACCTAATTCTTTCATAATACCAAATTAATCTGTTATGAAAAGTAATAGTCTTTTCTTTCCTGAATGTCATCAGCTCAGCCCATGAAACAGTCTGTCACAACCAGAACAATGGATGATGACACTGCTCAAAAGAGCCGCATCTCAAACAATGAAAACAATGGAACAATTGGTATGAACTAGCCAATCAGCATAAAGCAAACACTACAATCCATGGAATAATAATTGTACCAATATCCTTGCCCATATGGGTAATAGTTGCATATTTTATACAAAATTATCCACCACGCCACTCACCTGCCATAGCAGGCAACAATCGGTTGATGTTGGGTATCCTCATCCGCTTCTTCAGGCCGATCAGGAAGGGGGTCATGAAACTAATAAACCTAAGGAGTTCAATTTGTCGTTTAATCTCAAGTTTGCTTGGCAATGCAGTTTTGATCATTTCTTCATGAAGCTGAAGGCGCGTCTTAATCCTCTCGTAACCTGTGTGATCAATGCGATCGTCCAACAGTTTCACAATACTCGACACAGCCCAGTCAGCATCAACTATGTACATGTCCTTGTGGTGGGATATTGCGTTCTGGAAAAATGTCATTCTCATCGTGAGATCGTCCACATGACTCATGAAGAAGCGTCCCTCTTGAATCATGTCTGTGTCGCCAGGCTGCTCAACTGGCAGGTTGTCGTAGGCTGTGGAATAATCTGGATCTTTCGTAATGTCCATCAAACCTGGAAAAGATAACTATTTCATCATGGTATTCAAAGGCACTTGTCATCACTCTGAATATTCATTTCAATAATTAGAGCAAACATCACAGAAACAGTAACTTTTCAGATATGATATTCCACTTTTGTTTTTTAGGATCAGACTTTGTTAACCAATTAGACAAAAAGACATGCACAGAATACATGACATGATTATTATTAATACCATCTTCCCGAGGCAAGAGAGTGAGTGAGTGAGTTTGATTTAACGCCGCTTTTAACAGTATTCCAGTTATATCCAACGTGTCAACTTAATGTGGGAGGAAAGCCCCAGGTAATGCAGGTCTCAGACGTTTACCGCTTCAGTGAAACCCACGAGCACGGGCATGGTTCTGACAAACCTAGAAACATAATCGTGTCGAACCGGGATTGGAACCCACAATCATAGGTTTCTGGCGTGCCCAAGGGACGCAACTCTGCACAGCAAACCGTGGCGCCTTAGACGACTGGGCCACCCGTGCCCCCACCGAGGCAAGAGAGTTAACTGACTTTTAAAGTCCAGTCTCCACCCTTGCCGAACTAGGCTGGAATTCCTGGAATCGATTGTAGCGCCACCAGTTGCTATTACGAGTTATGTCTCTTCTATGCCTCTCCTATGAACCAATCAGATTCCACCTCTCGTATCACTTGCATTTGCTTCAAACAAAATGGCAGCGCCCAGTCAAGAAGATCTGATTGATAATCAAGGTCTATATTGTGATAAAACGGGTCTTACTTCGCGAAGTGCACCAAATCACGTGAGCACCTTGATTAAAAACATGAAAATATTTGGAAAATATCCGTTGACAACAAGTTGCTTTGCAAATACTGCAGTCAATCGAAATCTGCATGACAGTTTACAAACCGGATTTCAATACCATTTCACGATTTTGATTGGACTATGCAAAATTTAACTCCATAATACCAGCCAAGTTCGGCAAGGGCGGAAACTGGACTTTTATAGTCAGTTAACTCTCTTGCCTCGGGAAGATGTATTAATACAGACCCCTATGAGAGCTACTTACCAGCACTAGTGAACTCTGTCAGAAGTGGCTTTTTCGTCTCAGGATTCCCATTAGGATCAATATCCAAATTAGATCGCCATCGCTCAGAAAACTTTATCCGTTTATCTTTAGGGATGTAAGCACCATGCCACAGAGCTTTCAACATGTAGTCCACATTGACCAACACCTGCCCCACCTTGGTGTCGAGGTAGGCAGGCGGCAGCTGACAGGATGTGCTCTTGTCGTAGTTCGCCTCCAAGGCTATGAGCGGAGTCTGATGCATAACAAATATCCCATAGGTCAGTTCCTTCACAATCTGGTGCAGCTCTCGGTAGTCAAGAGGCTGATTCTCTGCCACATCCGCATCTTCTGGGAAGAGGATCACACTGTAATTTGAACCCGTAGGGTTGATGCTCGTGATGAGTCCCACGGGGGGGTCAGTCGGCAGGCGGAAGTCCTCATTGGACAGCATCCAGTGGGTAGAAGAGTGAGCCAACAGTTCCTGGCAGTCATAACGGTCAAACTTCTCAAAATAGTTTGAAGCTTGACGAGCACTTTGTTGTGCTAGGATGTCCTCCTCAGAGGGACCTTGGTCGTTCTTGGGATTTGCCATTGCACTTTTTAATGTCGACATATCAACTGTCACATGGAGTCTTCATTCCATCTCGAACAAATTCCTGGAATGGCAAATATAGACACAAGCATGGTGAAACTGGTTTGTTAAGATGGAATGGTGATTATTTCATTCATTATAACTTTTCTAAAATGGGTATTTCCATATTCTTTGTTATTCTATTAAACAAAATGATAAGGTTTGTGTGCATATCATAGCAATAGGCTTTTTTGTTAACTACCACTTTCAAATTCATTCTCCACTATCATGGCATGTATAGAAATAACTACCTCTTTCAAATTCACTCTCAACTATAATTGCACGCATTGTAGAAATAACTACCACTTTCAAATTCACTCTCAACTACCATGGCATGTATTATAGAAAACAATTCAGAGTGTTAACACATGCACATGAAATTTATAACTCATAGTATCGGTATACAATATCTTCCTATATCATGTATATTTTATCCACATATGGATAAAATGTTTACCTATAAGGACACATCATGATATCTATATGTTAGTGTACTACTATTTTTGCAAATACAAATAATGTGTTCCCAAAAGTTCCTTTCCATAAGCCAAACCTTTCTCCTGTACTTATATATATGTTACGATACATGGTTATAAAGTTTGACACAATGGGCAGGGCACTTATCCCGAACCCTTCTTAATTGCTTAAAGATACATTACTTTTGACAAATACATTTTCAATAGCAACATTTTGTGCATTCAAAGGAAAATGGTTTGGGAACACAAATCTATACACTTTTGGCCAAAGTTGCCATAATCTTCCTATATTAACAGAAAGGCCAGTGCAAAATCAGCCTAAGATTTTAGTAGCACATTATGAAGCCATAAATCAGAGTTACGTATTTGCAACCACAGGATGTGAGATAGCTAAAGGTAAGCAGAATAGCTATGATTTTGCAGCTATTATACTCGGACCCCATGGTACCGCGGCATTCATCATATCGCGGCATTTGTGTTTTCCGATAGTTCACGCGGGACACGGCTCTTAGCGGCTGTCTATTAATGCAAATCGGTAACCAGGAAGTGCTCACTTCGTAAACAATTTCAATTTCCTCGGAATGTTCTGTCTGCTGTAAGTAAGGAGTTATAAATCCGTTGATACATATTTCTGGCATCTGTTGTAATATTGCCTTACCCCCATCTATCAATGGCCAACGATATAACCCGCAGTTCCCCAAGTAAACTTTCTCTATCGACCTGAACTAGATCATCTGCATATTCATGGAGACTAATGAGGTAACGGTAGTTACGTAGTCCGCACATTTTTCCCCGCTCTGTGCCCAGAATCTATTGGGAAATCATAAGGGCCATAATGCCAAACTTAGAAATACGTTCTTCACTAGTAACCAAAAGATAAATACATACTTTGGGCATACTAGGAGTGCTTTTTATATATTTATTGTTGACTTTTAACATTTTTCCATTTTGTGACAAATTATTGTGATCCAATTTTTTTTAAACAATCTTAAAATATCATTTCTGATATTTTGTTGTTGACTTATAAAAATATTTTTCTTTTACTTTTCGGTAAAAATGCATTGAATACTTATTGCTGATAACACATTTAGAATTTTACTTGTGCTGTCTTTGCACTTGTCTGGACAAATCACTGATGTCTGGCGTGATCATACCAAGTGGTTGGTAGAATTATGTCCTCTTTTTGTCCAATTCGGACCTCCATACACAACTTTTCTCTGTACCGCGATACGATGGAGTTCTCTCCCTTGTCAAACAGAGCGCGAGGCCTGGCTTTTACTCGGAGCTACTAATGTAAATAATGAACTTTCATCAGAAAAATATGCATCGTTAGATGAAATAAATGACATCTGATATAGAGAACACGAATAAACATAAAGGTTAGTGAGTGCATTTTGTTCCGTTTAGCGTACATGACAAGTACCGCGATACCCCGAGGTTGCAGGCTAAATAAGTTAAATGGGGATATTATTTTTTAGGTTTAATGAGATTTAGAAATCTAAACAAACGAGCTTAATTGCAGGTTATTTTTTTCTGAGAATTAAGTAGCTTTTCCTAAATATTTTTGTTCAAATAGGTACCACCTTGCATGCAAGTTAGTATAGCTGCCTCAAATATTCATGGACTGGTAGATAGATATCCGGCATGTTTTCCCATAACCATAAGTGTACACATACTGACATAGATCGGGTTTTCAGGTCGCAAAATATGTGGTATGTCATATCACTGACAGGCAAGAAAGATATACGTCTACTCTTTATCTATGCGTATCCTACAATAATTGTTGTAAACGTCGCGTCATTATGATAACATAAGGCATAATTGTTACAGTCACTAAACCAATTCCCTTGGGGAAAAAACCTAGGTTGCCAATGAAAACAAACTCATTGTCACTACGATATCAGTGAAATGCCGCTTAGTCTCGTTTTCACATACCTGAAATCTCAAACAGTTGCTTAAATACAACTCTAGGTTTATTCCACTCATCTTTGAGACATAAAGAGGTGATGTTAATGACAATAGTTCGTTCTCAGAGTAGCGTCCTCCGTATCCAACTGCAACTATGAAGCGACGCCATATTGGCAAAGCGAACATGTGCTTGCCGCAGTTTCGAATTCCAATTTCCTTATAACAAAATGTGATCTTTTGTGATAGAGAAACACTATTACTACATGTTGTTTGTTATAACCAATCGATTTGCATCATCTTCACAAATGCTGTTCTTAATGATACGAAAATAATGCATCGTCTGCTCCGAATGACTATACTGTTGGAGTGCGCATGCGTATTCACTAGTTTGGTAGACCAGCCACTGTCTTCAAAATGTTTATATTTCCTCGTACAATGTTGCTGAATCACTGATACACTATTTTATAGTCAGCTCCCCTTTTCCTTCTTTAATACCCTACAAATGCATATGCGATAAATCTCGCCTGAGTCACATATGAAATATTCAGCAGCAGAGATAAAGAACAAAAGTTGCTCCTCTAACAATTAATTCAAAAGATAAGCGTATAAATCCATCAACTATGAACTTATAGTATATAAAATTCCAAGCTACATATCAAAAACACTTTGTCGGAAAGCTTAATCCCAATGAGCCTATATTTGCAGACTATTTGATAATTATTTATCACCTAACAGTGTGTTATTTTACAATTAAAAACTAATAAAACATCCCCATGTGTTTTATCCCACATCTGCAATGTAGTAGTAGTAGTAGTAGTAGTAGTAGTATATTGTTTATTTAAGCGTCACACGCACATGAACATAGGAAATATACATGCTACACTTAAAATACAGTGCATCAAGCCAGAAATTGGCCCCTGAGACAATTTAATCAAACTATACAATACAAAAACAAACAAAGTAATAAAATAAAAAGTTAAAAAATACTTGGTTGTAGCCTATAAAAAAAGTTCACAACATTTGCCTTCTAAACATTTTAAAAAGTGTTGAGGATAAAAAGCTTTGTATTTTACTTTCGTTCATTATACATATATCTATATACATACAAATTTATCTTCATTAATAAAGTTATAAAACCAAGGATTGTTTCCATATGCCGCATTAAAAAGATTGAAACGCAAATTATCATAAAAATTACATTGAATTAAAAAATGAAATTAATTTACAACCATTTTAACATGTACATCATTTGTAAAATACAATATTTACAAATTCTCTCTTAAAGTTGCACAAAAGGCTTGGCATATCTACTGGTTTCAATATACAAGGGTAAAATACCACGTCTAAATTTGGATAAAAACACAACAGTGGTCTCTGTACATTACATGTTTAACATAATGTTCAACAGTTGGAGTTGGTTTATACCTGTTTCATTCCATAAAAAATATGCCAATTATTAACATCTCTCTTCATTATAAATCGTTTAACATGATAAACACAACGTTTTGCTCCCCAATCATTTACATTGTAAAGTTCACCATTAAACTAACATGCTTAAAACCCTACAGTCTCAAGATCCCCTTTTAAGTCTAGCCTATTTAGGAATTTGTGTGAGAATGAGAGCAGGTCGCATGAATTTAAGACGATAGAGATGTCTAAAAGACTCTGTTTTCTGACTGACATTCACAGAACACCATCCCATATCTCCCCAATCTCATTAAAATCAGATCTTAGTTCTTAGAACTTCGATCTGATTTTTATGAGATTGATATCTCCCCTCATTGCAATAACTGTACCATTCCTGCCTACTCCCCTATAACTGCACTATTTCTACTTCTCTGTACCCTCCCCCCCCCCCCCAAATACTGGCACCATACAGTAATACAGGCCCAACAAGAGACCTTACAATTTTGTAAAAACATCATATGACATTCCCCCTGCATAAATTAACCTTGTATACAAAGCAGACAAGGCTCTACTTGCTGACTTAGTGCCTTATTGTTGCATCACATCCATGTGTTCATCTAAACACAGGCCTAAGTAATGGTAAGCGCTGTTGTACGCAATTGGGATATCCCCACACTGAAAAATTTAACAAGATCTTAAAACAGATTTCTTCCCAAAATGGACAACTTTGGCTGTGTTAATCCGGATGATCTGTCGTGGGAACAGAACTGTCAGCATTAACGGGGTTTCGCTGTATGCAGAAAACAAAGAGTGTTTTGTTTATCAAAGTTACGTATGTGCGATATACATAGTCATTACGATATTAGTCGACCCTACGTGTTTTATCGCAATAATACCCGACAACTCAATAGCTTATAGCTAAGTGGGAGCTAGTGCAATTATAGCGTACAATTAAGGTCAAGCTCAAGATTGAGTTGTGCAATCAACGCTGCGATGTTTCTAAAAAAGGTATGGTATGATCTATAGCAAAGTACCTACACACTCTCTCACACACATTACCGGAAGGTCTGTAATAAGCAGTGATAGTTTCATTTATCGAAAAGTTTTCATCTCCGGTTTTAAATCGATGTTGGCGTTTATTTTTTTCAGAGAGGAGCTTGCGAAAATAACAGTTTTGTTTCAAATGTCTTTTTTTCCATCTAACGTTAGACAATTTGGCGCTGATTAAAGGATATGTTTATTATTTTGCTACGTCTGTTGAACCTGTGTGTATTCAAGGCGTACGGTATGTCCTATCGCAAAAGTAGCCTTACTTGTATTACTCGCCGATAGTACAGCGTGGTACCGTTATCTGTAACCTTTAACCACCAGGTATGCTCTATTGTACAGGAAACGTGGCCTACACTGCCGTATTGCATTGACGGGCGTGGATCGGGCGTGGATATATCACACTTTGGGCATATGAATGTCTGTTAATAAGGTATGTATCATAAGAGACCCTAACAAGATTCGTGTAAGCTTTGACACTCGCTGAATATGCAGTAAATGAGTGATAATACCTACCTAGCAACTACAGCATATATCACCTATATTTGTTTGTTTGTTGTTTAACACCGCTCTCAGCAATTTTCCAGCTATATGACGGCGGACTGTAAATAATCGAGTCTGGACCAGACAATCCAGTGATTGACATCATGAGCATCGACCCACGCAATTGGGATCGATGACATGCATCAACCAAGTCAGCGAGCTTGACCACCCGATCCCGTTAGTCGCCTCTTGCGACTAGCATAGTCGCCTTTTATGGCAAGCATGGGTTGCTGAAGGACTATTCTACTCCGGATCTTCACGGGTCTATCACCTGTATAGTCCTATATCGTTCCAATGTACATATGTCTCATCCTATTTTCAGATAGGTTCATACATAGTATCTAGGAATGGCAAGAAAAAGAATTCCTAAGAGGCAAACTGGCATTCAACCGCGAGTACCCGTACATAGCACTGATACCGGAAGTGACTCAATTCCAGCGCCAGTGACGTCATCAATTAGAATCATATTACTTATTCTGATTGGTCTCGGCATATGTGCTTTCTTATTTTACCCCGATATAACGCGGTTGGTCAGCAGTCTCCAGGGAGATGCGAATCCGACTACAAAGGAGCAAAGAGGACAACCGGTTGATCAGCACAGACGTGATCAACAGTTCGACTCAGATGAGAAGGAATACTTCGCGGGCAGACGGCATGATGATCTAATGATGACGGAGGAAGAGGATGGCGAGATAGAAGTGGAAGATTTTGACGAGGAACCAGTGGAAAATGATCAAATTGGAGATCTAAAGGAAGAACCCATCAAAAACAATCCTGAGGTTGAACGAGAACAAGAAAGACGACTGAAAGATGAGGTGAAGAGAAAAGAACGGGAGAAAATGTCTGACAGAGATTCATCAAGAAAAACAGCACAAGAGGATGAAAAGAAGTTTATCAAATTTACGAAAGACGAAGCTGGTGTTAAAACTCTTGACATTAAAATGGAGGACTTGACTAAAGAGCCTGTCAAGAAAAAGTCGAAAGAAGCTAAGCCAAAGACAAGGCAGAAAGAGCAGGAGGAGAAGACGCCCTCTCAAGATAACCAGGATTTGCCAAAGGAGGTTCGTGATTTCAAGGCAAGGATTTTGAGCACCGTCACAGCTAAGAAGATATTTGCCGATGGGCGACGAATCCCGCCCGTGGAATTGTTGCCACAGAAGCCAACCAACAGTAGCGTCAGGTCAGTAAAGTGCCCATGCCGAACACGTTTTGTTCACATTTTCTCTCGCAAAGAGGAGCCGAACAAAATTAATGTTCAGCATATTTTTTTAAGACATCGATCATGTCAAGGAACATCTTTTTATTTATTTATAACATTAGGAGTATATTTTCCCAGTATTTTTCAAATCATATTTACCATGCACTAGAATATTAAACAGTGCCCCGTTGATAACGTACACAATAAATCCTTGTTAATGAACTGGACGTTGTTTACTTGTGAAGGTCCTTAAACCTAGCGTGTAGTTTCCCCACAGAGACGTTTGCACTAATTCAATAACTTAAGTTGTGTTATAAATCCTTCAAAATTTTTATCAGGCGTTTATCTGATGTACCGTATTGGACGTAATAAGCGCCCCGCTATAATAAGCGCCCACGGCGATATTTGCTAAAATATTGACTAGTGAACAATCCCAATCAGCACCCCTTCGGATTGATCAATGTACACAAGACTTATTTTTTTCGCGTATAATACGCACTCGTGTGTTATATGCACCCTTAATTATAGGCAATTAAATTCTGGAAAAATATATTTGTCGTATATAAACATTTCAGGCTGTCAGCATAAACCACGAAATTTATCTTTCAACGCTGTTGTTTTTCACCAAAATAATATTCTAATAAGAGCCCCCTATTTCTAATTTTGAGAGCGCCCTGGGCGCTTCTTAAGTCGAATACGGTAGGCATTTTTGAGGGGCGTGTATTACTTTCGGTGCAACGGATGTCCCGACTTATTCCATGATGATTAATACTTAACAAATTCTTAACAAATGGTGATTAATATACTTAACAAATGGTGATTAATATACTTAACAAATGATGATTAATACTAAACAAATGATGATAAATAATGAACGAATTGTGATTAATTATTAACAAATGATGATTAATACTTAACAAATGATTATGAATAATTAACGAATGATGATTAATACTTAAGACAAATGACGATTAACATTGGCGGATACAGAGAGGGGGTGTAAATTACCACCAAAGACAATAAATAGATCTTAATTGTGCACCCCCCTCCCCCTTTTAAAAAAAGCTGTATCCGCCCATGATTAATACTCAGCTTTTTCCATAGTACTGTCCCTTCGGCCGAGGCTAGCACTTCTTTAATATTTGTGTGGTGTTTTTGTTTGTTGTTTAACGCCGCACTCCGCAATATTCCAGCTATATGACGACGGTCTTTAAATAATCGAGTCTGGACCAGACCATCCAGTGATTGATATTATGAACATCGATCTACGCAGTTGATATACGATGACATGCATCAAACAAGTCAGCAGAGTTGCGTCGCTTGGACATGCCAGAAACCTATGATTGTGGGTTCGAATCCCGGTTCGCCCTGATTATGTTTCTAGGTATGTCAGCACCATACCCTTGCTTGTGGGTTTCACCGAAGTGGTAAACGTCTGACACCTGCATCACTTCGGGCTTTCCTCCCACATTAAGCTGACACGCCGTGATATAACTGGAATACTGTTTAAAGCGGCGTTAAACCCAACTCACTCACTCACTCACTCATGAAGTCAGCGAGCCTGATCACTCGATCCCGTTAGTCACCTCTTACGACAAGCACGGGTTGCTGAAGACCAATTCTACCCCGGATCTCCACGGGTCTCTTCTTTAAGATACTTCTTGAAGAAAGGTGTGAGGCCAACCCAGTCGAGCATGATCAAGAATATACACGCTGACCCAAACCCAACCACACACACGCAAACCCATACCCTCATCGACAGCCACCCCCACCCCAGTCTTCACCCCGACTACCAGCATGGTTACTGTGTTACTGACACGGGGCACGGGTGGCCCAGTCGTCTAAAGCGCCGTGATTCGCTGTGCAGAGTTGCGTCTCTTGGACACGCCAGAAACCTATGATTGTGGGTCCGAATCCCGGTTCGCCCCAATTATGTTTCTAGGTTTGTCAGCACCATACCCGTGCTCGTGGGTTTCACCGAAGTGGTAAACGTCTGAGACCTGCATTACTTCGGGCTTTCCTCCCACATTAAGCTGACACGCCGTGATATAACTGGAATAATGTTTAAAAAAAGCGGCGTTAAACCCAACTCACTCACTCACTGTTACTGACAGCAGTGAAATGCGACGTTTCTAACCGGTTACCTGTGTCACGTGATAATAGCAACAGACTCTCGGGAGATCTCCCAGGAATACCGACAATAGCAGCGTAAAACTTAATCCACCCACTCACTCTTCCTTACTGTTATGATCAGGGTGTTCCTGTTCGAGGAGTTCCTGTCGAAGGATGAGTGTGACGGGCTAATGAAAGCGCACGACAAGCACGTGCAGGATGCCGCCAAACAGGACCCCATCTTGTGTTTCGACAGCATTGGCACACTGAAGAAACACCTGAAAGAAGCCAAAAAGAAAATACGTGTCACACCTAACGTATTTACACACGGTCAGATATAAGACTTATATTATAAGTTGTACGGGGCGGTGGGTTAGCCTAGTGGTAAAAGTGTTCGCTCGTCACGCCGAAGACCCAGGTTCGATTCCCCACATGGGAATAATGTGTGAAGCCCATTTCTGGTGTTCCCCGCGGTGATATTGCTCGAATAATGCTAAAAGCGGCGTAAAACAATACTCAATCGCTGTAAGTTGTACATCTAAAGTCAATTTTCAAATACATTACGCAACGCCGTTTCGCTGCAAGGAGCTTGAAAGACAGAGATCGGCAAATGTCCACATGGAAATTTATCAAAACGTCATTGACCGATAAAATTCAAGTATTACATAGTATAACACAGTATTATGCATCATGCTATTCAAACCAGGTTATAGCTAAGAAATCAAAAAACTATTAAATTAATCCACTCATTCCGTATTGTATACAATCTCATTAAAATCCGATATTAGTTTTCGCTACCGATAAACAAAGATCTGAGGACATCCCATTACGGGTCACGTCAGAACGACCTTTCGCGAATTTTGACTGACCAATGAAATGACTGACAAGAAATCGACATTAGCCAATCAGAAGGCAGCTTTCTCGCGCTTTACGACACTAGTTTCAAATTGGCGACTACGCTTCGAAACATATTTTGACGTATTCTCGATTAGAAAAATTAAAACTGATACGAACAACATTCTGGAATGGCTTAAAGATGGACTAGATTGTAATGGATATAATCATCAAACCCGTAACTGTCGTTCGGAATACCCCGTGTTAAATATTTCGTGGTTGCATGATTATAAAACACATTCCGACTGTCACTTTCATAATCTGGTAAGCGACGCTCTGATTGGTTGGGTGAAAGGTCGTTCTGGCGTGACCCGTAATGGGATGTCCTCAGATCTTTGTTTAGCGATAGCGAGAACTAAGATCTGATTTTAATGAGATTGTATTGTATAGTGAGTGAGTTTATTTTTACGCCGCTCCGAACCGAAGACCTCCGGATCCCTTGTAGCTAAAGGGCACAACTCGAGCTGAGAACCCATTTTCCGCATCGAATGCATTGTGTGAAGTAAGCACATGGCTTGCTGCAGTGGCAGTTGTTCGTCAAGGTTTAGCAGTACTGGTTGCCATTGGGTTAACGTCAGTCATATTAGTGAGTGAGTGAGTTGGGTTTAACGCCGCTTTTAACAGTATTACAGTTATATCTCGGTGTGTCAGCTAAATGTGGGAGGAAAGCCCGAAGTGATGCAGGTCTCAGACGTTTACCACTCTGGTGAAACCCGCGATCACGGGCACGGTGCTGACAAACCTAGAAACATAATCGGGGCGAACCGGGTTTCGAGCCCACAATCATAGGTTTCTGGCGTGCCTAAGGGACGCAACTCTGCACAGCGAATCGCGGCGCCTTAGACGACTGGGCCACCCGTGCCCCCTGAGTCATATTAAATGCAGTGGACACCTTGCATAGGATCCGGATTGTTCCCCGGCGTCCAAATGTGGATCCTCTGCGACGGTTATCTCCCAAAACCCCTACATCCCATTTCCCCTACAACCCAGTTCCCCTACAATTAGTTAAAACAACACGCGGCATTTACCTGTCTGGCATTATGAACTCACCTAAAGGAGAAATTAAGGTCTGGAGTAGAGGTAGTAGAAATGAAAGGGGTAGAGCTTTAGGGGATAAGGGGACTTAAAGGAAAGTTTTTAAAAAAAAGAATTAATGTAAGTGTAATGAAAGATGCCTGTTTGATGAGAAGACAATTTTTAGAAATTACAAAAATAACAATAGGAAGAAACAATTATTATCCCCCGCCCCGCCCCGCCCCGCCCCGCCCCAGCGTGCGTGCGTGCGTGCGGAAATCGTTTCCGGAGCATAACCCAGAAACCGTTAAATATTTCTCTACGAAACTTTGCATGTCCATCAGGCTCATGCTGAACTGGTGCCTTTTGCTATTTTTTATCTTTTACTTTCCATTGCAACAAGTTGGACTTAGGTTCTATAGGGTAGAGTTTGTTTCCGGAGCATAACTCTTAACCCATTCAATACTTTCCAACAAAAACTGTGCATGTTTACCAGGCACATACTGGACTGGTGCCTCCTGCTATTTAGGCATTTTAGGAAAAAAATTATTTTTCACGTTTCCATGGCAATAAGTTGGACTTAGGTTTTACAGGGAGGGTGTTCGTTTCCAGAGTGTAACTCAAAAACCGTTAAATACTTTCTTACAAAACTTTGCATGTCTACTGAACTGGTGCCTTTTGATATATAGCACTTTTAGAAATTTTTATTGTTTATGTTTCCATGACAACAAGTTGGATTTAAGTTTTAATATAGGATTGGTTTACTTAAGTAGTATAACAAATAAACTGTTAAATATTTCCTTGCCAAATATTGCATGTCTATGTATAAAGCGCATACTGAACTAGTGCCATTTGATATTAAGGAGTTTTAGAAATGTTTATTTTAGAATTTCCATTGCAGCTATTTTGACATGGGCTAAGAGAAATGTTGGGTCAATTTTATCATAATGTATTATGAATTATGAAAAATGAACATTTTATTATAATGTATTATGAATTTTGAATAATATCGTAATCGTAATTAAATATTTATCTCAATCTATTCGAGTTTCTTGGGTTGTTCCATTGTATGAAATAGGTAACAGACTAGGGATTAGCAGTGCCATGGACCGTGAACTTTGTTGTCTTAAGCTGTAGGGGAAATGGGATGTAGGGGTTTTGGGAGGTTACCTCTGCGACTGCGAGTGTCACAATGTCCCGGTTGCATGGCTGGTTGGTATGGCTCCGTGGGGTATTGCTGACAACGAAATTCCCTCCCCGCGATTATGTTTATGTTTTATTGAATTGCTTGATCGTCGTCATTATGATAATACACCTTTCACAGGAACAAAATGCGTGAATGCCACATTTTCCCGCCAAATTGCCGACTTCATTCACCGGAATTGGAGCTATAGCACGGCCTTCTACCCAGGAGAAAGCAAGTTCTCTACCATCTTTGCTAACAGGGTCAAGGCCGCGATGGGTCTTGATCAGGAAAATGGCGGGAAGTTTCAGCTGACGTCATATCCAAAAGGAAAGGGTTAGTCTGTTCTATAAATATTTGTCAGTTTCGTTCAACACCGCTACGGACAGTATATGGCAGTTATACCACGGCGCTTCAGCTTCATATGCTCAGGAGGATACCGGAAGGGACGTAGGTCTTAGACGACCGTGAAGATCCGGGGTAGAATACAGCAACCCATGCTTGCCACAAAAGGCGACTATGTTTGTTGTAAGAGGCGACTAACGGGATCGGGTGATCAGGTTCGCTGACTTGATTGATGCATGCCATCGTATCCCAATTGCGTGGATCGATGCTCATAAAATCAATCACTGGATTGTCTGGTCCAGACTCGATTATTTACAGACCGCCGTCATATAGCTGGGATATTGCTGAGTGCGGCATCAAACAACAAAACAAGCAAAACAAGCAAATTCTCAGACAATTGCCCATGTTGGTGAACCTACGAGCAAGGTTGTGATGATGGTAAACGAACCTGGGTTTCGAACCCACGATCATAGGTTCCGGGCACGCCTAAGGGACGCGACTCCACACCACGCAATGTGGTGCTTTAGACGACTGGGGCCACCCGATCCACCTCGGCGATTTCTCTGTACAGACAACCTATTGGTGTACAAAATACAATTCACAATTGATACTAAGATAGTGTACTTATTTCTATTTTGTTTTGATTCTCGGAACCTCCCAAAAGTGTTACCTGACACAATAGCCTGTTAATAAAGTGTTGGAATTATTGAAATACGTATTTAGAGTGACCCTCGCTTGTTTACAAATGTCTCCAATACCCATATGTAAGGTAAACAACATTCGGTCATAGTTACCCTATGATACCACACTTGTAAAAACATTAAGTTTTGCAAAAGGCATGAGAAAGTGTTATATTAATTCATTCATAACTGAACATTAACAATAAGTGTATGTTGATATAAACCATATTGTTTTTATTAAAATTCAAAACAATGTGAAAAAAATAATAAATTCACCTTTATCCCAGTGAAGCATGCACCAGTACTATGCATTTTTTAAAGAAATATTTTTGAGAAGTGTAGCTCAAGTAAAAACTTGAGAGTTACTCCCCTTTCTGTTCAATATCTGTCATGGCGTTGATGACGTTGCAGCGTACAAGTCCCACACAGACTGCGTGGAAGGGGGAGAGGACAAGAGGGACAGGGTCGCCACTGTGCTGGTGTATCTCCAGGACGTCGAGGAAGGCGGCGAAACACGCTTCCCGGGTAGGTTTTGCGGCTGTCGGTGATCAGGCTTCGCTGTATTGGCAATCAGTAGATTGTCTGGTCCAGATTCGATTATTTAAAGACCGCGGTCATATGGCTAGAATATTACTGAGTCAGCGTTAAAAAACAAACAACATCCACCTGTATGTATTCAAAATACCATGACATTTTGCGTGTGCATCCATTCTAATTTTGAACAATTTCTGTCAGTTTACTAAAAAACATATTAAGAACACAATAAGAAAAAAACTCAACCAATCATCCCCAACGAACGGGTATTACATAGAATGCTTGATTGGATGGTCGGCCTTGTTAAAAGTATCCTGTCATTCGAATCAGATTCAAAGGGAAGTTATGGTGCAGAGTTTTACCAGACGAGAAAACTAGAGCAGCGTTAAACAAAGAACAAAACAAACAAAACCTTACCTACTTTATAAACACCTGTTGTTCATATGACATATATAAACAACAAACAAGTATATATTTTTCATATCAATCTCTGGACACTCAGCCTTAAAATAACTCACGGTAGCGATATCGAAGCTAAGGCAGAGGCTTCATAATGTGAATGCAAACATGTACTAGTATATACATGTACAACTACATGTTAAACCTCTCTTGTCTTCACAGAGCTGGGTATATGGGTAAAGCCACGGAAAGGTCGGGCATTGGTATGGAACAATATGAGCCCTGATGGCGACTGTGAGCGCCACTCTATCCACACGGCGTCCAGAGTCGACAAGGGCAACAAGTACATCCTTATACGATGGTAAGGCTATCTTTCGGCTCCCTAATAACTATAGCGTTTAAACAGCACCCGATGCAGAGGTTCTTCCCCTAGCCGTTAGGATCCGCCGGTCGTTGTTCGAATCCAAATTCGTCTTGCATGAGCTTTGGTCTGCTAGCACCTTACCTTTGCACAGTATTTCAGAAAAAATGGTTAAAGTCTATGATGTCACTTTTGGCTTCTAGGTACAATGAGTACATGGCAAAGTGAGTTGGTTGGGTTACCTCCCCTTTGAACTGTAGTTCAGTTATATCCATATATGGGTGGAAAGCTTGGAGGGATGCAGGTCTTAGACGTTTGGTGTAACATATGGACTCGGGTTTGGGGCTGTTATAACAAGGAAAATAATAAGTGCGACTTTTGAAGGTGTATAAATCATTCAAATATCGGCGACCCGTGAAGAGCCTGGTTAGAATAGATCTTCAGCAACCCATGCTTGCAGTAAGAGGCGACCAATGGGATCGGGTGGTCAGGCTCGCTGACTTGGTTGATGCATGTCATCGTATCCCAATTGCGTAGATCAATGCTCATGTTGTCAGTTAGTGGATAGTCTGGTTCAGACTCGATTATTTACAGACCGCCGTCCTATAGCTGGAATATTGCGGCGTTAAACAACAAACAAACAAACAAACATCAAATATTGCATTGCTTGTTGATGCCCATATAGAAAGTTAAATGTCATTTGTGTCATGTCTGTTATCCTTGCTTGTGTTGTTGGCGGGGTGCGTCAATCATCTATGCAACTGGGAGGGTCGTAGGTAACATACGGGTGGGGTGCGGGTGGGGGAGTGGGTGGGGTACGTCCTTGCCCTTCATCATCCGACCAAACTACTGCATGTGTTAACAGGTACTACTACAAGAGCTTTTATTCTCTGGGCAAGCGTCCCCCAGAACCACCGCTACCCCAGAGAGAGGCGGGGCAGCCACGGGTGTCCTGTGACGAGTTTGAATACGGCAGCTGTCGGTGGTACGATGAGTGGAGCTACGAACACATGCTGGAGTATGAACGCCAGAAGATGACTCTCATATGAACCTTCATCCCCTCACCAGCTGGCATCAGCTGTTCAGCGTGTCACTGCTGAGTTCTACCGTTCATTGCTCATCATCTCCTTTGTAGTAATATGTTACTGATGACGCACGATCTACGAATCAGGGACGCGTTAACCAAAGCAAATATTTCATCGAACAAGTCATATTTGATATATACAAGTTTGTGTATTGATCTTAAGAATAAATGTATGGTTACTAGATGGGAAGATTTATTTATTTATTTATTTATTTATGTTGTGTAATGCAGTCCTCAGCAATATTCCAGCTATATGACGGCGTCTGTGTTCCAGAAATAGCAGGAACTCGGTGATTTTTGATAGGCATCCAATCCGTACTTGGCTTGTCGGAAAAGGCCACGAATCACAGCCCGCCTTCTAGAAAATGTCCCACCCCGAAACTTCTCGAACGATCAAACTTTCCCGTGTTTGTCAACAACCAAAGGAGGTAATTCTAAACCACACTCCCTGTTACAAACTGGCCACTACAACACTCGACAGTCTACGAGCATATGTTTCCACTGACAGTCACTACAAATAAGCTTACAACAACAATCTCCACTGCCACATAACAATATCAATTATGATTACACCTTCTGACCATAGGATTACCCTGCTAACAAACGATGTATACAGAAATCTAAATGTCAGATATATCCTTGATTGTCGTTTAACCCCCCACTCGGCATTTTTCAAGCTATATGACGGCGCCCTGTAAGTAATCTGTCTAGACAAGAAAAAACTGATTAATATTATGAGCAACGATCGGGGTACGATGACGCGCAATCTATCACGTCTCCGACCATTACGCCGCCTCGTCCGCCGAGCCTGTAGGCTGCTGGGGAACTATTCTAACCCGGAAGTCCGGCGGCGGGATATATTCTGTAATGCCCAGCCAATTGGACTTCAAGCAGATCTGAACCTACAGATATAATGAAAATTATCACCAGTGATATGGCTCTGTGACTATGGCTTGACATAAAAGCGATAAAACCCTTTCCATATTCATCAGAAATCTCTGCTAAGAGCAGAGTCGATTGTACGATTCCTACTAAATCATGAGCATGTGTTTATGAATTACTATCTAATAGTGATGATACCAGGTGTTCGCGAGTGGTGTTTCAAGGTCATTTCCAAAGGCAAAGGTTAACTCAGAATTTGGCACGTACAGAAATAAACAGTGAAATCAGAAACTGCCAACACGCGAGATCAATACATTATTTTGAAAGGCGCAGTTTTAGGTTTACAATCGAAGCAGGCAACACAACGGATCAAATACACGCAATAAGTAACAGACCCTGTAATATGTATATGTTTGTGCAATCATGAATGGCCAGAATTTTGTCACTGCCAAATGTCTCGAAACAGGACTGTTTTCGTTTTTGAATCAAGTGAGTGAGTGAGTTGTGTTTAACGCCGTTTTTAACAGTATTCCACTTATATCACGGCGTGTCAGCTTAATGTGTGAGGAAAGTCCGAAGTCATGCAGGTCTTAGACGTTTACCACCTACGGTGAAACCCACGAGCACGGGTATGGTGCTGGCCAACCTAGAAACATAATCGGGGCGAACCGGGATCCGAACCCTCAATCATAGGTTTCTGGCGTGTCCAAGGGACGCAACTCTGCACAGCGAATTGCGGCGCCTTAGACGACTGGGCCACCCGTGCCCCCACAATAGCTTCTAACCTACTCAAGCTGGCAATTAGTGTTTTTGTAACACGAGTTTTCGCACGAGTTTTCTCTTCAATCTACCTCTAACAAGACTGAAGCCAGTTTACTCTGCACATGCAGCACTTGCGATGGTGGCTTCGCTGTGCGGAGCTCTATTGTTTTCGTTCGTGCATGTGACGTCACACTCGGAAATTAGTTCATGCATGAATTAAAAACACACAAAACTGTCCCCTTAAATGCCTGTCATGTTCGTAAAGAACCGGGGACAGATAACTCTTAATTCTACCCTCACTCTGACAGCACTTGACAGTTTACTAGCAGTTTGAAAGCAGAGTACGTAAGTAAGCGGGTGGGCATTTACACATCACGATTGGGTCACGGATTGAAGTTTATGTTCCTCCCAACAGCACATTACAGACACTCTAAATCAAACTGGGTGCACGTCACAACTGACAACAGCATCGATTATCCAGTGTCTCCATAACAGACTTGGTATATATAATACACCAATCTCATTAAAATCAGATCTAAGTTCTCGCTGCCGCTAAACAAAGATCTGAGGGCATCCCATTACGGGTCACGTCAGAACGACCTTTCGCAAACTTTGACCGACCCACTGAAATGACCAACAAGAAGTCGACATCAGCCAATCAGAGAGCAGCTTTCTCGAGCTTTACGGCACACGTTTCCACCTGGCGACTTCCAATTGAGACTACGCTTGAAAAATATGTTGACACAGTTCTCGATTAAAATTTTGAAAACTGAATAAACGAACATTCCGGAATGTCTAATTATATGGTTGAGATTGTATGGCAGTGCTTCCCCTGTACTGTGCAACGCCTCCTCCGTTTAAGTGTTTATCTCACGTAAGCGAGAGATAGACGATATTTTTGACGGAATCACTCGTACGGGCCTTAACTGTCGTTCGGAATACCCCGTTTTAACGTTTTCAAGGTTGCATGATTAGAAAACACATTCCGACTGTCACTTTCATGATCTGGTAAGCGACGCATTCATTGGTCGGATGAAAGGTCGTTCTGACGTGACCCGTAATGGGATGTCCTCAGATCTTTGTTTAGCGATAGCGAGAACTAAGATCTGATTTTAATGAGATTGATAATACACTGGATTATAGATAGTAAAAGGTCTGTCGCTCAGCCCTTCTTGCAAGTATACTTACAATGTGGCACTGAATCAGCTCGGCCGACTTTGATCTTTATTTGGAGTGACACCATACAAGGAAGGAATCCAAATTGACGCTGATGAAAATGTTTATGACTGAGTGAGTATGGTTTTATGCCGCTTTTAGCAATATTCCAGCAATATCCGGACATTGTACCCATTTCGGGATTCAAACCCAGGTCTTCAGCGTGAGGAGCAAACGCTTTAACCACTAGGCTACCAGCCGCCCCTGTTTATCACTGAAGAGGACGAAAGGCATGTTGTTCAAATCTTGAATTTGAACCACAGACACAACTTCACAGCACTGTCTTCAACCACAGGACCACTGTCCCCATTCGACAGTTTACCATTGGAAGGGAACACACCAGCTGATCAACGGAGATTCAAAGAATCCTGATGGACTGAATCTCCATATTGAGTTAAGGGGGACAACGCTGTTTTTGTATAGTGAATTACCCTAATGAGGGTTCTGGGTTAGGAAAGGTCCCCAACACCCCATGCTTGTCATTCAGGCCTAATGGTTCCTGTTGTCAGCCTCCATGACTGTTTATTTAGGTTTCATTGCTGCTCATAATATTACCGCCTCCGTGGTCTAATGGTAGAGCGTCCGCCCGGAGAGCGGAAGGTCAAGGTTTGGATCCCCAGCCGCATCATACCAAAAGACGTTAAAAGATGGTACTTGTTGTTACCCTGTCTGGCGCTCGGCATTAAGGGGCTAAAACAAGGACTTGTTGGCTCGGATTCAGTATACTGTATCTGAGTGGGTTATTCATGTTAAACTGCGGCAAGGTATCTCAGTGTGCTAGCACTATAAATCAGCATCAGTCCGGACTAGTACAAGCAGCCACACACACATATATACATGTGCATGCACGTCGCTATATAAGTGCAATAATCGTGGACGCGACATTAAACCCCATTTCACCTCACCTCATAATATCAATCACTGGTGAGTCTAGCTGATTATTTACAGACCACACTATAACTGGAACATTGCCGAGTGCCACAAGCAAGAAAAGGTGCAGCACCTTTGATGACTGGAACAGCCTGCACAGGTAGAGGAACCTTATTCTCTCCCAGTAAAGCACTTTGATTGTATGAGGTGCTCAGACCTGGCTGGTAACAAGTTATCCCATCCCTGTAGCATGGGGCAAGGTGCATAATATTGATACCAATATCCCAATCAGCAATGGTTTCCTTGGCCAAGTTGATAATTTACAAGCCATGGCAATACATTTGAAATAATGCTGACAGCAACTTGAGGTGAATGAGTATGGTTTTACACCCTTTAACAATATTCCAGCAATGTCAGGGCGAGGACTTCAGAAATATGCTTCACCATTGTACCCATGTGGGAATCGAACCCGGCCATCAGCCCCACCCGACAGCAACAAGCCACCTCACTCTGGTTATTCCCATGTGACCCAGCGTGTCATGGCATGTGGCGAACAGTATAACAGAACATTTGTGCTGCTTGATGTACCACACTAATGACTGTACATAAATGGCTTGACATACTAAATGTTGTGTAACAATATTCCAACTCTGCAGTGGTTAACTGAGCCTGGGACAGGCAAACCGGTGGTTGATTGCACCTGCAACTCTCCATCCAGGCTGTAGGCATGATCACACACCTTAACCACAAGATGCTTACTAGAACTGACAGGTAAGAAGGCTTGGAAACCGGGAACATTCATTCAAACACATTTGTCATTATGCCTTATAACCTGCAAGTTACACGACCAATATTTCACATCCTCAGTGTCTGGGACATTCAGTGAAGTTATTTTGAGAAATTCAGTGACTATATTCTCCCGAGATATTCAGGACGTTCAGTGTAGACATTCTCCCAAGATATTCAGTGGAACATGGTCTGGGACATCCAGTGATGATATTCTCCTGAGATATTCAGTAGAACATGGTCTGGGACATCCAGTGAAGATATTCTCCCGACATATTCAGTAGGACATACTCTAGGACGTTCAGTGGAGATATTCGGGACGTTCAGTGAAGATATTCTCTCCGAGATATTCAGTAGAAAATGGTGAGGGACTTCCAGTAAAGATATTCTCCCCGAGATATTCTGTAGAACATGTCCTGGGACGTTCAGTGAAGATATTCTCCCAAGATATTCAGTAGGACGTACTCTGGGACCATCAGTGGAGTTATTTTCCTGAGATATTCAGGAGGACATACTCTGGGATGTACAGTGAAGATATTCTTCAGAGATATTCAGTAGGACATAATCTGTTATGTTCAGTGAAGATATTCTTCGGAGATATTCAGTAGGACATGGTCTGGGACATCCAGTGACGATATTCTTCTTAGATATTCGGTAGGACATAATCTGTTATGTTCAGTGAAGATATTCTCTGTTCATTAATATCATTTGTAGTCAGTTTAGGCAAAGCAAGCTTACTGAAAACGACCTCTGAAAACAAGCTGAGGTAGATTTCTATGTTCACTTTTCCACAGGTCAAGTCAAGAACAACAAACAATGTAAGTGTTGTACAAAAGATAAACTTTTATTTCTAAATGAAACATACTCTAGGTTTAAAGGACAGAACTCTAAGTACGTAGGAGCCTGCAGCTCTGAAACACCTCGGAGGAAAATACACCAAAATAATTACAGATCTGCCATTTTTCAGTTTGATTTGTATCAAATTGACTGACTATGTATCACTAAAATAGATATTTCTTCCTCTATGACTGATATGTTCCAAGAATAGCACTTAATGATATCCAAGATGGACGTGCCGGTATGGACACAGCAAGCCTATCGGCGGAGGGACAACCACAGTTAAATGTACCATTGAAGGTGTGAAAATAGAGACAATAAATTACATCTACTAGTCAATATTAATTGAAATAACTTACACAAGGTATACAAGTCTTTCATTAACTACAAACTTTGTACATTTTGCATACAGAGTCAGCCCTTTGGCCTCCAACAGACTAAAAGAATTTTTTATGATTTTTTTACAATTACTCCAAAGGTTTAGGGGTAGAAGTATCTTTCTAATGTACAATTCTGATTCTTCAAGTGACAAAAAGTTTAATTATTCTCATTTCTGCCGTTAGTTACATGCTTAGCCATGAAACCTCAACAATTAGATTTTCATCATCTAGTTTTAGATCATTTACAAAATGATGTTAGGTTCTTGTGATTCTTGAATTTTTCATCCGAAAACAATATTTTAACAATATGACTTTAAACTGTTGGTGATCAAAGATCCGCTGTCATGTATGCAGATGCAAGTGGAATAGCCAATATTTGAGCTCCACTTATTACAAGCCAATAAATAGCACTAACTATACATGCGTTCACAAATATTGCTTTGGTATTCAAATTGGACTTGTTAACAATTTACATTGTCTTGTGTTATTAGCAACATGCTAATAAAAAACACTTAACTTGTGATTAACACTAATTTCATGTTAAGCATGAAAATCAGAAAGACAAAGTCGACTCCCTTTGTTGCATAAATGCATCAAGTCCATCACATAGTGGATATATCAAGTCTCTCTCAGTCCCAACAAAATACTGAACACTTTTTGTAGGATTTCTCCTAAAAATTCCACAAAGAAAGTTTTCGGATTCAAAACGAGCTGGGCACGAGAAAGAGCTACCTCAGCCATGCCCCAACAAATGGCATGGTTGGTAACAAGCTTCAGAAAGCTGAGAGCCTTCTCGTTGCTCATCTATTGTCTATATACAAAACTGACAGAAATGTCAAAACCTCATGGAAGGAAAACTGATACAAGAAACTGCCACAAGAGGCAGTCCATTTAAATGCAAGTTCTGAGATTCGTTAAACAGGTCAAGTTCTGTATCATCAACCTAACAGTGGTGTCTACAGAAAGAATTATACACAACACATTAACAGTGCATCATCAGTTACAATTTGATTTTGCATTTTTTTTTTCAGTTTTAGCTTTCTGTATTTACATACATGCAAGCTTTGTCATTGTGCGATTGCTCCTACAGGTTTGTAGGATGCTGATAATCATTGCTTTACTCAGGAAGGCTCCTCGTCATGCAATGTTAGCTGCCTTTTCCATGATAGGCAAGAACATGTTTGGGCGAAAATATTTGTTCCCGTACACCAAACAGCGAAAACACAGCAAGAGAACACATATTTCTCTCCTCCTTTGGGTGGATGCGTAACAACTGCAAAAGAGCATCATGGAATGTTGTGGGCTTTACCCTGAAGTCTGTGCTGGGCTCCGCTACAAACAATGTGTCAACCGGCCGGCTTTATAGAAGATTGGAGGCGGACAAGTTTGTTTTTTTGTAAAATGGCTTTGGATACAGGTAAATAGACAATTGGACCCATCAAAAAGTTCACAATCATCTGACCGATAGCAAGCAATCGGAGTAAATGACCTTGACATTGTTTCTCTTTGACCTTGGTGTTGACACTCTTGAACAAGGTCTTTCCTTCACTGAAGGCAAATTAAACAAGTCTTGATCATTCAGTGGAATCAAAATCTCCAAACATAACTATGAAGGAATGTGTAAAGTCAAATCAGTTCAGATCTCTTTCAATGAATTGAAGTGAAACTGGAAATACTCATGTTATTTGAGTGCAGACACATTGGGAAATTCCACCCTAGAGTCAATGAAAAAATGTCTTGCTTGTTTGTGGACTGCAACAAAGAATTTTCAGAAACCAGTCTTAGGATGTTAAAAACAGGAAGATATATTTCAGACAAGCTGGCCAACCCAAAGTGGTTTACCATTGATTGCTGTCAAATAAAAACATTCATTGCACATATTGCCTGGAGAAGAATTAAAGTTGTGACAATATAGATTTATCTGTTGTTGTTATCAGAAAATTCATGTTGACTCATAGTGCAAGTGGTTTTTTTTGCAATGCTCCACAAATATCAAAAAGGTTGAATCTGCATATTGAACTTTGCCACCACGAGGAGAGATAGTCAAACATCAGTGTCAAGTCAGTCACCACAAACAAAATGTTAATATGTGTCAACAAACTTAATCAACTTGGTCCACAATGCAAATATTTTTGTAGACAAATTTCAATAGTGGATTACACATTTCAAATACCAGTTTGATTATAGAATAGATATAAATGACTTAGGTGAATGCCATAATGAATGATAATACTTGTGAAGTAGCACACAAAAAGCCCTATATGGTAACATTGTGACCAATAACCTAGGCGTTTTAGCAAAAGAATAAAAGATTCTTGTATTCTTCTTCAAAACGGTTATTAAAACAACGATAACATGATCACTGATGACAACCAGCAAGATAATTAATATTTCATGCCAGTTCGAAACAAACTTGTTTCTCATTAAGATTGGCACATACAGTTTTAGAGCTAATTCAATTGAAAAGGAACAGTGAATGTTTCTTCTTCAAGTTGAAACCCTCATTATGGAGGGGACAAATGAGGAGACAAACTGCCACTAGCCTCGGTTTGATGAACTGATTAAGTACCCTGGGATTTGTCATATCAGGCTTCATAATTTTGAATTATGTTTAAGATTATAAATTAATGAATTATCACGAGAAGAGTTCTGAAACAAATATTTTGTGCACTTTCTATGCAGCACTGACAGTTATATATGTAAGACCCCCACCAGATTTTGTCTGACTTCTGATAAAGTATTATTGAAAGTAACTTAAGCATTCAGGATTCCATGACCAAAGATTGACTCAAACCCAGGGAAGATTGTCTTACACTGATCATGAGGACTAGTGACGTGTTAAACTTACTAATTCCAATATCAAGTTAGTAGCAAATAGCCACTAAACAGTCTCTAAAAACGAAAACGCTGCACATCAAAATAACATCATTAGAGCCACACGGATACACTGATATATACATATACAATTTTAACAAGAAATATAACAAAATATTAAAGATATTGAATTTCATTCACACTGAAAACATACTCATTATTTCAACTTAAAATACACAAAGCATTTGTGAACTTGCTAAATCTAAAAGGAAGAACCGTATTGCTTCTCTCTAAAATTGCCAAGGTGAAAGAATATGCAAAATCGCAATCTTAATGATCATTACTTATGCCACACTGGATTAAGTCGCTATATGGCTGAAATAATGCTGGTGCGACATTAAATTTTAACTCACTAATTATTTGTTCTTGTTTAACACTGCACTCAGCAATATTCCAGCTATATGACGGGAGTCTGTAAATAATTGAGTCTGGACCAGACAATCCAGTGATTGACATCATGAGCATCGATCCACGCAATTGGGACCGATGACATGCATCAACCAAGTCAGCAAACTCACTAATCACTACAGTGCATTAAATGCATATGCATCATGAGACTGGCAAACCTCATGAATCACGCAGGACACCTACGGGCGTTGGTGCCATCAAAGTATACACCTTGGACCATATCACTTTCGTCATGTTTCAATTTTTCTAAAAGTTGAGAGAGTATACAGTAGTCAGAGATATCTGTGGTGAAAATCTGCTCGTGTTTTGATGAAATGGAATGAATATTTAACTCATCATAAACTTAGCAAGATAATGTTTGTGTGTACAGCACGATGCAGTTGATGATCCCAATACAAGTGTTCTCAATCAATACACAAACAATGAAATGAGACAGTCAGCATAATACAATATCAAGGTCTGTGAAAAGAGCATACAATAATTATATGATGCCACAATCCAGACATATAGATTTGTATACCAACAATAAACATAATTGTGACTCTTTTCTTTGTGATGTTTTGCAACTCATGGTCAATCAAAATATATATGTATGCGAAATAAGAAGTAACAAAGGAAAAACAAACAGTGGTCATATTTAAATATAGGAACACTCCTTGGGTGACATGACTTAATTCCAGGTAGTCTGGTAATGGCACAGTGAAATGAGATTATCTCCCCTGTCTACTGCCCCTCTATTGTAGGGGGCGTTGGTGGTGGAGCTACTGGTGGAACTGTGTTGAGGCCGATGTCCTGTGTGGGGCTGCAGTAACTCCTGATCAGGGGGCAGAAAGCAGAGCTCTGACTTGGTTTGAAGATGAACTGATTTGGCTTTAAAGGACAGAATAGAGACTCTTTGATGCTGGGTTTTCTGAAAGATAAAATGTGAAGCTTGAATAGGATGTTCTCACTTCGAACAAAACCTGACTGTCAGAGAGAAAAAAAAGAGTGAGTGAGTGAGTGAGTTGGGTTTAACGCCGCTTTTAACAGTATTCCAGTTATATCGCGGCGTGTCAGCTTAATGTGGGAGGAAAGCCCGAAGTGACGCAGGTCTCAGACGTTTACCACTTCGGTGAAACCCACGAGCACGGGTATGGTGCTGACAAACTTAGAAACATAATCGGGGCGAACCGGGATTCGAACCCACAATCATAGGTTTCTGGTATGTCCAGGGATGCAACTCTGCACAGTGAATCGCGGCGCCTTAGACGACTGGGCCACCCGTGCCTCCGAGAGAAAGAGAGAGAGGGAGGGAGAGAGAGGGAGGGAGAGAGAGGGAGAGAGAGGGAGAGAGAGAGGGAGAGAGAGAGGGAAAGAGAGAGATATCAGTGTACAGGCTTAAAGGTACAATCCTCATATTGACCTACGAGACATGACACATAAACATAATGTAATCACAAGTTATGAATATATGATAAATAATTTATACACAAGACATGTAAGTTAACTAGTCTCATGAAAAAAAGCAGGTGTTCCTTGACTTCTTTTGAGAAGTATACATTCACTGATACATTAGAACATCTCATGCATTCTCATCTGTCAACAAATGTTCATGCCAGACTCAGCAATATTCCGACCAGACAACCAAGTGATCAAAATTGTGAGCAACGATCCACGCGGTTGGGATGCGATGACACACAATGAACTAAGTCACTGAGTCTAATCCCCCAATTCATTTGGTTGCCTGGGAAACTACTCTTACTGGAATCCCCACAGGCTCCACTATTAGTTTGTTCGTTTTGTTTGTTTGTTTTTTAACGCCACACTCAGCTATATTCCAGCTATATGACGGTGGTCTGTAAATAATCAAGTCAGGACAAGACAATCCAGTGATTGACACGCCGAGCATCGATCCACGCAATTGGGATACAATGACATGCATCAACCAAGTCAGCGAGCCTAACTACCCGATCCCGTTAGTCTCCTCTAACAACAAGCATTGTCGCCTTTTACAGCAAACATGGGTCGCTGAAGACCTATTCTACCCCAGATCTTCACAGGCCCGACTATTAGCGAGTATTTGAGAAGAATTGTCATCTGCTTTTAGCTATATTCCATAAGTTAGGCAAGCACACAGATGTCTGGATCAAGATCACTGCATCAAGAATGGTAGTTTTGTATTTACCGCGATTCCTCGATGACTCGGACCTTCTCACACCCATCTGGAGGCTCTCGGACGAAGTCACATTTCTCTGCTTTGGGGCTTGAAACAAACTTGGTGATTGAGGGTTCTGGGGAGTCTTCAGCTTCACCTGTTGCACAAAAAGTCAAATTAGCACAAACATGATTCATATCACCAAGGAAATAACAAAGAGATTGTCATGGTTTTGATACTTGCTTAGAAAGGCTAATAGGCCTGTTGACTAGCACAAATACCACCATGACCTTTGTCGGAAGACTGTCTGTCAAAACTACAACACTACAATCACCTTTGTCAGAAGACTTGCTGTCTGCCACAACTACAATACTACAATCACCTTTGTCGGAAGACTTGCTGTCTGCCACAACTACAATACTACAGTCCCCTTTGTCGGAAGACTTGCTGTCTGCCACAACTACAACACTACAATCACCTTTGTAGGAAGACTTGCTGTCTGCCACAACTACAACACTACAATCACCTTTGTCGGAAGATTTGCTGTCTGCCACAACTACAACACTACTATCACCTTTGTCGGAAGACTTGCTGTCTGCTGCAACAACAACACTACAATCACCTTTGTCGGAAGACTTGCTGTCTGTTGACTCTGACCGACTGGAGGGCCGGGAGGTGTCCATGTGACCAGGAATGATTGGTATGGCAGGACTGATGGAGTCGGCGCGGCTCCCGCTGCTGGTGATGGTGTAGGGCTCATCCACCTGTCCTGACGGCGTCTGTGTGTTTACCGAACGTGTTGAGCCAATTCGGATAATGTCAGGAATTGGTGCTCTGTGACCATCAGGAATCTCTGGATGAGACTGCAAGGGAAAGTGTCTGTTGTAGATTAATGTTTCTTTATGAGTGCAAGACGTCCTATCTAGAAGGACTTTGTTTTGTAATAAAACTCAGTAAGTCAGAAGAAGTGGTCATCAGTTTTTCCAGAGTTCTTCACCCATCCCCGTATCATATGATGTACTCACCACCATACTTTGAGTAATATATGAAGAATTATGCACATTCAAGAGATATTAGATTGGCTTCATGCACAAACGAACATACTGGTATGTTGTGTGAACTGACGCTCATGAAGGCATCACGTGACATCTTAGACCCATGACTCGCGATGCACCATTTGTCTCGTAAAGGATTAACGTGTAATATTTAGAAATCATGTGAAACATAGCGTGAAAAAAATAAGACACTCTGTGGTAACACTTGACTGATTGATAGTTTTGTCATTAATTGGTACACACTGGAAACTAGGTTTCACTAAAAATATTTTAACTTATCCTGCATTACTACCTTAATGCATTTTTATCAGACGGAACGGAGGGGGTCATACCTTCAGATGTAATTTCAAGATAGACCCTCAACCAGTCCAGGTAACCAGATAGCATCCTTGGCAAGAAAACCAAAGACCATTCCCGTCTATAGCGCCACACGAGTGAGAGTAGGTGGTTTGAAGACCAGTCAGGAAACGGAAAAGTAGAAAAGGGGTGTCGGACAATTTCTAAATTCCGATCAAACAGAAGCATGAAACACATCTAGTCTGGGGAAAATTCTACCAGAGATGTTGCAGGGTCGGCTCCGAGATGTATAAGTCAGGAGCGTCTGGAGTGACCTGCTGCACCACCACCAGGGGTCCGAAACTATGGACACCTTGCACATCCTCAAGAGCCACGTCACGGAGAAAATGATTGGCAAAGATAGTATCTGAGTGCCAATAACAACCCTCCATGATGGACTTGATGGATCAATTGCTGTGGGGGGCCATTGTCGAAGTGACAACTTGAATCTCATGGGGGGTGTTGGCTCTGGGCGGGTCCATACCGACCAGGTCGTAAGCCTGCGGGATAATGGAAAGAAGCCACAAGGAGATAGTGTTACGACTAACTGCCATCTGGGATGCAGGCAAGACCAGAGTAAACAGTCGTTTCTGAGATCCACGTTGTGTCTAGGATCGAAGGAAAAAACCCTGTAAGGCTTGAACTGGGCACAGAAGTTCATCCTCGTCCTTGGAACCCACTCTTGAATATAAGAACCCAATGTGACCAACAAAATGTGAGTCATTACTTCATAGCTACCCAAACCATCTGTTTTCATCTACTTTTAAAAATTCCACCAATATCACGGCAGGGGATACCAGAAATGGGCTTCACACATTGTTATCTGTGTGGGGAATCAAACCTGGGCCTTTAGTTTGATGAGCAAACACCTTAACCAAAGGGCTAACCCCTAACCACCACTTTTTACCATACACTACACAGAAACAGATGTAGGTCCGGAGCTGATAATTCCGGCTGGTGGCGAATAGGTTGATGAGTGGTAGGCTGAAACGCTGGCAAACCAGGGCGAAGGGATGGGGGTTGAGCATCCACTCCTTGGGAGCCACTTTTGTCTGATTTGGAAAGTGCGCCCACCACGTTATTATGACAACCAAGGACGTGCTGGACGATGAACCTCAAATGCAGTGGATCCACTAACTGAAAGAACCAGATGATGAGTGAGTTGTCCCCTGAGTGCGAAGATACCAAACAACCGTGATGTTGTCTTTGGATATGGCGAGCACTGTGTGCCAAAGACAGGACTGCCAATGAGCCACGGCTAGGATGAGTGCTTCAAGTTCCAGATTGTAGGCAGAAGGCAGTCTTGTCCTCCAGATGTGCCCCCCCCCCCCCCCCAAAGCCTTACATGAAGCTTCAACAAACAGGTGGAGTGTGGGCTTGAGCTCTGTCAAGGAGACACCATTGCAGACATTTGATTTCACTGTTCACCAACAAAGACACAGGTGAAGGTGAATCGGGAGCGTGATGGAGGCAAAAGGCTTCTGCCGCCAAATAAACAGAGCCAGAAACCACCGAAGGCAAAGTCGAAGCTGGCCAATGGATGTCAGATCCTGAGCTGATCATGAGAAGACCCATTAACAGCATTACTTATTTTCACCCAGGACCATTACAAGGCGCTGTCTTCTTTGTCATAAGGTGAGCAGTAAATGCATTAAGGAGTAATGCAGGAAAAGAAAAAATTAATGCTTTTGGCTTACTGTAAATCTACAAATAGTATTAATGTTCATCACAAGATGAATTATCAATATTTTCAACAAACAAAACACATACATGTACTTTTAGTTCTGACTCTTCAGGTTCGATGGCTGCTGGGTTGTTCAGAACAAGCTTTTCAATTTCCTGCAACAGATAAGAAATCACATCAATCACAAATCAATACTGAAACCTGGAGTTCATGATGTTTGCTCACATGGGTCTTGAATCTTGAGACACCTATGCCAACATTAAGTTTATGGCATGGACCCCATGACTTTCCTAATATCAAACACTGATGTACATTAAAGTTCATAACCTAGAGTGAGTGAGTTAAGTTTTAAGTCACATGGGCAATATTTCAGCCATAACGTGACTAATCATAACCTAGAAACCATGCAAACCAAGTGTAGAGTCTTAGACATATAAAATTCTTTATTAAAAGGTTCAAGGAAAACATTACGGTCAAAGTACTTATCTAATAAAAATAAAAACAAGATATGCAAATGTACAAAGTTTGAAACAAGGCAAATTCAGACATTGATGCTAAAACTTGAATGAGAATACCAAAAGTCAATCATAATAACGCTTGACTATTCATTCATCAAACATTTAAGGCACTCGCAGTTTAAGCATGCTAGAGAAATTTATGTATATTGTGTATGGCTATGACAGATTAACTATAGTCATATGAACAACAATCAAGCATTTTTTTTACTACTTTTGAGTAGTATATATTTAATCTATTACCACAGCCAAAGTGATATGCTACGTTAATCTATTTCTACAGCCTACAGACTTACTGTATTTAGTCCTTCTACACTGTTACGTTGATATTTTGACATGTTTGTTTTAGGAATGTTCGTGGGTATGCCAATAGCTTTTGATTGGCTGAAGACAGTAGGTGGCGCCGTGAGGGAGAGGGCAGAGTGTTTGCCTTGCACCGGACTCTGTCGCTGTTTGCTCCATTCCTTCTCCTTGCTGCCTTCTTTGGTTCGCTGTAGACGCTGTTTTATCAGCTGTAACACAATAATCACTCAACAATCACATCATTATCATTATGCAAACAAATTGTTGACATTGCCAGCTTAAAGTTTGAGTATTGTGGTCATAACTAAACATTACATCATAAAAAAATGGAAATTTTGTTATAAATTGTATATTTATATCCTTTTCCTATCTCACACTTTTCATTTCTTCCTTCTTCTTCGATCCTATGTGGAAACGTCCTTAAAATATGTTTCCAGCTTCTAAAACAAAAACATTCTCCTGAACACACCCTGCATTTCCATAGTAACGCCCAGAAGTTAGGTCAATTGCGTGTTTCCCGTGCACAGCAAGCCTGCTCAATATGACTGATTGCATACCTCTGCCAAATCATTATCTTTCGCAGAGCTATCAGGCTAGGTGAAATGAGATGTGGGGATGGTTGGGTGGGTCAATAGTGTGTGAGATGGATAAGTATATAAATATACAATTTACACAAAAGTTTCCGAAATTTTCCAAAACTTATCCTATCTCACACTTTGCGTTTTATCCCATGGTTGGTTGGTGGGTCGCAGATACCCTAGCCTGTATAGACTACAAACGTGAGATATACACAAGGTGGGGAACCAATTGCGTGTTGGCCAATTGTGTGCGACCAAAATCAGAAACAGACAATTGGTGGCTGCCACCTTCTGTAGGACCCAGGGAAGGATCCCTGTCGGAGCAAAGGCGTAGGTAGGCATTGAGACCTTCCCATGAATTTGCTAACGAATGGGTGATGGGGACGGGTGATACGAATCAGGATAGCTGAGCGTTGAAGCAGATTGCGAAAAGGTCTACTTCTTGGGCCTGATAAAGTTGGCAAATCCATTCGAACGATGTTGGATGAAGTAGGTGATGGTCTGTCGGTTCGGAACAGGGAGTCTGCTATGACGTTGAAGACCCCTGGAATATGCCGAGCCAAGACATTGATGTTAAGGGAGTCGATGAGTTGAAAGAATTCTAGAGCGAGCGAGAAGAGGGACATCAACTTCGTGGATCCCATTTGGTTGAGGTACCACACGACCCCAGTGTTGTCGGAATGGATCATGAGGGAAGAGGAGCATAGGAACTGTGACCAATGCGAGAGATCGCTAGAATGGCTGCCTTGATTTCGAGATTGTTGATGTGGAGGCAACTCTCGGTTGAAGCATCAATGAACAGATGGAGGGACGGGATGAATAGCCTCAAAGAGATCCCACCGCAAATGTTCGATGCGACCAGCCACCATTGAAAATGAGGATGGATACGGAGCGGTAAAAGCACAGCGTGTGAAAATCGTCAATCCTGATAAAGGGCACGAGGAAACATTGAAGTGGTCGCAGATGCAGTTGACCCCGTACAGTGAGCGCCTGCGCCTGTTAGGAGACCCAGGAGTTGTTTCCATTGGCGGAGTAGTTGTTTGAGAGCCAACAGAACAAGTTGTTGAATCTTTACCCACCGGTCATGCGGGACGAACATCATACCTTGCTGAGTGTTAAATAGGGCTCCTATGAATTGGAGACATTGGGTAGGAATGAATTCTAACTTGTTTGCGTTGATCAGCCAGCCAAGTTGCCTTAGAGAATGAGTTAGCAGAGGTATGCACATGGTCATTTCAAGCAGACTGCCATGCACAGGAAACACACAATTGACCAAGCTTCTGGGCGTAACCATGGAGATGCAGATGGTGTTCAAGTGAATGTTTTTATCTTAGAAGCTGGAACCATGGTTTAAGCATGTTTCCACATAGGATCAAAGAAGAAGGAAGAAATGAAAAGTGTGAAATAGGATAAGTTTAAAAATAGAACATTTGGATCATTGTTGATTGGTTGAAGTAGTAATGTAGAAAAATACTTTGTCAAACCACCATGACAAAACCAACTTTGAGTCTATTAGCCCAAACATGACTCAAAGCATCATCTTCAGTAGTTTAGTGTTATCATATGGACTTTTGTTAGTTGGGCTCAAAAGACCGAACAGAATATTACTAGTCTCGGCCTTTCGGACTTGTGGCTAAAGTCGGAGACTGCATTAGTCATGTGTCCATCATCAAATAAGTGAAATCAGTGTTTGGCTCTTAAGATGCTGTGTTCAATCATGAACATAACACTTCAATGGACCATACTTAGGGGGCAATAAATTCACAGAAGATTTCTATTATCTTAAAAAATAATTCATTTATTAGTTTTAACCTAAGGTGCCATGTGGCACTGCTATTAATATTTGTGAATTTTTAGTTACCAAGTAGATGTGAGATAGAAATGGTTAACATGATTATTGGAAAGCCACAAACCCTAATTCCAACTTAAAAACATATATATCTCAGATGACATGGATCTCTTACCACCTTGAGTTGATCTCCCTGACCAAATGATGCTGATCTCTTGTGCCCCTTCTCCTTCTTCCTGTCAAGGCTGCTGACAGACTCCCACTCATCAGGCGTCTGGGCAAAAGAACATACAACTGAAATGACGCACAAAAAGATTCCAACGAAGGATAGGCAATTACCTCAATGAAACAACCACCACAGCCAGCAGTTAGCAAAGCCAGCACTTTACCAAACTACCAACATGAAACATGTTGTTATTGTGCTTGATCAGTTGTGTTAATTCAAGTCTTTGAAAGGTATTCACAAGTGATACACATAAGGCAGAGAATTTATGGATGTCAACTTCTTTGTTATGAGGAACACAACATTTCGGAGTATACACTTACTCTTTCATCAGGTGAATAAATGCTACGAGGCAAGAACATAAATATGTACCTGTAAGAACAACAAAAGCAGCATCAGCAATTGGCACTAGTCCTGTTGCCCTTGCCAAACTGCCCAATTGGTAAGGTATCAAAAGGACTAGTAGAAATTTGCCATTTTTAAGGGTTTTGCTATATGTTATCATTATAAGGACTAGTGGACTAAAAATGTTAAGTTTCAAACACTGCAAAAGCAATAAGATAACAAAGGTTAAAACTTAACAAGGGAAGCCAACAGATAATTGGCACTGATGGGCGATTGGCAATGGACAAAGGGAAGCCAACACTTAACAGTTAATAAGCGCTGATAGCAGTGGACAACTGAAAGCCAGGACTTGAATTCTCACTGATTGGTAATAGGCAATGGACAATGGGCAAATGGAAGGCTGGGGGTAATTAGTACTGATAGGTGATAGAATGGAAATATCAATGGAAATATGGAAGCAAGCTAGTTGTGTTAATAATCAAATATTCTGTTAATGTGCCCACACTGACCAAAATTTGTCAATTGTCTGTTGGATCTCTAGTAGACACCATGGTGCTAACCAACACATTGGTTGGTTTATTGTTTAACGCCACACTCAGCAATATTCAAGCTATATGACGGTGGTCTGTAAATAATCGAGTCTGGGCCAGACAATCCAGTGATTAATATCATGAGCATCAATCCATGCAATTGGGATCGATGACATGCATCAACCAAGTCAGCGAGCCTGACCGCCGGATCCCGTTAGTTGCCTCTTATGACAAGCATAGTCGCCTTTTACAGCAAGCATGGGTTGCTGAAGACCTATTCTACCCCTGATCTTCACGGGTCGCTAACCAAAACAGGTTTTAAATTGCAGATACAACAAGTGAGCATGCACAATTAGAACGAGAAACCAGTCAAGAATGTAACCACTGTACCACACAGTTGTTTTGGTAGCTGGTTTTGCATAGAGTTTAGAGTTGATCTATCACCTATTTCAAAAGTTGAACATGTTGAACAAAAGTATTTAAGGCTTTAAAAATATAAAAATTGGTTCTCAGACAATGACTTTCAAAAATATAGTGCAGGCGGTGTTTTTTTGTTTGTTCAAACAAGTATGTGACCAAATAAACAGCTGTGTACCTCGCCCTGGGAAAAGGCATTCAAACTCCTATTGCCTCCATGACCATAACAGTATTAACACAAGATGCAAAGGAAGGCAGTGTGTATGTAAAGGGAATGAAACTGTGTGCTATAATGGATCGCATTGTTTTTAAGTATAGATTTTTTAAATTATTTTGAAAATGGAAATAAAAATGAAATGTGCGGTGGACTTGATGATGATTCGGGCAGTGCCTGAGAACCAAGACTATTATTTTTTTAGCCTAAGATTACTTTGTTTATCCCAAAAATAACACTAGACCACCAGACCAGCATCTATTTGAATAAACTGGTCCTTAACATGCTTAAGGAAATATACTAGACTTTGACCAGCAGACCAGTGTTAGTGTCAAACACTGTTAATATACACCATGTTTCAGGCTACTTCTGGCCCTTTCATCAGATGAATGACAGGATAGGAGAACATGACAATGAAGTCAGTAATTTAATAGATACATATATTGTACAAACTACATGGCATGTCTGTGTGAATGTGAAGCACAATCCTTTTTTATCTTCATGACTATCACATACATGTTCAATCAATACTTCAGTGACAACAATTTCAACAAACCTGTGTAAATTTGTCACATGTGAGCACCCCCAGATTGTGAGAGCTGTAGGAATGTGGGTCTTTGGGCCACTGGCCAGCAAGGTAGATTGTGTCCAGAGAGCTGGCTCGCCACAAGCTGGGCACAGGGCTTTGACGATGCGATTTTGACTTTTCTGAAACACAAATAATTTACTGTTAATGCTTACAATACATTCTCCGAAGAAAAACACTAAAATGTATACTTGCTCACAGTTTCTGGCCGTCAGTCTGCATGATCTGAGAAACAATACCATACATCAAAAGTAGGTTCAAAGGCTTTATGAAACTAACGCCCCATATCTTGTAGAGTGCAAAAAAATGTTCCAGTCTGCAAACTCGAACCTGCCACTTAACACATTTTCAATTTCAGTAGATTTTAGCGTTATAATATGCAGGGCTAGCAATTTATATTTATTCTCACTTGGCCACAAAAACAATCTGCTGCAAAGTTGCCATCTACATAATGGTAAAAGTGGTAGTCCAGAAAGATATGTCTCTGGCCCTTCCTGAATTTTACTGGTCTCCGAAAAGTGGACATATATAAGTTATAAACCATGATATGGACTATGATTAGATACCCTTATATTATTAGACTGAACAAGTTTTGACTAGACTCTGGCTTTGCACTCATTGATATCGTATCAGACTTGTAATTATGAATATAATGTCAATACAGTGAATACACCGATGATTTTTCTCTGCTACAATTCAGGTAGAGGTGGGTGGATTGGGGCTGAGTACAGGCAGGTCTCAATAGCTTGATTTTCCAAATTAATGATGGGAGAAGTCCTGGCGGCTGCTCATACAGCAAGTCTGAGATAACGGGGAAATCAACTTATAACATGTCAATCGAAGTGTAATATCCCAAATGTTGTAATGTATTGTTAATCAATGTGTTATATGATGAAAATAATAATATTTTCAATTGTGCACATTTCCAAGATCTGGAAAACATCTCTTATAATAATAATACTTTGACTTTACATAGTATACCCCAATCTGTGGTTATGCCTAAGTTTGAATCTTAGAGGCCCATTCGATCTCAAACATTCAATATTTTCATGATTATGGTTGACAGTAATGACAGCTTGGCGATCAAATTTCATGTTTAATTTTGAATGCTGATTCCAGCTTGAGTGCTATTACTGGACATTAGATGTTCATTTATGGTCATGTTTACTGTTTCACAAAATAACGTGGAATAAGCTTGTGCACATCCCTTACCAACATGGCGGAAGGTGTCCAGTATACTGCATTCTTGCCAACTCTTCTAATGACAACGAGCAAAAGTATAATGAGATGTGATCATGTGTTTGCTGTAATGGGGAGTTAGTCAGGCGATAACTGGTCGCTAGCCAGTAGTCATATTAAATTATTTGTGCAGCTACTCCTTTTAATAAAATGGTAACTCTCTACATTCAGAGTCCAGCCATTCCAAACATCATGAATAGCCTAAAAGTGATTTAAAATAACTAGGATTTGGAGTGCCACCTTGCCTGATGCACATTTTGACAGCTGCCAAACACTGACCAGTGCTGCAAATAGTCTGGGATTATTTTGATATGTATGGCATTGTTGTTCAATAGGTCATTCTCTCATTAACCATATGTTTGAGAATAGGCTTCTTCAAATTAAAGGTACATAAATATGCCACTAAGCCACAGCACTGTTGGACATAGATATATCTCACTTTAGTGTCACAATATCAAATTTGATTTCCACCCAATACTGTTGAGAAGATTTGAGCCTCCATACTCACATCTGTCAGAAATAGGATACAAATGTCACAGTGATATTTAGATAACTAGAATACACACATGGAGTGATAATGGACATAAACAGTTAATGACCAAATAAAATCATATACGGAGAATAATTTATTGATGCAAGATGCATATGACTTGTGACTTCTTGAAAAATATGGCGGTGCATTAGGCCTATCGGCAGCTATCTTCGTCTGTCAGATCTTACCTCTGGGCGAGCTTGGACTTTTTCGCTCTGGAGATGCTCGATGGTCTGGGGATTTTCGACTCCATATTTTGTGACTGCTTGGTGTAGGAGATGCATTTAAGCTGCGTGTTGGACTTTTTTGTTTCAGAGTGAATGTCTTAACAGCTTTTATCGGTCCTTGCTTTGTTGATGCCGGGGACACATTACGACGAACTCGTTGAGGCGGCTGTCCTGACATTTCTTTCACACTCTCTTCGTGAAATTTGTTTGAAGACCCTTCCTTAGTCTTCCGTCTTTACGTAGAAATAGTTGTTCTCGGCCTATCAAGGCAGACTATCGAAAAAACTTAGATTTTCATCCCTGGCACTGTGTCAATTTTATCCAACCCAGAACTCTCTCAAAAAAATTTCACACAACGGTGTCACGTGACTACAATCTGACTGTCTGATTGGTTAGATTTCCGCCATATTTCTCACCCAGAAAATCCCTTTCTCTTGATAGCGAAAGGTATTTGTCAATTTATTGATGTTAATGCATCATCGCACGAAACTTCAACAATCATAACTGCCTGAGAATTTTATGATTCTTGAACCGCTTTTTGCTTTATTTGATCTTTCTTGTGTCAAATCAAGAATATCCCCCATGAGTCCCCGTACCGAGTCGATTATCTCCCTTGCAGGTGCTTGACAACCAGTCGTCCATGTAAACAATGGAATGACAAGCGGCGACAACAAAAATATAATGAGTTCTAAAGTCTGTTTGTAAAACTTAATCCGTGACAGAACTAATCTTTTTCATATTTAATCCAGGCCACGCGAGCCACTGACCTTGTGTGTGATATAGCGCTCTTAAAACTGATCTGACCTGGAACTGCCATTTTGATATTCATTACTTTCTACATATGTTTGGTGAAACAATATTTCGTGAATGATCCATAAGTTGTAATAGTTCACATATTGATAAAACGAGTTCTTAGTAGACAAATCTTAGATTAGAATCAACCGTTTATACGCTAAATGTATGATATGGGCATAACTATAGTGTTGTTTCCGGTTTGGCAGTTCGCCAAAAGTCAGCTGCCATGCTTCCTTAGCAACGGAAGGGAGCAGTTATTGTCGAACAGTCCTCACAAAGAAAAAATCCCGAAATTTGGCGACATTTGGAATTAAAACGACTTCTCCCTTGTGATGTATCAAACCTGTGGAATATTTTGAGAACAAATCCATCTATTTAAATAAATGTAATAACGAGAGAGAAAAATATGGACACGCACTTTTAAAAACGCATTAGAAGCCTATTCCAAAGTGTACCTCCTGCATCTCTCAAATAAAAAAAATTGTTTTATTTGATATAGGCCTAGGTCTATTTGATAATGTACTTTATGTTTGTATCAATTTTCCGTTCGTTGTTTAACGCCACTGTCAGCAATAGTCCAGCTGTATGATAACGGCTTGTACCGTATTTCCTCTATTAGACGCCGGGTCAATTGTTCAGTGCGAAAAATAGAAGCCGGGCCTCTAATAGACGCCGGGTCGATCAATTGATACAATTAATGATACCGGGACAATCAATTGATATTATTAATGATCCCGGGACAATCAATTGATACAATTAATGATACCGGGACAATCAATTGATATTATTAATGATCCCGGGACAATCAATTGATACAATTAATGATCCCGGGACAATCAATTGATACAATTAATGATCCCGGGACGATCAATTGATACAATTAATGATCCCGGGACAATTAATTGATACAATTAATGAATCGGGACATTCGTGGTCATTGTGAAATGGGGGTATTAATAGAAGCCGGGCCTCCAATAGACGCCGGGCCTCTAATTGACGCCGGGTCAAAGGCTTGTCCGAAATAATTAGAAGCCCGGACGTCTAATAGAGGAAATACGGTAAATAATCTTATCTGGACCAGACAAACCAGTGATTACAGTTGGGATACAATAATAGGCAACGAACTAAGTAAGCGAGCCTGACCACCCGATCATTTTAGTCGCCTCATACAAGCATCGGTTGCTGGGAACTCCCCACGTGAAGTTTTAAATATTAGCCAGAAACATATATAATACATCTTGGAGAAACTTCAGCTAAACCAAGAAAGAGAATTCTCAGATTTGATTTGCCGCATGATACAGTGTTACTATCAAGTACTAGTGATAATGTCACCTGTTCGTAGGTGAGATAGCTGTGTTATATAGCGCAATATCAGCGTTAGAAATTGGCACTAGTCCTATAGTCCTTGCCAAACTGCCCAATGGTAAAGGTATCATGACTAGTAGAAATTTCCCCTTTTTAAGGGTTTTGCTTTATGTTATCATTATAGTTGGCCGAAAACTGTTAGTTTCTAACCCTGAATATAGTAATGTATATGTATGCTTAATAGGTTTAGGCCTAACGCCGCACTCAGCAATATTCCAGCTACATGACGGCGGTCTGTAAATTATCGAGTCTGGACCAGACAATCCAGGGATTGACATCAGGAGCATCGATCCACGCAGTTGGGATACGATGACATGCATCAACCAAGTCAGCGAGCCTGACCGCCCGATCCCGTTAGTCGCCTCTCACGACAAGCATAGTCGCCTTTTACGGCAAACATGGGTTGCTGAAGACCTATTCTACCCCGGATATTCACGGGTCGCTTAATAGGTAGTGCATGTGTGCACATGGTGGTGTAAGTGACTTCTATGGATCCGTGTATGAGTTACGCACGTATATTAAATTGTCCTAAGTGTGAGGTGAAATAGGGGATGGTCGGGTAGCCTAGTGGTTAAAGCGTTCGCTCGTCACGCCGAAGACCCGGGTCGATTCCCGACATGGGTACAATGTGTGAAGCCCATTTCTGGTGTCCACCGCCGTGATATTACGAGAATATTGCCAAAAGCGGCGTAAAAACATACTCACTAACTCACTAACTGAGGTTAAATAGGGTTTAACGTCGCGTTCAAGATCATTTCTATTTTATATGGCGACGTGTGTGCGCGCGTGTGTGTGTGGCTGCTTGTACTATTATCCGGACTAATCCCGATTTTATAGTGCTAGCTCACTGAGATACCAGGCAGAGTAACACTAAGTACCATCTTTTAACGTCTTTTAGTATGACACTGCCAGGGATCGAACCCACGACCATCCGCTCTCCTGGCACACGCTCTATCCACTAGACCACGGAGGCTATCCTTATACAAGTAAAGCAATCTATTCATACCACATATTATTAGTTATGGTGCCTTTCGTTGCCGTCGACACCATAACGAATTTATTATGCCGAAAGGTTTACACTATCTGATATCCATATATCGCACATGTCATGTCAAAGTGAAAACGTATCACAACCGTTGACGTTACGGGTCAAAGGGAGACAACTCTTGATTTTAATTTTAACTACAATCTTTACCAATAAGTAACGACCGTGATCTAAAAAAAAATATTAGTGTCCTTGCACATCAAAATTAATTCTATAAAAAGTCAAAACAGTGTCGAAAAACGAATTTCTGTACCAGAATTAGCATGTGAAATATGTGAGGTGGGTGTTGGAAAATCCAAAATGGCTGTTACTGACGGTATACGGTCTCATGTTAATCAACAACAACTATCTTGGTTTTTCACTGACGGTATACGGGCTCATATGGGGTTAGTAGTACTGCTCTCTGATTGGTCAATCTCACTTTGAGGCATAATAAATGTATTATGTATGCATGGCAGGGAGAGAAACGACACCAACCAACTTTCTTTATAGCTCTTGATTTTTTTGTTTGGCATGCACGTATTTTGATATTAAATCGAATGCACATTTATTTACACGTGTACTTGTTTGTTTGCGTGTTGTTTAACGCCGCACTCAGCAATATTCCAGCTATATGACGGCGGTCTGTAAATATTCGAGTCTGGGCCAGATAATTCAGGGATTGACATCATGAGCATCGATCCACACAATTGGGATCGATGACATGCATCAACCAAGTCAGCGAGCCTGACCAACCGATCCCGTTAGTCGCCTCTTACGACAAGCGAAGTCGCCTTTTACTCAACGCATCTTCTATAACATATGCATTCGATAAAGTATCATATCAATCATACACATGCATATTTGCAGCTTTTGGAACACCTCAAGTCAAGATTATTGCACTTTTATAGCGAGGTGCAGGTGTGCGGCTGCTTGCAATAGTACGGACTAATGTCGGCTTTATTATGCTAGCCTGCCGACAAACATTGCCGCTATTTAAAAATGATTTCCAACTCAGACACATTACACTGACTCCGAGCCAGCCAGTTATTTTTGTTTATCAGAGAGTACGAAAGGCAGGGTAAAAACATAATACGATATTTTAACGTCTTTTGGTTGGGATGACGTGGCCCGAGGATCGATGCACCGACCTTTCGCTCTCCGTGCAGGCGCCCTAGCCTCTGCACCACGGAGACGGTCTTACTTACTTACTTACTTATATTGGAGATTTAACGTGCGCTTTCCGACTGCAAGCATATGTCGCACACGGGCCCGGCCAGGCCATTTAATGTGTTTCCGAAAAGGGGAAAAGTGAGTTTGTGCAACCCAGGAGGGGGGCTTTAGGGGTTGCTTATATAGTAATTTTGAGATTTGGAATGAATGCCAAGAGTGGGTGGAGGACGAACTCAGGGAGCTGTGTGTGGAGACGGAGACGGTCTGCACATTCAGTGTTTTGTGTCTCAAGACGTGTCAAATCTTCCGGGAGTGAAGGTGGGCGGGTGCGTGGGTGGGTGTTGTAGCGGGTAGCAAGATCACCCGTGTTCTGTCAACGCGACCAGTGTTTTCACATCTACCCGATGTACTCGCTGTCATTATCAGCTTCCTATTCATATATGGGCTGATGTCTTCTTTTATACTCTCACAGAGTCTTCCACGAGCGCGATATACACATATACCAGACTGTGGGGTGAGAAGGACATATACCAGACTGTGGTGAGATGGACGTATGCCAGACTGTGGGGTGAGATTGACATAAGCCAGACTGTGGGGTGAGAAGGACATATACCAGACTGTGGGGTGAAATGGACGTGTACCAGACTGTGGGGTGAGATTGACATATACCAGACTGTGGGGTGAGAAGGACATGTACCAGACTGTGGGGTGAGATGGACATATACCAGACAGTGGGGTGAGATGGACATATACCAGACTGTGGGGTGAGAAGGACATGTACCAGACTGTGGGGTGAGATTGACATATGCCAGACTGTGGGGTGAGAAGGACATATGCCAGACTGTGGGGTGAGATGGACATATACCAGACTGTGGGGTGAGAAGGACATGTACCAGACTGTGGGGTGAGAAGGACATATGCCAGACTGTGGGGTGAGATGGACATATACCAGACTGTGGGGTGAGATTGACATAAGCCAGACTGTGGGGTGAGATGGACGTGTACCAGAC